TTCGAAGGAACGACAGGCCGTAGAGCAGGATGATACTGGGGATACTGCCAGTGCTAGTGCCAGTATTGTTTCTGGGACTGATGATGAGGAAAAGGAGCTTTGCTCCCGCATCAAGGACAGGGACAACGAGTCGGTTGGCATGAGGTTCACAGACTACTTAAACATGGGTGAGAAAAAGCAAACCTGCTACGCGGACCTTGAGAGCGAGATCACTGACAGTGTGACGGCAGAGATTGATGACGATGATGAGCCGCCTCGGGTCCCACTCTAGGGGAAGTTATACAGTCGCTGAATGTCGTACGCAGCTTTGTGGAATGTAACGGAGATGATTTTGAGATGTTGCACCTAGTTAGACTTCTTGAAGATATGATAGTCGGCGCCGCTAATTACAGGGCGCAGCAGTCCCATATCGATGACTACTTGAGTGACATTCCCTCGTATTGACTACTCGTTTTGAATAAAATGTTTCCTTCAAGATTCAAAGCTTTACGCACAATTTTTGTCGTTTTCTTTCATTTTTAGATAATTCGCAAATCCGGTTAATTCACATATTTTTCGCTGTCCGACCGACTTCGAATTAATGAGGTTCTACTGTAGTTACTCTAACCGATCACAATTAATAGCGCTAGGTATTCATTGCGATCGATATGAGCATCGTTGGCACAAAAACTGATAACTCTTCATTAGGCATGTGCAAATAATGGATTTTGCGTTCGAAGCAAATTCAAAATGAATAGTAGTTTCAGCCAAATATTTTTAATTAAAAATAAAATAGTTGCTACGCTTTTCTCCACGCCTTTCACTACCATTACACCATACTTCAACGAAAATTCAACTGAACTTGCAAAGGTTGTTCCCAAGCTTCTAATTGCCCACTTTGAGCTCTGTTAAATTTAATTTAGATATACTTTTATATTGTGACCTCAGGAAGTAAAATACCTACACTGGGATATCAAATAAACGACAAATTTTATGTGAAATGAAACCTATAAAGGAGCCTAGCCATACCTAATTGAGGAGATTTATAAACCTTCTCGCTATATGCAAATGTTTTCTTCGACTCTGAATTTAAAAAAAAGAACCAAGCATAAATAATGAACACAGGTTGTTAGACAGAGTAAGACACAGGTTGGTAGGTTGCATAATAGCCACAGGTAAATTTTTGAAGATTTTACTGCAATGTAAATTTTAACAATCAATTGTTGTCACTCTTTTTAATACATTAGGCACGCACGTGCACCAGATTACTTTGAAGGTGTGTTTTTCGCCTAAGTGTGCGGCTCCGCTGTGGCGAAGAGAGTCGCGAGATTGCGGTGTCAGCTCCATAGGGTACTGCTTCTCCGCAATGCACCTGTACCTCAGGAGAAGCGCACTATAGGGAGCTAAACGTTTCGATCAAATTTCGAAAAATATGTATATTGCAGTTCATTTTAAAGCGATTATCAAAGTGCTTATTATTTGACACTACTATTTGAAAATGTGAATATTCGCACAACCCTACTCTTTGCACATAGTAGTTATGCATCCGAAAAAACAACAACTGGGCTTTTTTCATTTTCAGTGGCATCGCCAACCATACCACGTGCAAGACACTTTCACATTCTTTTTCGTGAACAGCTCCCTTTTGGCACAGACATGCTGCACCAATGCGACCTTTGGAGCAGCATGTAGCAGGTTAGTTATGGCGCAGTTGGGCGCAAATGGCGCGGCAGTTCCATTACTGTGAAACACACTGCAGAGTGCGCAGTGAGGCTCGGATCAAATCAAGTTGCAAAAGTTAGCCGTTTGGCAGGGGCAGGGGAACCTGTGACTTGACATAAGAGCATTTTTTTTTTAACCTGAAATGTTCTCTGGCTAGTTGCTCAGCATTTCATGAAACCCAAAAGGATGAAGCGACCGCAAAGCTCACTGCCGATTGGCTGATGGGGAAGAAAGGAGGAATGAAGGAAGCCCGATGCTGATTGGCTAACAGGAGAGGTCACATGGCTAGAGGTGGTTGAGAAGATAGACCACCTGTGCACCGACGAAGGTAGCTTGACGCTCTAACGGGAGGAGGTCACGTGGCTAGGAGTGGGTGAGGAGGAGGTGTTCACATGATTGAGCGAGGGCGCACTAACGGGAGAGTGATTAGCGCTATCGCGCCGTTCCAGGAACTGCCATAAGTGGGTATTGTACGCATTAAGGGGGGACATGGCCTCGGAATTCAAAATTTTCAGAAAAAACTTTTTTTCAAAAATAATATGTTTGTGCTTATTAACTTCCAAAGAATGGTTTCAGAAACTTTCATTTATAAACATGCAGGATTTATCTCACAATGAATTATTTTCGACATGTCGGCAGCCCTCCAAGTCAGCAGGGAGCAAGTTTTTTGCATGTTTATTTAGCACTGCTTTATACTCGTTTAACATAGCCAGAACATCTCACCCTCATTGGAAGCGCCATTTACTCTGGATTTAGCCCGTAGAAGCCTTTCAAGTTTAAAAGTATCAATGGCCAGGAGAACACCTTATATCCAAACTGAAAAAAATTGTGAAAATTTGGTATGAGCAATCTTATTAGTTGAGACCTAAAACGGGATTTACGATTGGTCCTGCCCGGTGATGTGATATTGTGCCATCTTCAGTAACACCCTTTCACAGTATCTTCCACTCTAGATCATATTTCTGCTCTGCTGCTCTTCCTTAGTATTATTTGCCTCTTAGTTCTTGTCATTTTATCTGTCAAGAAATGCCTGCTACGAAAGTTAGCTTGCCTACAAACGACGCAAATTGGTAGCTATAGCCAGGGGAACAATAAAGTGTCAAAGAGGAAGGTTCTAACAATGCGCCAGGTGAATTTTGCTACCTCAGACCCACAGAAAAGAAAGAAAACAAAAGTTGAAACTTCAAATGCATTTTTCTCAGTTTCACTTTTTGGCAGGAAATGTGGTATGAGGAATTGTATCATTGGACATTTTGAAAGTGTAAAGATTTCATTCAGTGTTGTCCTTGACTGAAATTTCCTGAGGAACAAGTTAAGGTACTCATATTCTGAAAAAGCTAAATTCTTCAAGAAAAAAACTGAATATTTTAAAACTCAGAAATTTGTTAAAATTGTTTGCTCTTTTTGAGCGTTGTTGTTTTTCTGTAGAATTGCATTTTCTACAATTAATTTTTACCTTAACTTGCACTATGGGTATTGTACTTCACATTAAACCAAACATTTTGTGGATTGCAATTATTATTTTGCTTAAATACATTTCCTAATAAAGTAACTTTTTTCTGGAGTTTGTTAAGCATAGTATGTTGTAGAGTTGGCCGATAAGACTGAAACTTTAGATGTCATCAATCTTAATGGGGTTCATTTCACCCTGAAAGTTTGAATCAATTTGAGACATTGGTTCAAAAGTTGACCCTCCCAGGCCATGTACCCCCTTAAGTAATCTCACTAAGAGTGCCGTGAACATAGGCGTCTAGCTGTGCGGAACCTCAGCGATGAACAGCATGAGCAAAGATCTTAGACACCAGAGTTTGAACACTAGAAACCAATCCCACGCTACACGGACTAACATCAACGTACTTGGCTATCAAGTGTAACCGCTGAGCGATTGAGCCAGAATGTTTCACATATGCAAATTTGCCACACAGTTTTTTTGTTTTCTTTTTGTCTTTTGGCTTTTTACATTAGAATCTGAGAAGCCCTCAGCCCTGATAGCATTTTTTTAAAGGCAAATATGGCTTCCCCTAATTTTGTGCAATTCACCGGCTCCAAAACTATAGTTATCTTGTTGCCATTTTTCAAAGTTTCACTAAAAAAAAAAAAGTGTGAAATATCTTTCTAGGGTGGCAGCGAAATGGCGACGAAGCAAGACAGCAACTTCCATGGTGGGTTTGAATCGAATAGTGCCGCTTCATTCACGGCCGTTGCAGCATAAGCTAAGTCATGACAACTGGTTCTCTTGATGCTGGAGATGACAGCTTTATTCAATTTGAACCATCGTTTGCGTAGCATGACGTGGCACGTTATGACGCGGCACGCCATGTGAGCACGCAAGGCGGATGCACTAAGCTGGCGCGTATTATCACCTCCAGCGGGGAAGCTATGGATAAAGCTCACTTGGGTTTCGAGTCTTCTGGCCGGCTACTTCTTTCCTTACGTGCGTACACGCGGCTAGCACCGGGCTAGTTGCGTCAGTTTGCATGCCCCTAACTCTAACCTTGTGGAGCCTTTGGACACTGCAGCCATTTTTCCGCGTCCAAACCACGTTGAAAGTTCACCAGCTTCTGCCGACACGCCAGACGGAAAACGCAAAAAGGCTTCTTCGTCGTCCAGCCCGCTAAAAACAGTTTGATTGGGGCAAAGCAGTACCACAATGATCTTCTGACACCGCAGCCACCACCGGTGCACGAGGGTGCCCGTGCAGCTCCGGGCACCAATATGGCAGCCCCCTTCAGCAGGTGTCATGTAAGCGGATGTCACGTGACGCAAATGAACGAACGAACATTGCACCGGCATTGGACGGTGGAAGAAAAGAGTGCCGGTACCTTGAGCACGGTGTTTCGGTGACTCTATGTTTAACCGAGGCAACGTGGTACACCGGGAATGCGTCTTTAACCGGTGCCGTTACCGTCCTTCCCAAACAATAGATGGATCGAAAGTTGTTTCGACATGGCAACAAACGAGGCCACAAAGCCGGCATATTTCACTGTCGGACATTGCAATCCTAGCTGTCGGTTCAAGAAATGCCAGCAAGAAAGGCGAGCACGCGCGGAACTCGCCGTCGTCGTGGCGTCCCAGCCTTCGACTGCCAAAGCTTCCGCGAACTGTCCAAAAGCAGAGCGGCCTACATAGGACGGGTGTCTGCCACACCCCCTGCCACCGCTCCGACTCTGCCAGGGCCGTGGCAGGCAATGGCGCGACACTTTTACGATGTCTCGAGACGGAAGTTGAGAGACTAGGAACGGGGACGCAGCAGTAGGAGACATATTTTGGGCACCAGAGTGTCGATCCGGTACACTTACGGATGGCAGGGCTCCTCTCCGTTGTTCGTGTCCGGGCTCACTTCCAAAGGGGTGACGGCCACCGGGGCAGGGGAGGATGCCCCGGCAGCGGCATGCTCGAACAGGGCGGCAGACGTCCAGGGCGAGAAGGCCGGCACCTGCAAGCGAGGGAGGACACTCATTCGCCCGTCCGGCGGCAACCAACTCTAATCGACCACCTTAATACCGCAATACCCTGAGAGATCGCCCAGCTAAAATCGAGAGCAAATCGGGTGAAGACAAGGCGTAGGCTAACTTTCGGTGCACAATCGAGAAAAGCCAAAAAAATGCTATTTTTAGGTGACGCGTCCCTACCGAACTTGTTGCCGTGGTGAGGGGCAATGAAGCAAAGATGGCTGTACTTCCCAGTCAGCAATGTTGGTCATTGATCCAAACGCTCTGATTACTAGCAATGTGTCCCGGAAAATCCTGGGAGACATTGCTGCTAGTATTCCACATTCGACTGCAGAGCGCGGAGAATCATGGAGCCATTCTGATGTACGCTCGGGCCGACTCGGATGCGTCGCACATCCTGGAAGCGGCACGATCCATTCTCTCCTTTTATTGTGAGTTGAGAAGACACGAAAACTAAAACGAATGCAAAACAAGGTGCTCTGCTTTCCTTCTACCTTTTTTTTACATTCCGAAATAGCAAAATGTTAAACCAGAGTGAGCTTTGTCTTCTATTCTCGAGCGGTCTTTCTGGTGCTTTGCGCCAGATGGTCGTAATGCGTCGAGCAGACGGTGGGGGTGCCACATATTTCCGGAATGGTCTATTTGCTTCGGTCTTAGCCCAAAACACCACATTTATCTGAATCTAAAGTAACCTCGAACCCAACAAGACCCCTCCGGTGTCAACGACCAATATTGGAGGGAAACGCCTAAAATGCGTAGCACTTGTAATGCTTGCCCTTAGCACTTTTATGTCCCAGCCAGGGATGTAGCCTCATTAGAGCTTGCAGCATGAAACATGCAACGGGCAACTGCTCCTGAAGCAGAGAATTTCCTCGGCATGCACTTGTGGGCAGTAAAGCGGACTCCACATACTATAAAGGCCCTTGCTTTTGGGCTTTGTGTACCGCCAAAGGGGTGCAGAAGCGACAAGGGCGGGCTAAACAAAGCCAAGCGGGAGGACCGAGGGACGCGGCTGCAGAACAAGAGCACTGAGCCCAGCGCCAACAGGAAATTAGTTGCCATTACACAGCGGCCGTCTGCCAGTTCTAGAGCTAGTTCATGGGTGTTTGGCGGACCACGTAAGGTGTGCGCAGACTAAAGGTGTTCCAAATGCTACTGTGCGTTTAGAACGCCTTTGGAAAATGGCCTAAAGGACGGCTAATTTTGTGAATGCATGCTGCCCGGTGACATGGCTGCACCGAGAGGCGACAGCAAGTAGAAGCTCGGAAGTGTCGGTGCTTTGCGAATACAGTAAACTCTCGATTGAGCGAACTTCAAGGGACCCAAGGAAATAGTTCACTTGACTGAAAGTTCGCTAAACTGAATATTTATACACTAGAATAGGGAACAGCATAGTGCACAGCATACATCAATTCAGAAGTGTCAAATGCAATTTACGAAGTCATGTATATCGATATATACAAAGTGCATAACAGTTATGTTGCTGCCTTTCTCATTTTGAAAAACAATCTGTAATTTTCATTTGCACCGGTGCTCTTAAGGCGCATGAAGTAACAAAGCTGTCCAGAGAGTCTATGTTTTTTCGCACTTCCTCTGGCACAGCTTGTTGCTGTGACGAAGCCAGCCGTACCGCAACGGCATTGTACACTGGCTCGAAATACCTCGTGCAGAGTCGTTTCCCGTTGGAATTGAATGTAGTTTCTCCTTCAAGCTTCGACTTTTGCTTCATTATTGCTGACAACGTCGATGGGGAGATCCCATAGTCCTTCACAACATCCACTTGCCTTTGACCATCGTCCAGACGCTGAAGGATTTTGAGCTTGTCTGATAGTGACAACCGCTTCCGTTTTGTCGTACTCATGCGTGGCCGCGCAAACTGCCGTCCTGACCTTGTTACTCAAAACTAAGATGGCCGAACGGAACCGATAGCAAAGATGCCCAACGCCAGCATTTCTGCAGTGCTGGCAGCGGGCATCGGCTACGCCAGCACTGCGGAGCACAAAACTTCGTTGAACTGATTGCAAAAATAATCCTGGGTCCGGCGATCAAGTTTGTTCGCTGTTCCCAAATTCACTAATTCGTTTAACTAAAACATTTTTGTATAAAATGCATAGGAAAACCGCAGGGGATTTCTTTAAAGTTTGTTATTCTGAAATATTTGTTAAACCGACATCCGCTCAAGTGAGAGTTTACTGCAATCAAGGAGGCCGGTGACGCCTTTCTCTGCTAGTGCGTCGGTGCTTTCCTAGAGGGCCTTTTCCCACATGCTTCAATAATCGGTCGGGTGTTTTTCGAATATGGCCGACGGGGCCATTTCGCTTCCTTCACCGGGCCGCAGCACTTTCAGCGAGTTTGTGGCAGGCTCACCTTCTGCAGCTCTTGAGGCTCTCCCAGCTTGGCCATGATCTCTTGCTTGCGCTGCTGCAGCTCTGCCAGGCTCTGGCTCGCTATGTCCTGAAACAAGAGAGGGCGGGAGTCTTGCGAGGCCTTCAAGGCACAAACCCCCCCCCCCCCCCCTCGCCCGGAAAGATACAAAAGGAGGACTTTTTTTCAGAAAAAAAAAGGCATTACTTCCCGAGACGCATCTACCATCAGATACGAAGCGAGCGCACGGGCAAAAGTTGGAGATAATCCCGAAAAAAGGGAGATGACTACTCGTTAGGTTTGAGAGCAGAAAACCAGAAGGGGCACATGGTAGAGTAGGCCCTTGCTTGATTCGATGGAATGCTTTGTTGGCATAAGGGTTTGGCAGAAACCTCAACTTTTAAAGCAGCCGTGCCACTCTCCTGAAGCCTGCTTTGCACGGGTACTCTCGCATAGAGTTTCGCCACTTTGCACAGTCTTCTCGGTGGAGCAGTTGACGCAAAGTAGCCCCTTGGTCAGCTCGGTGGGCTCACAAGTTTGCTGGGGTGGGCGTTTTATACGCCCTTTGCTTGTATTTCAAATGTTTCAAAAGCAGAAGGTGGGGCTTATTGCAACGGCGGTGCACGTTCGGTACTTTATGGTGCATTCCAACTTGCAGCCACTTAAAATCCAGGAAGCACGAGAATTCAAGGTTGTGTTTGTTTCAGAAATAAAATATAATGCACAGACTATTTTCCCTGTATTCTGATAACTTGCGAGGGTGTAAGACTTTCCAAAAGCTTCATAAAAAGGACCTATAAAAACATTTGGTTAATTAAGTAAAAGTTCACTCACTTGAGCTGAGTATCCAGGAGCTCATTGTGAGAAACCAAAATAAACATTGGGCATTCAAGAAATACTATAAAGACTAGGCACGTGCCAACAGTAAATTCTGAGCTCAAAGCGCACGTGGTTTTGGACAAAAATTTTCTAATCAAATAGTTTCTCCAAGCCTTTCACTGCAGTGCACGAGGCTTAAACAAAAATTCAACTGAACCCCTAAAGGTTGTAAGGTACGTTGTTGGGCTAGTTGGTTCATCTTAGTAAAACATATAAAATAGCGCAACAGAAACAAGGACAAGAAGTAAACAGGACAGGCGCTAGCGCCTGTCCTGTTTACTTCTTGTCCTTGTTTCTGTTGCGCTATTTTATATGTTCCCTAAAGGTTGCTCCCAGCCTTCCACTTGAGCACTTCTAAGCTCAGTTAATTTTAATATTACTATTTAAAGTGTCGCATGTAATCGACAAATTTGTTGCCACTATCCTAATCAAGGAGATTTATAAATCGGCTTTCTAAATGAAAATATATTTTTTTCAATAAAAAAAAAATAATGAATGGGGATTGTCAAGACATTGCTGCCTAACATATACTCTTGCATAATCCTGGCAGGTAGGCCCTGTTGAGTGTGCTTCTCACAGGGCACTTGTTAACTGCGGGGAAGCAATACAGTGTAGACCGCATATAACGTATGTCTCGGGAGTCGCGAAAATCCGCACTATAAGCGGTACCGCACTATAACCAAAACATCAATTTTTGAGGCCAAAATACATGCCATGAGACAACTTACCTTTGTAAAAGAATTTATTTTATGTTAGATGAAAAAATAAGCTTAGTTTGAGGAAAGTCTTTATTTCAATAGACTAGTACAGTTATGTCTCAAGTGCGTCACACATTTTAAAAGAAATTAGCGGCTTTTGCCTGGCGCAGCCTTTTAATGGCGTCGCGGGTTGCGGACGGACGTTGCGAGCGTTCAGGATTGCTAACCCTAATCACTTTTCTCCGGAGATGAAAACGCGTGAAAATTTGTATCCTTCATACGCTACGCGCCAGTAATACCTTGAACTTGAGCACACGCATGAATTGCGCCAAATAAGAAATCCGGGCGATGTTCGAGGACACAAATGCTTAGAAATCACCACTGTAGTCGAAGTAAACAAACACGACGACACGGGCGTTTTTGCCGTCTTGAGAGCGCCGCCACGACATCGCCGCACGAGTAGGTGGATCTTCCCTTCTAGTACGTGCTGGGTTATCATAGCGACACACAACGAAAATTCACAGTCAAGGATAGCGCTTTTACGCAGAACGATGAGATGCACGCCGTCTACGACGACGATCACAACCAACGCCATGTTTGCGGAATAGAAGCAGCCGGCCTGGCGGCCTGGCCGGCCCGCGACCGGCATGCATGATACAACGCGCGCGAACACTTGTCCTCGACCTGCGATTGGTCTGTCGTTGCGGTTGTTTGTTTCTCTGTTTCCAACGCAGCGGAGGGACGCACGCACGTGAACGACTCGTGCGTGCGTCCCTCCGTCACTATGGCAACTGAAGCCTCCCTCTTCGTTTCTTCCCGCGTTTTCGAGCAACCTCCTTGCCCCGCGAGTGCAGTTTGCGGCTCGCGCCGTCAGCTTGCGTCAGCGTCGTTATCTGGTGTCGCACAGCGAAGCGAGCTCGCTGCTCCGGTCGTCGGCGCGGCTGGCGGGCTGCGCCAGAAACCGCACTATAACCGGTACTTCCCTTCGCGCGCCTGCATTTTAAGCGGTATGTAATTACATGGAGTTCTATGGGAGGTGAACTGGTGGTTTAAAAAAACCGCGTTATACCCGGTCCTGCACTATAAGCGGTTACGTTGTAAGTGGTCTATACTGTATCCAGGAAACCCGCAAGCTCCGCAGGTATTGCTTCCCCGCAATGCACAAGTGCTCGGTGAGAAGCGCACTCACAAGGCTAACCCATCGCTACCTACAGATAAGAAATTATGAACATCCCAGTTTATTTCTAAGTGAATGTCAAATTGTATTTTATTCGAAACTAGTATTCGAACATAAGAATGCTCCAATATACTCTTGGCATGTGCTTGCGGCAGCAGTGCCTACACAGCCTGTTTAAGCGCACTCTTTCTTCCATTTAACTCCGTGCGCAATATGAAACAATGCAGACGTCGACATCCAAAAGAGTGGCCGATTCTATTACTTCCTCTCAAATAGTCGGCCCCGGAAGTGCAGATGTTCCTGCACTGAAAATCTTTCAGCCGTGTGGCAACGGTGTGTCCTACTTCCACAAAATATCCAACATGAAGACTCCTTTTAGTTCTGCTCACAAGCACAACTGTTTTGTATTTATATTGTGAACATCCTTATTACTATAGCATGGTTATTATAAATAAAGGGATACTGCAACGAAATTCTAGCGCCTATTTCACTGTCTAAATGTCATCTATGTTCTGGCCACACCACTTTTGCTCGAAAAGACATTGAAACATTATTAAAAAAGGACTAAGCCAAACACTGTTGTGTCCCCATGCACTTAAAAACAGCGCCACTCCGCAGAAGTATGGCAACAAGCTGCGTGTTCGCAAGCCCCGTTGAACCGGATTTCCCTTCTCTCCCGGCCTATGCAACTCTTGCAGGGAACGGGGAGGGGCAACCAAAAGCGGTCAGGTTGTAATGCATCGATGACGACAAATGGCATAGTTCATAACCACGCCAGCCCCCAAGCAGCTTTGCCCGTGCTAGACTACGTGATGTCACGTCTGTGACGTCACTTACGAGTGTGATGCGTTGCACTCTTCAATGGCTGATCATCGAGCGCTCGCTGGAATTAGTCCTTTGGAACGAAAAATTAAAAATAAAGCCATTCAAAATACAAGCGTGCGATTATCACGAGCAGATTGAGTTGATCATGTTTAACTTATTTCTGAATGTGAGGTTTCGATTCAGTATGCTTTTATATTAACTTTTGACCAGGCTGATTTTTAACCCTTTGAGGACGGGTTTGTTTTCCTACCTGCACGCCGAACGCGAATGTTAATCTCAGTAACTCTGTAGCATGCTCTGTGAAGAATATTTATTTATAAAAGACACCCTATTTTATGGGCAAAGAGTTGATTTGTGCCTCCAACCTAGTACATTTTTCTCGCACTGTACTTTTCGAAACACGGTGCTATGCAGTGGCACCTCGACCTCGCACCCCGAGGTCGTTCTTTTGAGCAGCTTTATCCGGCCTTTATTCATTCGGAATTGCAACTTCCTTGTTTTCACAGTCGTCGAATACCAAGTTCATTAGTAAATCCTAGATCTCAGTGTTGCTCATGAAGTGCTAGGTTGAGCGACAGATTTGTCATTCTGTAACAACCAAGGAGCACACCAAAACTAAAATTGCCCAAACAAAAAAAATTACAAGCCATCAAAAAGTGACATTACAAAAGTTGTTTTCACTGTTTGCTCATGCACCCCACTACACATAAAAAAAAAATTGACAGCCCAGTTGAGAGGGGCGCAGAGCAAACTGAAACCACACAAGAATGTGCCCGAGCACATTTGGGCAGGACACTCAAAGGGTTACGGGGGGACGCCGGCCTTCAAAACTGAAAAATCGCGAAAAAGTCAATTTTTTGAAAACCATATTTTCAGGTTGTATATCTCCTAATCTACCTTCTCTGTAATTATACCCACTAAAATCACCGGGAAAATATTAAAAATAAAATATTTACAAGGCTTGAGTAGCTTTCAAGTGGCAGTCAAGCGCCAAAATCAACCAAAAGTTTGCGCTATCGGCGCTCCCGTCCTATTCGGCCGACGGCCGCCATTTTTATCTTGTTTTGAACGTCTGTTCTTTCTCGTCCTTCTCCCGATTTTCAAAATGGAGTCAACCTTATGGTTTTCACGCGGTCGGCGTTTTGCCATGTCACAATTGCACAACGTGATTGGACAAAGCGCGCGCTCCCGAAGCGAGCGGGGGAGCACGTGGCTACTATTGGCCGCGGCGCGCGTCCTCCTCTTTGTTTTCTCCCGTCGCTGCCAGTCGCATCGTCTGCTACGGCAGTGGTCTCCTTGCTTGCCCCCCGTATTGTCAGCTCCGCTTCACTTTTCGCCTTCTTTACGATCGTTCCCGCTGAACTTTGAGCAGTTTCTCGTTGCTTGCCCATCTATTTCCTAACCGCACACGATGCGTAAAACGAAATACAAGACGGTGCACGCGTTCGGTGTGCGAAAGCGCTCCATGAAGCTAATCAGGATGGCGAAGTTGAAAGTTGCCGCAGAGCGTGCCGCCAATGCTCATCACGTTGACGCTTCCAGTAATGGATCTTCCGTGCCCTCTGCTGTCGCCGCCAAGGAAGAAGCTGTCGCGGCAGGTATGCGTGATGTCCCGAGCACATCGACCGCTGCAGTTTCTTCCAAGAGTGCAGGCTCCAGCGCTCGGCTGGCGCCCACTGCGAGTCGGAGTGCATCGTCCAGCGTCCATCTCGTGACCGGTTTTCTGACGCGCAACGAAATCGAAGTTGCCGCAAAGCATCGCGAGACTGTTCAAGCCGAACTTGGCGCTATGCCAGCGACCCAAAGGATGCCTCAAGCCATGCAGCCCGATCCCACACCTGCCACTGCTACGTGCGAAGGTGGGAAATTTTGCCTCATTCAGATAGACATTTTGAGCAACCTGCTCTTCTGCACGGTGTGCAAACATTGCTTGGGGACTGGATCGACTGTACAAGAGGGCACCAAGCTGGGACTGGCCACAAAACTCGAGGTCATATGCACACTTTGTGGCGTTGTTGCAAGTTCCTGGAGTTCACCACGCCAACAGGACTCGATGGCCTTCAAAGTCAACATCCGATCCATAATGGCTATAAAGCAGATTGGAAAGGGGCACAAAGCTCTCAACGATTTTTGGGCTGTCGTGAATGTCTCCCACAGAGGCCTCCACCACAAGACGTTCCAGGAGCACCTGAAGAAGACCTTCAGAGAGCAAGAGGCCCTGTGCATAGACAAGTCTTATGTCGATTCAGCCGCTGCTGTGAAGACAGCCTGCAAAAAGATGGATGCAAGCTTCTACAAGGACATCACTATGGTGTACGATGGAACATGGCACAAGCGTGGGTACACGTCCCACATCGGCGTTCGATCAGTGATCGAGTACCATACAGGCCTCATCTTGGACGCTGTTGTTCTATCCAACCTGTGCCTAGGATGCCAGATAGGACCGAAGCCTGGAGATGAAGCATACAGCAGCTGGCGCATGCATCACGTCTGCCAGAAAAACACAGACGCCAAATCTGGAAGTATGGAGGTCGACCCAGCCCTGATGCTTTTCAACCGGTCTCTCTCGAAGCACAATTTGCGTTACACGACACTCATCTCCGATGGGGACAGCAGGACCTTCTCTGCACTCGTGGAAGAGAATGTCTATGGGCTAGTGCCTATCGTGAAGGAGGAGTGCCTCAATCACGTTCAGAAGAGGACGGGGACGGCACTGCGCAACATCGTACAAAAGAGCGACAAGCCGTTGAGTGGCAAGGGAAGGCTGGCAAAGGCTCTCATCGACAAGCTAACTGACCACTATGGCTGGGCCCTACGAAACAATTCGAAGGATGTGGCTGCGATGCAGCATGCAGTAATGGCCACATACCATCAAGTCACGTCGACTGACCAGGAACCCCACCATGAAGTTGGCCCGGAGGAAACTCAACCCTGGTGCTGGCATAGAGCTGCCAAGGCAAAGGGCAAGCCACAGCCCCAGCATAAGCACAAGCTCCCAGACTACGTCGCTGCAGCTATGCTGTCCGTCTACCAACATTTATCACAGATTTCTCTTCTCCAACGCTGCTTGAAGGCAAAGACACAGAATGCATCTGAGTCTTTCCACTCTGTTCTGTGGTCCCTGATGCCCAAGGAGCAGCATGCATCGCTGATTGCTGTTGAAACGGCACTGCATGAAGCACTACTCAGATTCAACGCCGGATGCTACAAGGCTACAACAGAGATCTCGGTCTCAGTGGGGCTCCAGCCAGCCCATCTAGCCCTCCAGCGAGCTGCCGAGAAAGATGTCCAGTGCATGCACAAGGCCAGCAAACAACAGCAAGAGAAGACAGAGAGGCAGAACAAGAAGAAAGAGCACAATGACACTTCCAGCTACTCTGCAGGGTCATTCTAATGCAGAAAGTTTGTCTAAATTTCAACCGCCATTAGCTCAAAATGGATTTTTTGTCTCTGACGTGGCTGCTCATCCCAGTGATATCTCAGGAACTGCTTATCCGATTTGCGTGCTGTCTTTTGTATTTTGTTCCTAAATAACTTTGTGAGGGCATGACAATCTTGTTTTTTTCAAAAGTTGAACTAGAAATTTTTAATAAATAAAAAAAAAATTATGAATGTGTGTTTAATCGAAAACTGAAACTGCAACATTGTGCTAAAATTTGTCTGCAAAGGAATTTAGAAAAAGGGCTCTGTTTTGCCCTGGAGTACCTATCCAGCGGTCACCATGACGAATTTCACACTGCCACTGCCTTTTGCAGATTCTCTAGGACGGGGATAAGGGACACACATAACCCATCTTGATAAACTCTTATAACTTGAGAATGAATGATCACAGTCTCATGAAACTTTGCAGTTAGTCTTACGTTATGGATATGAACATGCCCTAAAATTTTCATTCTGGTATCTCTAGAATTAAGAAAGTTCATTCTTCGTCCCCACCTCCCACCTTAAGATAGACTAGTATGTATCAATTGATACTTCCCCCTGTGTTAGGCCATTCAAGGGAATGGATTAAAAAATTTGTTAGCAATAACAAAATTGGTTTCATTAGCGGTGTACAATATCTTGGCAACTTATATAGTTCGCTTGCCTCCTCGCATAATGAACATATTGAACGCACCCCCCAAAAACGGGTACCAATGTTTGGACTTTTTTTTTCCCCTCGCGTAATGAACGCACTTCTAATTTTCGGTTCCACAAGTATTGAATTGTGTCCAATTTAGCTAGCCACAGAGTCAATTTTCTTTTGCCGCCACGCGGTCAGGCCAAGTTAGGTAAGCCAAGCCAAGCCCCTCTCGTAATGGCTGCAAGTGGCCACAAGTGCGTAGTTGCAGAAGTGATCAACTGTGAAACTGAGCAGCGCACACACTTGATGGAGCTTGGGTCGAGAAATTGCCCAGCCCCGGACATTTTTCGCCTATCGAGTGGATGTCAACAAACACGCCGTCGTCTGTGGTCCGCTTTCAGACAGCAAATATGAAAGTCGTTAGGCCTAAGAACAGCCGCATAGTTCCCCGTGCTGAGTGAGCTTCGTAAGGCACTTTTTCTTTGACAAAAGGCACTGAAAAAGGTTTGCAATTTATAGAGCATGATTACTGTAGCGTGCCCACGACCAGCTATGGACGCGCCTCCATCAGTAGAGATGTGCCGCAGTACCCTGCCATGTCATAGTGGCACCTAAAACGACATTTGCGCTAAATGTGTAAATGCCAAATTTTTACCACGAAAATTGACCCCAAATATGGGTAAATTTTTCGGAAAAAAAAAAAGTGTGTTCATTATGACAGTAAATACGGTATCTTGGAAGCACGAGTCACACAACGCAAAAAGAACCCATCGGATTAAAAAAAAAAATTGGCCCCTCAATTAAGTTTTTTGAATGGAAGCTCTGAATAACCGCACGCCACAGACTCCGTACGACAGCAGGCGGCTTCGGTGCGAGCCTGGAAGTCACCTGGTTCTGCTGCTGCCTCTTCTTCGCCTCCTGCAGGGCCTGAGGGGGCTCCCCATTGGTCGGCGGATGGAACGCCGCACTCTCCGGGTTCAGGGCCCTACCTGGGACGGTCCCTGCACACGCCAAAGACGCCACTCCGTTGCCGATCGTCTGGACGCCCTAAATAAGCTGGCTGTTTGCAGGAAGCTTCCATTACCTGCCGCTCAGTGTCGCAAGCATCGGACCAAGCTAGCCTAATGCTTCCTAGCACAAGGTTGTGCGAACGTCTCCACACGAATTCATTCTAAAAAGATGCAGGGGCTGAAGGAACCAAAGGCTGAAGCAATCAGAGGCCCAAGCAATCACAGTGAATGGGGTTTGCAAGTGCTTATGGCCAAGACAATTAGGAGGTGGCACCACTGAATGAAGCAAAAGCTGCCTTTGATTGATGACAACCTGGAGACATCCATTATAGTAAACGACTTGTACCCAGGAATTTTCACCAATTTGGCAAATAGAAAACAATTGAAAAAAAATTGAGCGTGTGAGTTTACGAGGTATACTAAGAAATTAAGGTTGAAATTTTTCTCTGAAAACAATGCACTTCACAGAAAACGTTTCAGAACATATTGGTCACTGCCAAAGGATCAATTGAATGCGTGCATAACGTTTGGCATAATTAGGCAGCTAAAATTGTTTTTTATAATGAATCCTTTAATTAGTAAAAATAAAGTTCCAATTAAAAGGGTCAGCAGCCACGAAACCACGATGGTGTATTCACATTTGGTGTTTTTGTCGCCCTAGCCCTCGTATAGGTAATGTTTCTTCATTCCCTCCTGTATCCTGTACCCCTGTCCCTTTGGTTGTTGACAATTCTTAACTCTCCCGACTACGCCCATAGGCCGTCTATCACACTTAATCGATAGAATGCCCATTTCAAAACTCCCACAGAGCATCCGTTCTCGCTGCCCACCTTGCAGGAAGTTTGAAATCTACTGTATCGGTTTCCGTGTTTCTCTTTCCACGTGGCGACAATTTTTAAGCTAAGCGAAGCACGTCGTCATTGCTGGCAGCCATGCTCGCCTGCACGGGTCGGGCGCGCACTCGCAAGCGGGGCAACCGCAAGCCTTCTAAGGTTTTTCGGACTCGGATAGCAGTACTGGGTCTGATGAGCGAGCCAGGCCACCATATTTCAGTTCTGATGACCTGTGCTTCACCACACTGTGAAGCAGCTTTGCCCAAAGGCATGTCAGTCGTGAGGGTTGACTAGACTTTTGGTGGTTTTTGAGCTATACTCATTACCACCTCAAGAAAAAAGCAAGTTTTGCACACTGTTCGTATGCCGCATGAAGTTGTAGTTCTCACAAGATTTGGTTGTTGGAGGAAGAAGCGATGCTTTAGGCATTTGATATGTGTATGTCTTGATGAGATATATCTTCTCTAAAATGCACCTACATATTCTCCAGATAAAGGGGGAAATTAGTAATGCTCCGCGATGAGCCGAACTTGTTTTACTACTGTCCTTGAGGTGAAAACTCATACAGCACTCTAGTTTTTGCAAAGCTTTTTGTTGCCAAAAAAAAACAAAAAACATTTATACTAAATATTGATTTTGCTTTGCACTCTCTTTTTATATAAACAACATACTATCTCTACTCAGTTTGGTCCAATTAAAAAAAAAATCTGTATTATAAATTAAATGTTTGCTTTGATGTTTGTGTCATTCGCAAGGACATTTACTTAGTGTCATTTCTATGTACCGCATCATATTGTAAACCTGATAGTTTCTTTAGGAATAAAAAAACATTAACAAAAAGCCACATAAAACAGGCATTTTTACCTATGGTCCAGGAGGAGTTAAGTGCACCAACGTAGCTCTCTTAATAAACATATTTCACTTGAGAGGCAACTAAAAGCAATTACTTAGTGGTTCTAAATGATGCCAGATGAGTTCATAATTTAAACTACTTTATCTGCAATAGCTCAAAGAGTAATTATTCAGAAATAATTTACTGCTTAAATATCTCAAGCACTGCGACCCTCCCTAAATGTCCTATTTGCAGCGGCAAACACACCATTAATCTTTTATCTGTACTAGTATGTCCAAGTTCCCCAGAAACGTTTGGGCTTAAATTTTGTGAAACTCCCAGCATATAACAGTCATCCTAACTCATACACAGGTTTTATAAACAACCCTAGGCGCAGTAGAAAATTTTGTTCCCGCAAAACAATCCACCCTTGTCAAATTTATTAAATTTTACGCCGGTGAATATGCAGCCAAAATCCAGTAGTTGGAGAGCAAAACCTCACTAATATGTTCTCAGTTTATAGATTTTCCCAGCTGTTATTTACGTGAACACCGGCGGCATTGAGCTCCACAGAGGTACTGTGCACCAATTTCCCGCTTGTCACATTTCCCTTCCCGGTTACTGCTACGTCCAATAATGGCCACAACACGCGGCTGACGCGATGAGCCTGGTTGCAGCTGAAGAGCTCCTCCGGTTGCTCTGGCGTCCCTCTTTTTTTTCCTCTTTGCCTCTCTACACTGTGACACTTGTTTGGGAAGGCACGACCTTGAACCAGACAAGCCTTGAAAGGGATTCAGATTTTTGCAATCTCTCATGAATCTTTTCACCTTTCTCTGGTGTGCTGTGCTTTCATACACGAAGGACACACATGGAGTTTTCCTGCTTTGTACCGGCACGTGCATCAAGCTTCACCTGCCTTGTTCCAACTTGCCAGGTGCAGTGACCGACGCAGGAATTTAACTGGGCTAGCTCAATCAGGGTTGGGGCTTGCTATTGCAAGTCGATTGTAAGTCCAATTTCAACTTCAATAAATGCGCATTTGTAAGCTGAACTGAATAACTGCCGAGCTTGCTTCTTCTTTCGACCCTGCTCCCGCTTCCCCCTGCCCCGTGTCCAGTTTCCTACGCTGTGGATTATGCTCATCCTACATACAGTCGCCGACAGAGCAAGAACGACAGGCCTGCCCTTCAAACGCCCACGCTCCATGCCTTTCACTGTGCCTCGGCAGCAAGCTCAAGGTGAACGACATGTCGAAGCACAGTCAAATGTGGTAAGTTTGCGCTGGAGGCGAGACAACTTAAGCTCCTCCCTTGTCACCTTGTGAAACTGTGGAGTGCTCCGCCCTCACGAAATATTAATGTTGTCACAAATGATCAGTGGTAGTTCAGAATATGAGTCTCTCCGCCCCAAGAATGACCCGCTGGCTCCTGTGGACCCCCCAAGACGTCAATTCACTCACCGTCAGCAGGAAAGACCACCTCTCCGTCGGCCGGATCAACCACATGGGGCAGGCTGCGGGAAGACATACGCTCTCTCTCACATACTGCGAATAAGCACTCAAAGGGACGCTAGGAAGTTGTTTACGCTTTCCAAGAATTCGGCTGAAATGTAGGGTTGTGCAAATATCAATATTTTCGAATATTGGATAGTCGAAGGCAGGGGCATTTATTCACAGCATTTTTATTTTCACATGCCAAAACTGCAAATAATTTTTTTTTTTTTTTTTAATTTTTTAATTGCAGAGTTTTAGTTGATTTTTTTGCATGACAACTTCTAATCTTAACGAGAATAAAAACACAAAAACGAAAATTCTAGTTATAGGGAAGATTACAAGCTGTAATGCAGAAAAATCAACTGCTGCACATGGTCAGGTAGGAGGCGCTCCCTTCGAGCGGAAACTACACCTCCAGCCACAGAAAATACTCTCTCATTCGGCACTGGAGTGGCAGGTATTGCAAGGTATTTGATGCAAAGCTTCACCAGACTCGAATATCTTAAGCACCCGACAGTTCGCCACCACTCACACAGATCACCCTCTCTCTTTAGCAGTGCCTCCTCCGCATACGCTGGAACTTCCCATTCTGAAGCTGAAACCACTTGGCTTTCCATGTCACTTTTGTCTAAGTGGTCAAATGCTTGCCAAACATCTGCTGACGGCATTGAGCCTTGCTCTTGTGACTGTAGAGCAGCTTCCGGCTGGGTTTCTTCAGTAGCATCACATAAGGCTACTCATGTGATGCTACTAAAGCACCAGAGCTTTTAGCCATAATAAATTTTCCTTTCCAGCTTTAAAAATAGTGGACTTGAAGCGTGGGTCCAAGAATATAGCAAGGCATGCTTCCTTGCCCTTCTCATACAGAGTGAACCTTGCCTTGATGGATCTTATCAGTTCTGCAGGAAATTCTGATGCCCCAGCACAGTTACCTAGACAGTGGAGCATACGAAAAATTATAGGAACTTGGGAAGACAAAGACGGATACTTTTCAGCACTGGCAATAACAGTGGCATCAAACAATGGCTTCAATGCTTGTACATATTCAGAAGCATCTTTCCACTCTGATGAACCAAGTCCATTGTTGTCACAGTCCGAGGTAGCAAGCTCCACAGTGACTGCTTCTTTGAGTTCCAGAAGGCGAGACATTAGATACTGGCTATTCCATCTAGTCTCCACGTCTTGCACCAGACGTAGTGCGTCCTTTCCTATCTCCTTTAGGCACTCCTCAAGCCTTTACTGAGCTGATGAACTGTGCTTGTAATGTACCACAATATGCCTCACTTTCTTGCACGGGCGATCATTGGACGGTGAACGGGATCTTGCGTCATTAATCGCCAATTGAAGCGTATGCGCGAAGCACGCTCTTTCAGTCAACGGAAGTCTCCTTACTGCAGCACGGATGTTGCGGCCGTTGACCATTACGATGAACTTCGTACATTCATTGGGTATCTCCCATTCATGGCACATTTTGGCCAAAATAGTTGTAATGTTCACAGCACTGTGACTGGCAGCCATTTGTCGAGTGTTCAATGTGAACCGCTTCATCGTCAATTCTGGAGTGAGAAGATGGCAGGTGAAGCTCACGTAACTTTCGTTAGCGCGCTATGTCTACATGTCGCTTGTGAAGGCAACAGCGGTAGTGCCATCTTTAAAGGCACTGCTGAGCTCTGCTTAAACCTTCTTTCGGGTGTCATCATACATCCATGGCACAAGCACGCACGAGAGTGTAGAGCGAGATGGTAGGCGATAGTTGGGAACGGCTTCTGTCAGAAGTTCTTTGAAGCCGCGGTCTTCCGCAATGCTGTAAGGTTGTAAATCAAGCGCCACCATGGCGGCCCATTTGTTATTTAGCGCTCGCATCCTCTACTCTGGCAGGGGCTCCATGCGGAGCACGAAGTCCGTCAGCGTCGGTTGATCGTTTCCTGGCATACCAGCGGTAATTCCACGATACTCTTTCAACAACGCAAAATGTACTCAGAGATGGTTGACAAGGGGCGCTGTCGTACCTGTGGGCGTTTTAAGCATTGACTCGCATGCCGTACATTGTGCCATATTTCCAAATATTTCCAAATAGCACTATTCTCTCTTCGTTTTGGTGCAGTTTCTCGTTCATTCCTCTGCTTCGCACACGGCTCCCCACAGTCACCTCCATCCGCCATAACACGGGTGGACGAACGCGAAGTGAGCACAGTTTAAAATGTCAGGAGCCACAGGGGAACAGAAACTCGCAGATTACCGTTATCGACACCAATGTTACCAGTTTAGGTTGAAGCCGCCATGCAGCTATGTCGCTGTCAATGGGCCTTGCTTACCGAAACTGAAACCAACAGCAAAAACTTACGCTTGCAAATACGTTCTTGACTATTCGATTAATTTTGAATATTTGTGTTACTACGAACATTTGAAAAATATCAAAGACTTAGTTTATGAATCGAATATGAATATGAAATGTACAATATTCGATTCATATTCGAAATTTCGAATATTCTCCCTCCCCTACTGAAATGTGATCTACAGGGGCCCAACGAGGGGGAGAAAAATATATGCAGAGTGGCACTTTTCTGCGTGAAAACCGGCGGTGGAGGATCAGGCGTTTGGACCTGCCCTTATTGTTGTTTCATTCGTCACGTGCGGTAACAGTAAGGAGTCTGACATAGTTTGAAAGCTCTAAGACGTCTAAAAGTAATAAAATTGATTTACTGCCACTTAAACAACAAAAGTGCACCGATTTAACTGAGAGCGTAACACCGGGAAATGACTCCCGCAACTTTCGCGCGCTTTGATGACGGAGCAACACAGTGCAATTGTTCAACTATTGTAGTATCTGGACTGACTGCTACAATGACACAAAATAATACCCCTGCTCCACAACAGCCAGCGAGGTCTTCGCTAATACTCGAGGCACATTTGCACAGAATCGTTTGACTTCGTCGCAAGTTATGACTGCAAGATGCCAGGACATCCGAGCTGCCTGAATCGCACCTTGGCCAATTCCCGGAGTCACTTTGTGCACGACGTACAAAGCCTGGATGTCCCAGTGACTCACAGTAGTAGTACAGTATAGACCACTTACAACGTAACCGCTTATAGTGCAGGACCGGGTATAACGCGGCTTTTTTAAACCACCGGTTCGCCTCCCATAGAACTCCATGTAATTACATACTGCTTAAAATGCAGGCGCGCAAAGGGAAATACCGGTTATAGTATGGTTTCTGGCACAGCCCGCCGACCGCGCCGACTGACTGACGCAGAGAGCACACTTCCCTGTGCGACACTAGATCACGGCGCAAGCCGCAAGCGGCACTCGCGGGGCAAGGAGGTTGCTTGAAGAAGCGGGGAGAAGCGAAGAGAGAGGCTTCAGTTGATATAGTGACGGAGGGACGCACGCACGTGTCGTTCATGTGCGTGCATCCCTCCACTGCATTGGAAACAACCGCAACGACAGACCAATCGCAGGTCGAGGAGAAATGTTCGCGCGCGTTGCATGCCGGTCGCGGGCCGGCCGGCCGACTACTTCTATCCGCAAACATGGCATCGGTCTTGATCGTCGACGTAGGCGGCGTGGTAGAAGCTCATCGTTCCGCGTAAAAGCGCTATCCTTGACTGTGAATTTTCGTTGTGTGTGGCTATGATAACCCAGCACGTACTAGAAGGGAAGATCCACCTACTCATGCGGCGATGTCGTGGCGGCACTCTCAAGACGGCAGAAACGCCCGTGTCGTCGTGTTTGTTTACTTCGACTACAGTGATGCTTTCTAAGCATTTCTGTTTTCGAACATCGCCCGGATTTCTTATTTGGAGCATTTCATGCCTGTGCAGTGTGCTCAAGTCGAAGGTATTACTGGCACGTACCGTATAAAGGATGCGAATTTTCACGCGTTTTCATCGCCGGAGAAAAGTGATTAGGGTTAGCAATCCTGAACGCTTGCAACGTCCGTCCGCAACCCGCGATGCCGTTAAAAGGCTGCGCCAGGCAAAAGTCGCTCATTTCTTTCAAAATGTGTGACACACTTGAGAGAGAAGTGTACTAGTCTGTTGAAATAAAGACTTTCCTCAAACTAAGCTTTTTTTTCATCTAACATAAAATAAATTATTTTACAAAGGTAAGTTGTCTGATGGCATGCATTTTGGCCTGAAAAATTGATGTTTTGGTTATAGCGCGGTACCGCTTATAGTGCGGATTTTCGCGACTCCCGCGACATACGTTATATGCGGTCTACACTGTAGTTCCTTCTAACGTAATTAAGGGGAGATGCAGGTCAAAAAACTGCAATATTTTGGAAAAACTTTCATTTTGGGTTTTATGCTGTTTTATTATTTTTGGATTTTTGCTTTACAGTAAAACCTCGTCACAAAAAAGTTGAAGGAGCGGCCGTAACTATTTCGTTATAACCATTAGTTTGTTATAACCACTGTCCATTTCTTCCCACTATTAGCTAGCAAGGGGAATTATGATTGCTTTGTTATATCCATTAGTTTGTTATATCCATTTTGTTATAATGAGGTTTTACTGTATTATTTTTGGATCTTTATATCTGATGTATAAAAATAATTACTGTAGTGCCAGTTACGATCACAAAATTAGTCAAATGCATGTTTGAAGACCTCGAGACAACCCAGAACGGCATGAATCTGAGCCATTTTTCTCTGCTTGGTTCTTCAAGTTTCAACGTTGCCCACCGTCACATTTACATTGACGAGTAGGCCTAGCCGTCTCCTCTCCATTGCAGTTATGCAGGTAGCTTCAATTTGTCACGGAAATTTATGAACAAAATATTGATTTCTGCATCGCGAAAGAGTATAGCCACATATCTATGGTAACATTCAAACACATTTTTGTAAATGTAATTTTGGGGTATCTTCACTGTTTACGCACAAGAATTTCTGTTCTTAATATTGTTCTATGTATCAGAACCAAATCTGGTATGCATGTACAGTAATCCCTCGTTATAATGAAGTCAACAGGCCGGCAAAAAAATTCTAAATAAGCGATAATTCAATAAAAGCAATAGAGTCAAAAATACAGTGCCAGCAGTCTTGAAGGTGCACGGGAACACTACGAGACACTCCGACCGTATATTTAAACAAACAAACCTTGGTTATGAGCATGTCACGGCAGTTTTACTGAGTAAAAAAATAATTAAGTGAAGTTTGCCGATAATTTCATCTGGGCATCAGATCTTGAACTGCTCCAGGCATCGCATGAACACTATCACCACCGCTGCACTCCACATTGTTTTGAAACCGCCGTAGGACGTTTCAAGTCTCCGCAGTCGTCGGCGTTTCCCGAAGTGTCTCTCCGACGTCCTTTCGCATTCACCCTGGCTGCACGCAAGGTCTATGATTGCAGCATCCATGGCAGGAGCAACAACGGGAATGTCTGGGTCAACAAGTGCGAAAAAAAACAAAGTTATCCTCGGTGGCATTGCCAAAATGTTTTCACACACTTTTGTAGAGATCCTTGCAGCTTTGGAAATCATGCACTGGCTCAGCAAGCATGCTCGCGAGGAAAAATCCAATGTGCACGAAGCAGTTGGCGGTCTGTCGTCTTCAGGTCGCAAGCATGCTCTCTCTTGCATGAGAAACTTCTCGAACCTGTCCAATATGTCTTGCTTGTTCTGCAATATGGTGGACAGTGGACAATGTCAAACAGCCGATGCTGGAATGTTGAATTCTTTGGCGATCTCGGACTTGGGCCGGCCACTTTTCTCTCAACCTCGCAGATCTAAGCGACTTTCGGTAAAACCTCCCATCTCTTATACAACGAACGTGTGTATGTAGTTCGCTGCATGCGCGACCACGCAGGCGCACGCATCGGGGGCTCTTGATAGAGATCCTAGCTCCTGAAGGGATGATCTCCTCCGGGCTCCATCGCTCCCTTGACCCGATTCCGATAGGAATTGGGCAGAATTGGCCATGGGCACCGTGAGTAGCGTCAGAACGTTGACACTGCTCCCGCTGCTCCCTGCCTGCCGGCATCAGCGCACCGGCATCGAAGCGGCATTCTGCCAGCTCTGTGCGCTCTGCCCTCCGTCACCCGTTTACTCTGTTTTTCCAGTTTTTCGTTTGCTTCAGTAGAGGAGGGGGAGAGAACGCAAGGTCTCCGTGCACCCCCGTGCAGGCTTGCGTGCTTTTGGCACTGCGGCCTTCGTAATAAGCGTGGTCGGCCTCCAACACACTTTGAATAAACCAAATGTGTGCATTTCGGTTGGAACCACGTGATGAAAGCGATAACCTTGATGAAAGCGATAATTCGAAAAAAGCGATTTCGTCATGATGAGGAATTACTGTACTTTATTATATGTAGAATGCAAGTATCTAGGTTTGGCTAGAGTGTATTATTTTTATATTTATAAAAAAAAATTAAGAAACGTTTGTTAGCCCCTAGAACCGCATTAATATACATAAGAGTGTATGGTACCGCAAAATATCCTATCGAAATAAGCACTTCATATTTTTTAGTAGGGCGTTGAGTCAATCACATGCAAAGAAGTAGAAAATTTCTGTTCCCCAAGAGGAAAAGGGAGCTCCACTGTCCCAGCACACCCAAAAGCAATGGGAACTGGATCGGTACTCAGGAGTAAAATGCCTGAACAGGCATCAAAAATGTTTCCTTGACTGAAGATAATGTAGTGTCAATGTCGTCATCATTACAGTGACCGATTGAACAAAAGCTAGTCCAATCAACCAGTCAGCTTCCTTGACAGAAGATGATAGTGTCGATGCCATTGTCATTGCCACAACCGACCGACCGAAAGCCAGTTCACTCAATCAATCAGTATTACAGCAAAGCTGTTAAGGGCTAGTTTCCCCAAGATCATGTCCGTTCGCAAAGAAATGTCGACAACACTCTGGTTGCCGCCGTCGTTCATAGATGGCGGTAGCTGTCCAGAGTGTTGCGTTTGCTGGTTGTCTGGCCGCCGCCGTTGCTCGCAGATCCCGGCAACCTTTCCAGCCTTTCCACTCTGGCTTGCCAACTTGTGGCCGGGTATTACTACATTCCCCCCATAGTACAGCTTCGCTGGTCTTCCTTCTTCACCAGAGTGGAAAGGCCGAAAGTTTTTTTTTCTTTGACTGAAGATGCTAGTGTTGATGTCGTCATCGTCGTAACCATCATCGACTAAACGAAGGCCAGCGCAATCAACTAATCAGTTACCTTGACTGATGACAATAGTGTCACTGTTGGTGTCGAGACCATCCTTACTATGACTGGCTTGCCAAAAGCTAGTCCAATCAATCGACCATATTCATCGGCTAACTGAGCTGGCTTTTGTCGAATCAATCCATTTCGTTGACCGATCAAACTGACTCCCGTAGAGCTTCATCACATGCTGCGAAGTCCCCACTCACCCGAGTAGGGAGTGCAGACCGGCCGGGGACGTTGTACGGGGCGGGCCCACCCCCGGCTGCCGGTGGGCACGCTTGCCTCTCGCCCCCCGGTACCTGCGCAAAAACCCACACCCTCAGTGTCCCCTACTGCAACACGTCCCAGATCAATTACCGGCATGGTTAGTGCCTGTCAAAAGGGCACTACGTTCCCAAAAAAAAGATATTTGCATTTTTAAAGCTTTTACAGCAGAGCTGTTAAGCACTAGTTTCCCCAGTTTCGTGTCCAGTACCAAACAAATGTCGACACAAAACAACAAAAAACTCTGGACAGCTAACGCCATCTATGAGCGACGGCCGCAACCAGACAACCGGTCTGGTAGCCGCCGTTGCTCATAGATGGGAGCCACCTTTCCAGCTATAATAGAAGAATGGATAGCTGGGCGAGTTGGTGGGAATTGATCGTAGGAAACAGCGCGCAAAACAGACGAGGACGAAGAAGAAACACACGGGACGAGCGTACAGCTTCGATGATCTTCCTTCTTCACCAGGGTGGAAAGGCTGAACGTTTTTTGTGAGCTGGTTTCTACGACTAGAATGTCACAAAATGTTGTTACGAAAAACGTGACATGGAGGGTAAATAGCCGCAATATGGATCTTGAGGTGACGCGACCAGCTCCATGGGGAAAAAATACCTAGCGTTCCAGTCTGCTCAGCAGATGTAAGCCTTGCCTCTCTGTTTCTTTACCTCTCGCTTTACACCATTCTTCCCAGAAATAACTTCATGAGCCCTCAAGTACAAGGATGCAGTTTAGTTCACCTACATTTTGAGCCTCTTCGCCCTTTTTCTGTGTTTAGAATGGGAGGCTGACTCTTAAAACTTGAAGCGAGGACAAACTTACAGCAACCATTTGCTTGCAAGGCTGGAACCTTTAGTGTTTTGTCCCCGCATAGCAAGCAAAATGACCAGATAATATCTCTCGCGACTATTTTACCCACAGCTTTAGATACCCACACTGACCATCAAACTGCCTTAAATGCAAGGGCGAATTTGTTGACCTAATATTTGTCATTTCACCATAAACATTTATTCATAAAAAAAGCCCGTGTATGTTGTTGTTTTCCATAAAAAAAACAATGCCTTGGGGACTGAGGAAGCAGCAGTCACCTCCCTCCCTTCTTAACCCCCTCCCCTGCCTACCAGATAGGCCACCTAAAATCGAGAACAAGTTCTGTAAAAATAAGGACTGGGCTAATGTTTGGTGTCCAAGAGAAAAAAGTTAAAAAAAAACTATATTTAGATTACCCTTTTCTGTCAAACTTTTTATCGTCGGCGAGGGTCAACGAAGCAAAGATGACCAACTGTCAGTCAGCAATGTTCGCTTATATCTCGCCCCAGCTAAGTAGCTGTGTTCACGCCAAGGCCGTCGTCGATGCGAACACTACGATCACTAGGGGTGGGCCATCTTTTGGTGTTTAAAAGAAAACGGCAAATTGTGCCAAAAACAGGGGGCGGGTTATCTTTCGGGGGTGGGGCGCCCTCTCGGAACGTTATGGCGTCGCGCGCGGAGGTTGGGACGGCGTTTGCTGGGCCCCACCTGTCCACCTCGTCCTGGGAGTGGGCGAAGGTGCAGTGCACGCCCCGGGGACAGGAGCCCCTCTGGGCCAGGTCCCGGCAGAGGCTGGTCTTGTACTTGCCCTGGGGCGGGGCGTCCGGCCCGGGCTTGCCGCCCCGGCCCCCGAAGGAGCCCAGGAAGCCCACCAGGCCGTGCACCACGGCGTGGGCCGCCTCCACGCTGTGGCCCACCTCCTCCCAGGACGCCTCTGCATACCCAACACCCGGGAATGAGTGCGCACTCCGACCGACGGCTTCAGGAACACGGGGCGTGGAGTGTGTCTTGCGTATCTCATTATCTCTCCACAGCCAATGAGAATGTGGCATTTGCCAAGGAATGGACCATGAAGAAAGAAGTGCAAACATTATAAGCCATGCCTTGCATTTCCCAAGTTGGCAGGAACCGTAGACTTCAAACAGACCTTTCGCTCAATTTTTTTTTAAAAAAGCTACTATCGTAATTTTTTTTTTTCCAGTATTCTTTTTTAGTTTTGAAATATCCCGGGAGTGCTATCAAAAACTTTCACTCCCGTAAATAAATAATTTTTTCGGGAATGAATTATTTTCAACCTAAGGGCACCGCCTAAAGTGCTGCAGCCCTCTGAACTTTCAAACGCGTCTATCCGAGTTTCACTTTTCGGCCTCAAATCTCAGTTTGGGAAAACCATCGCTTGATAATTAGTTGATGCAAGGAGCCAGTTTTTGAAGTTTCTGTACCAAAATGTTGTAGGGATTGCAGCTGTGAGCTTCCTTTCCGCATTTTTGTGATCTGTTGCTAAAAAAAACCTGCAGTATCTGCGTGCAAAAAATGAAACTTTTGTTTACATTATTTTTTTTTATTCAAAATGGTGTAATTTCTGCAATTTCTTTCCAAAGCTGCACGATGCTGGCTCTAGAGTGCATGTTTCTCCGAAATAACTGGCCACTGTCGTCATCTTTTCTGAACCATATTTTTCCTCCGGGGGTACGGTGTTTATTTGATGTACTCTTACTCTTCCAAGGATAAACTTAAAACTTGCGCCACAATGACGCAAGGATTGCCGTCATCGCGGCGTCGCACCTCCTGGTTGTTGGAGCTTCCATGTCTGACCGCAGAGCGACCTGCAGTATAACGGGCGTCTCCCTCATCCACCTCGGCTGTGAATTACAATCAAGGGTCGTGGCGGGCAACGGCACAACGCTTCCACGACGTCGTCGGGGGGAGGTTGAGAGACCACATTTGTGGACGTGATAAAGACACCGGCCCGAGATGCATTCTGGGCACTATGGCGATAAAGGGTGGCCCTGCAGCTCAGAGTCCCCTGGAATAGCGAATGCTGCGCTGCGCCAAGAAAGGGGAAGGTGTGCGACTCCCTGACGGCGACCCCCACCTGGGCTGGGGTCGAGTGCGGAGAGCAGCTCGAGGTGCGGCCTGAGCAGGGACAGGCTGCCGGGGTCCCCCGTCCGCTGCAGCGCTATCACCAGCTCCTGGACGCTCTGGCCAAACGACTGCGGGCTCTGCAACTGCACGGAAACGTGGGAATGGAAATGTGTCACAAATGCCACAACTGACTGCTGGCAGCCACCCACTGTGCATACTTTGTTCCTTGAATTCTACATCCATACGTGTGCATTGTATGGATCCAGAAGTGTGCAAAAAATGTATGGCAAATTGCTAGGCATTGCATACGTGCATACGTGAAACATTCTAGCATCCCCAACGTTTATATCATCGTTTAGCAGCACATTTAGCCTGTTCAGCCGGACGCCTACCTACGTTTATGGCACTCTTCATCAGATAATCTAACGCATAGCATGTGTACACTTGAAATGAAAAACCTGGTGATCTTCCAGAACCCCCTAACCCACTCCTAATCTCCCACCTAACCTACCTCTCCTCCTCACTCCACTCCTGGTCACATGGCCTCCCCATTAACCAATCAGCGTCGAGCACCTCACTCCTCCTCTCCCATCCGTGAACCAATCAGTGTCGAGCCTTATGGCCACTCTTTTATCCAGGCTTCAGGAAATGTTGAACACCTATCCAAAGAATGTTTCACATTAAAAAGAAATTACCGTATTTACTCAAATATAAGTTGGCCACAAATATAAGTGAACCTTTCTTGTTTTCTTTTTTAAGGGACAGAGGAAAGTTTGGGCAAAATAATGAAATAAACTTTTATTTACAGTGTTCTGAGCTAAATCACAGCACGATGCCGAAATTCATCGTCAGAATTTCCAGACACATCGTAGTCAGAGGCTTCGTAAGCTTCGTCAACATCCTCAAAAATTTGCCAGAATACCTTACTGACACCATTGCAAAATGTTAACAAGAAGAAACGAAAGAAGGTTAAGACGGGCGAAGCGACGAAAGACCAAATATAAAGGCGTGAGCACCGCTGCGAGCAACAAGAAGCGAAACCTCCATATTTTCTTTAAATGGGCGTGAAATGCGACGCCCTAAGGAAACGCGTGAGCGGCGGCCCGCCGGCTGCTGCTGTTTTAGTTGTTTTCCTGCCCCAAAAGCTTTCTGAACAAGAAGCGGTGCGACGCTACGGCGACGCCAGCTCAGTGACTCGTTAGCTTTATGCGCTTGGTAGGGTCGTGAAATTTGGTCACGAATCTAGGTCGAAATTCTCCAATAACAATTGTAGGTCAATGCTTAAATTTTGACATTTCAAAAAAAAAAAAAGAAATGTTGACTGTTATTTGAATAATTACAGTACACCAACTGACAAAGACTGGGAAGCGTAGAGCGTACTGCGAATCAGCCAGGCACATGTTACGTGTTGCGTCAATACATCCCGACACCGCGACGACATCCTCGTGACGTCAAGATGCCACAAAGTGATGTCGTGGCATTACATGACGTCATGGTCCTTTCGTGACGACCCTTCACGACGATCTTCTCGCAAAATCAGACCGACAAAACACGCCACGTTAAAAAGGGGACCGAAGCGGGACAGAAGGCGGGCACCTTGTCGATGATGGACTGCATGTGTGACTTATGGGCGGTGTCCCCGTACAGCAGGGAGGACCACTGCTCGGGAGCAATGCGCAGGCCCGCCTCAGTGGCGATCTGCACGATCTGGGCGTCATGCTCCCTGCGGAGCGCCTCATACGTGCAGAACTCCTCCTTGAGCTGCATCAGCGACGAGTCCCCCTCACGCTTAGACACCTGCAAGAACACGACCGGCGTTGGTATGGCGGCTGGGCCGTATCCGCGGCTGGTGTGTTTATGTTTCATCGAGCCCGTGCATCCAAACAAGTTACGTCGTGGGAGCTGGCGTGCCAAGCTATTGGTTGTCGTGATCCCGGTGGGCGGTCTTAAAATTCCGGCAAAAATGACAAGGAAATGCGAGTGTCACCACAGTTCCAAGATCCGAGAGGCGAGTTAAAAAAAAAGGGGGGGGGGGGGGGGGGGGTCTCGAGACTTGGTTGTGTTCTTAATGGGAGAAACGGGCACGCGCGACTAATTTTTAGTTTTCTGAGACGCTTACAAATTGTAGATTGAGTTTGCATCAGAAACATTCACCTCAAAATCCACGTTAGTGCCCCTTTAAAGATTAAAAAGCACACAATTAAAAGAAAGTCAAGAGAAGGTTGTTCCACATAACTGCGGCGCTACCCACCCGCACGAGGCAGTGGCACGTAAGAGGGAACACCGGCGTCGTCATCTCCTGCCCGTACCGAGCCTGGTGGTTTGTGTCATTTTGGCTGTGTCCCAAATCTTACTCCAGCGGATCCGAGTTACTCCAGTATGCCACGTCGCGCGATAACGCGGATAAGATGATGCCACGGTCCCCGACGGGATGGGGACGACAGTGAGGAGTTCTAGTTGTACCGCCTACGGCGCGAGTTACTTGTCTTCGACGACATCTTGCCGTCTCGTGAGCTTCAAACGTGCATGAGCAGCCAAAGCACAGTGTTAGGCAACGAGAGCTCGCGGGAGGCCGGGCATCTAAAACGACATGCAATTCTCATCCTCTCGGTGATTATAAGCGAGGGAAGGTTCTTGGACACCAAGATACAAAACCTTTGTTCTGAAGCGAGATCGAGGTCACTTTGGAATACATCCCTCAAATACAGGTAAACTGCCCCCCACTTGCTTGTTTGTCACGTACACCATGCAGTTAGTCTCCTCCCTTTCATTTACTATACACCGAGTGCGTTAAACAGACGAGTCGCCACGTAAACGGGCTCGAAGAGCATGAGAGAAGCTTTCCCACCTTGAAGCAGGAGGCCCTGTAGAGAAGCTGGACCACGTGGCCAATGCTGGTCTTGGAGGCCTGGGGGAAGTGCGGAGCCAGGCGCTGCACCACAAACAGCACCAGCACCTGCAACCGCAAAGCGAGAGCACTGTGAGAGGACCGAGGGCAACAGGAAGCGTCATACCTCTCGAAACTTAACTATGACTTTCGGAACTTAAACGAGAAACAAACTCGGTGGGGAGAGAGCACCAGATGTCAAGCAATTTGAAGAGCTGATAGAAATCAGCTTCCGCATGCGCAACAATAGGGAGCGGCAGAATTATACCAGATCTCGATTTATGGGACACTCCCATTTTCACCAACGATTTTCCAAACTCGTGGGCTTCCCTGGTTCTTTCTGGCTGATAACCGTTCCCCTGGAGTTCAGAATGAATCACATATCCTGAAAGCACAGATATTAAGACGCCACCATTGCTGTTGTGCGCTAATGGGCAGAGCGCCAAGTTAATTCTTTGTTAAATGCAGTCAAAACATGCAGAAGCAAAACGCAGCTTTGTCCACTCCTCTCCTCAATGAAGCCTGCACATTAAACCTACCGTATTTACTCACATAATGAACACACTATTTTCCCTGAAAAATTGACACATATTTGGGGGGTGCATTCATTATGTGGGGTAAATTTTTTGTATTTACACACTTTGTGCAAATGTCATATTAGGTGCCAATATGATATGGCAGGGTACTGTGGCACGTCTTCACAGATGGAGGCACACCCACGGCTGGTCAGGGGCGCACCATAGTGACCATGCTTTATAAATTGCGAACCTCTTTAGGGCGCTTTTGGTGTGCCTTTTGCCAAAAGGAAAAGCACCTTACAAAGCTCACTCAACACAGAGTGCAACGCAACCGCTCTTAGGCATAATCATCTTCGCAATTTCCTGAAAGCGGACCTTAGACGACGGCGTGTTTGTTGACATCAATGCAACCGATAGGCGAAAAATGTCGGGGGCTGGGCAATTCCTCGACCCAAGCTTCGTCAAATGCGATCACTTCCGCAACTATGCACTAGCAGCCATTACAAGAGCAACTTGGTTTCGCTTAACTTGGCCTAACCGCTGGGCAGCAAAAGAAAATTGGCTTGGTGGGCATGGTAACTAGCTAAGTTGGGTGCCATTTGAGACTCATGGTGCCGAAAATTTTAAGTGTGTTCATTACGCGAGGGAAAATAAAAGTCCAAATATTGGTACCCGTTGTGGGGGGTGCGTTCATTATGCGAGTGCATTCATTTTGTTAGTAAATACGGTATACACAGCTCAATGAATGTGAACTTAAACAGAGCCAGAGACAACTGAAGAGCTCGCACGCCATGGGACAAGGATCTCAATGACCTAGCAGACATATCATGCAGCAATATCCTGTGACGCAGTGTCATGTCCCCAACTGCCACGGTGACTCAGGCAGTGAGGAGTAAAAGTATGCACGACTGAAGCAGGCGACAGGCTCATAGTGCCCTGGTCTGCCTGTCTGTTGGCACGACAATCCCTTTGGGTCGAGTTACTAGAGAAGCCCTAGTGAACTCATTAGGTGGAGCCCAGGGTGCAGGCCCGTAGCCAAGGAAGGAACTCTAGGAACCCAGGCGCTCCTTCCCCCCCCAATTTTGGCCACAAAAAGGGAGGACGGGGGGGAAGCTTGAGCGCTGCTTTGCGAATGTCAAGCGAAACACATTTTACAGCAAAGCTGTCTATGGCTAGGTTCTGGCAGATTGCCTCCGGCGACAAGCAAACAATTTTCCTCTCCACCGCCACCGCCTCTTTCTTGAGTCGTGTATACTCTTCACTATGCGCGGCGTCTTCTTCCCTTCCCTTCCCCCCCCCCCCCCCCCCCCCGAGATTGCGCAATGCCGCGTGTTCCTCGGCACGGCGCACTAGAGCCTGTGTCGTGGTTGGTGTAGCCAAGCTATAATAAAATGTCTCTCCCTCTCCCCCCCCCCCCTACTACTCGCCACGCACGACGTCTCTCCCCCCTGACATTCCGCAATATTGCGCACTAGAGCCTGCGCCGTGCTTGGCGTAGCCGCGCTATAATAAAACGTCTCTCTACCCCCTGACATTGTGCAATGCCACACACTCTTCAGAGCGCCAGCTTCGTGGGGTTCCCTCTTCACAAGGTGGAAGGGCTCTCAATTTTTTTTTTCTTCTTCAAATTGGTATATGAAAGAGGCACTGTACTTGCTTCGTTGGTTACAAGCCAATACAAGGCTCCTATACCCAAAGTCACTTCCGGACACGCAATCAAGCAGCATTTTTGAAAACGATGACATTCAATGCCAATAGGCAGTCTCCAGCCTTGTCAGTGACACTTTTCCCTATTTTTCATATTCACATGCATGTAAGCGATTCTTCATTAGAGTTGTCTTTGGCATTGGTAAAATGCAGAAGCAAGCCAGACGGTTCATTCAACAACAGAACTCAAAAAGTAGAATCAGGGCCATATTTGAAACGCTTAAACCCCAACTTATTCTGTTTTTTGCCTGCCAACAAATCACCATCTCGAGCACCGGCTCGTCGTTCAAATATATATCTGTACGTATAAATTATGCCAGCCAATGTTCCATGTTGCCGATTGCCTTGCTGGTGCAACCGATCACGATGCGAAAAAACTCGAGCGATCTGGGAAACACTGTTTCTGCGCATAGAAAGACGCAGCGGACATAGGACGAAAGAGGACGAATGTCACCGAGATTAATTCCGGCCGAGATATGGAGCCGGAAGAGCTTTGCGTGACGTTTTCCTGCAAGCACCCTATACGCATGCAAAAGAGTGTGGGGTTTACTCGTTAAATGCCATCGCATATAAAAAATTGACCGCATCTACACGTGGTGAATGATGTTGATCGTGGCGAAGCTCTGGTAGTGCTTGTCTGCGTAGACGCTGAGCCGCAGCATGCCGAGCCTTTCGTTCGTTTTCATCCATGTCAGTAAGAGAATGTGTGGTATGGAACGTGGTTATATACGCATTTGAGCATTTGACCGCAGCGCCCTCTCGTCTATAAACGTTGAGCCAATGCATGCAAAGTTTAAAGCGATTATATACGCATTTGATTACAGCGCCCTCTCCTGTACAGACGTTGAGCAGCTACATGCAACGTTTCATCCATGACATCCCCAGCTCTTGAGCTACTACCACATCTCAGAGCTCCCTACTCGTCCCGCAGTCGTGGCCGAGTGGTTAAGGCGATGGACTAGAAATCCATTGGGGTCTCCACACAGGTTCGAATCCTGTCGACTGCGCAAACAATTTTTTTTTTCATTGTTTATTTTTTGCTTTACACGAGCATGTGAGCACGTGAGCTCACGAGCACGAGCACAAGCACCAGCAAGGTCGATGTGAGCACGGATACCGGACGGACAAGGCTAGACCCTAAGGAGCTTCGCCCCTAAAACACTTCGGAACGACATCCGTTGCACGAGCTGCACAAAGGGTGGGTACCTTGCGCGAGAGCGGGGAGCCGTCCTCGAGGGCCAACAGCACGAGTCGCAGCACCTCCTCCTGCATGTGGGGGCCGAGAAACTGGCAGCCCCGGGCACGCACAGCCGCCCATAGGGAGGCCGACAGCTGCTGCCCGCTCTGGTGCTGCAGCAGCAGCTCCATGGCACAGCGCTCGCCCAGGGAGCGGGCCGCCCGCACCGCCCGCAGACGACCTTCCGGTTCGGCCAGCTGGCAGTGCACCAGCGTCACCAGCTTGCGCTGCAGGGGACGGCTCAGCCAGCCCCCGCAGCCCCCTGCAACGCGAGTGCAAGAGCGCATTGCAGGACGTTCTCGGATCGCTTAGACCAGGGGTTCTCAAACTGGGTTCCGGGGAACACAGGGGTTCCACGAGCTGGTCTCATGGGTTCCGCGAACACCCAGATTGCAACCCCCCCCCCCCCCTTCCCCCTCCCCCGCTGCAGGCTGCGTGGCAGGACCATGCAAAGCGCCTTCATCTCGCTTTGTACTGACATTGTGATTGATATGGTGGGGATATAAGGGAAGCAACACAAGCAAAATTGCCTACAATTGTGCATCTGCTGCTCCTCGGTCGGCAAATATGGAGGGGGGGGGGGGGTAGGGTTCGCAGCAGTTTTTGAGGCTTCCTGGGGTTCCGTGAGACCAAAAAGTTTGAGAACCTCTGGCTTAGACCATGCTCCGTGGAGCAAGTCTCGGAGCAGTGTGTTTAGCGTGCAGAAGTGCCCACGTGTCGAGGGTGGTCCAGAAGTGAAAACAAATAACATCACGGGTGCCGGCACGTCCTACTGTTGGAAGCCGCACCCCTGGCATTCGGTCACAGAGGTTCCGGCAAAGGAGGGGAGCAAATGCAAGCCTTTCTGTCAACGCACCATTCCACGAGCTGATAAGTGGCTACAGTAGAACAGGCATCTGTCGTATATATCCAGCTCCGCTGGCGTGCCGCCACCAGGATCGCAAAATGGAAGCGCTCAATACAAGCGTGATGTCGTAGGGCAGAAATGGAGGGACCACAAATGGGAACTCGGGACTAGCACCAGTCAAAGACGTGTTCCAGGCACCATGTGACAACTACGGTAGCGTGTCTCAGACTGGCAGTGGCACGGTAGCGGGGCTGGATGTGGCAGATGCCTGTTCTGCTGTTGGTTCCTCTCTGGTGAATCCCCCAAACCGCCCCAAAGGCGAGAGGTGGCGTTAGGATCGGAGGAGTGGCGGTGCCGCCTGGTTAATGCTGGAGGCTCGTAGGCCTCACACTTTCGTTTTCTAGAGAGGGAAATTTCGTCTATTTATCGTGCATACCACGGACTTACAGATACTTTGTTTTTGTGAGTTGACACGGGGGATGCGAAGTGTCATGTGACATGTTTGTTAAACCAAACTCGGATGATCCACACCGTAGTTTGTTTAACTTAAAGGAGCTGTGCAACCATTTTAGTGCTTTGCTTAAATAAGTGTCTCAACCCTTCTTAAGAAAAAGAACAAAAACCGCCTTTGCCTGCGTGTCCTAGTTTTTATTAAAAAACAATGACAAAGATTGAGATTTTTAGCACCTCTCAACTCCTTCAACATCTTCCGAGTCATGTGCGCTGTGACATGAAAGAGGGACGTGAGGGGTTCCAGTGAAGATCTCTCTCTAGCACCATCAGTGAGCTGCAAGAACTCACTTGCTTGTGAATAACATGACCATGTGCTTGCGCCAAGCGATCAACATGGCGAAAGGAGGAAAGTGCTAACATGCACGTCCAGGTCTGGCCATCCACTGCGGCTGTCCGTCTACAGTCCGGCTTCTGGCGGCTCCTCGCGGTAGCAGATAGAGCTAACGGTTTTGTTTACCTTGGATAGACGGCGCCATTAAAACTCTGTATAATTAAAGTTTTGTCAATGATACCAGGTTTTTGATGCATGTGTATTTATGTTGGAACGAGAAGATTTATAGAAAAATTACTTTTTATCAAGAAGATAGTTGCACAAGTTGCGTTTTTTTTTTTTTTGCAAGTCCCCCTTTGACGCCATGCTGCGTGGTTCTCATGGCCGCCGCTCACAGCTGCAGATAGAGAAATATTATAATTTTTGCCTCGCGATTACACGGCGCAATCGCAACATTTTGAAGGAAGGAGATGTGCTTTCTGTCTTTTGTGACAAGATAAACAATGCTGAAAATAGAAGATGCAAATTCTTTCAACGTTAAAATCATTGCAGAGCTCCTTTAATCTGTGAGCAGAGCCGAAGCTATGAGCACAAGCATATTGCCCCGTACGATGCTTGCACTGCACGAGCCGGCTTGCTCGGCAGGGATGCCGAAAGCTCGGAACCTGTTTTCGTAATTTCTGCTACGCTCGCACTTGAAACTAGGTGTAATCGAGTCCTTCCTAGCAATATATGCAACAAATGCGGCTGGCCCACCTTGTGCAGCCGGCCTGAGCAGCAGCGCCATCTCTTGGATGCAGCGGGAGGCCAGCCGGAAGGCGGCCAGCTGCGGGGGCTCAAGGCCCGGCGGGGCTGCGGTGGGGGGTGCCAAAGCCCCGGGCGGGGCCACCGGGAGGGGCCCCGAGGGGGCCACGGCCACCAGCTGGAGCAGGGCCCCGTTCTCCGGCAGGGCCCGGCCGATGGGCGCCTGGTCGAAGGGGCACAGGCGGCGCTGCAGCTGGCCCAGGCAGCGCCCGCACAGCGTGTGGCCGCAGCCCAGGGATGTGGGCCGCCGCTCGGCCCCGTCAAACGCCCGGCAGCAGACGGGGCACGACAGGAACTCGGTCCACTGCGGGGCCTGCACGGGCATCTCCCGGCCGGCAACGCGTGCACCCTGCACGCGGGATGGACGCACGAATGGGCGATTTATACGCACATCCCAACAAAGCTTGGCTGAGTCCAACGCCCCTTTCACCGGGCACGAATTTCCTACACAAAGTATGCAAGCCTATGCTATACACCCCACAGAGAATTTGATAATTCATAAAAAATTGGAGCCAGCATTCGCATCCTTAATCTGAAGTAAATTATGTTCACTAATATTTCAAGATGCAGATGGAATGTCGGAAAACAGTCAACGAAAGCTCGCCAGGGAGGCTAAAAGCAGATGTTCACATATAGTCTGCTTCCCACCTGCTGCAAAGTGTCTCCTTTGATCCTTGTAACATGGTTTGGCACTGCACTTCTGACAAGTTTGAAAACAAACGCATGAAAGTCTTGCGATGCACTTTACCAACTGCAAGCAGTTCTGCAAGCGAGCGACAGAAAGCTCACTTTCCCCGCAGCTACAGATCAAAGCTACTTGGGAGCACAGACTGCTGGACACTGCCCCCATTTCCTGAGGATTTAATTTTAGAGCCCTGCACATCCGCTCATCATACGCAGATATCTGCAGTCAACTGGCAGATCTGGATAAAAATGATTCAAATTCAGCGGACTGCGGATCCCAGGGGCTGCGAATGGGGATTGGATGAGGATGATGTACAGATCTACATTTTTGCTGAGTTGGCCCATAAATGTATGCAACCGTAAAGTGTAATGTGAATAAGTGAGTTAATTATACTATGAAGTGCATTATCGAACGTTTTGCAGGAGCAAATGCCCTTTAAAATAATATACAAAACAAGGAAAAAATTGTTTTTTTTTATGAGAAGACCCAATTCTCACCAAATATCCATTTAGGCTGTTTCATCTTGCCAAAAAGTGTTGTCCCTAGAGAAAGTACAAAATTCAGGGGCATCAATCGTCCCAGGAATGAGTAAAAAACGTTCTTCGGGCAATGAAAACCCACAATGTAGAAGACACAAGAAAGTAAAAGAAGCCTCGTTCCCCCCGTGGCATGTGTGCGTGTTTTCGTTTTCTCGACCTATGTCAACTTACTGCTAAGAGTGTGGCCGAGAGCATACAGTCGTGGGTTCAAGTTTAAAACTGAAACTGAAGGGAAGTGCTGCCATTATTGAATACTATGATATTTTCCCAGTGGTATACTCGCATATCTTACCACGTATATACATGTCCTTTGCTGAAGTGACTGCCTTTCCTCTCCCACTTCTTGTTGTTTAACCCAAATAAAATTACAGAACCTTATTAGTAGGTCCTTTATTAATTTTTTAAGTTTAAAAAATATGTGTCTACTTGAAGTGGGTGTTACAAAGCAAAAAGAAAAGAAATATTTATATTTTCTTTATTTTTAGTGCATCTTCTGGGCAGAGTCAGACTCCCAGGACGATCTTGTAAGTGCGATCATGATTCTAGCGACGCCAAGTGTCTCTGGAAAGGCGATCGGTCATAGTATAAAAACGATAAAACAGAATGTGATAAAATGACTTTCACCGTATTCCGACCAGAATAATTTGGAACGAAGATGAGCAAACGACTTAGAAGTAGGATTCCGTGTTTTCAGAGTTTATTTTTCATCAAACTTGGAGTTCATAAGAGTTTATCTTTGTTTAATTCCAAAATCTCAGAAATTCAGAGCTTAATTTTGCAGTGTTTTCTTTGAAAAATAAATAAATAATATCCGGGTGTAAAAGTATGCTAGATAAAAAAAAAATAAAATGCACTTATATCAATCAATGTTTGTTCAGCTGGATTTGGCATTGGTGCCATTGCCATTGGCAATACTAATTTGTCCCACACCGAAATTTGCACATATCTGTGGCTTCGACAAACGTCGACACGTTAAAAATAAACTCCTGGAGTAGTCACTGGAAACAAATACAGAGGCTATTGTCGTGACCTGAAAGTACAATGACATGTCGTCCTGAACCTTGTTGAGATAAGCGATAAGACCCTTTTTGTCAATGATCTAAGATTTGGAAGATAACTGGGATGGCATTTTTCCAGGCAAAATTAATTGTAAAATACCGTCTTTATTTAGTTTATTTAAAAAAACATTGAAATTCTGAGTTTATCAGATAAATCCAAATTGACCAAAATTTAACCGAAGGGCGTTTTTCTGAGTTTCCCCGATTTATCCGAAAACACGGAACCCTACTTATAAGGTAGTACATCCAGATGTGTTTTTTCATTCACAGTTGATTTTATTACTTAAAATGATTGCAAGGATTGTGGGTTGGATGCACTGCTTAATTTAGAAGATGCAGTTCAGATGCGGATAGGACACGAATACAAACAATCATTTAAAAACATTGCGGACACAAAGTCTGGGGGTGCAGATCGGATGCCGATGATCAAACTGTTATCCGCACAGTGCTCTATTTAATATAAAAAGACCACCAACCCTTGTAATTCGATTTTCCAAAATGAATTTTCTCTTTCCCTATTCCTATTCTCAAAGTTCTGCCTCAGGCCAGTCCAGAGTTGACAGAGAAAACCCATCAAAGCTAACACTGGCCGATATGCGGCATTTCATTTGCGCAAACCTTGGTCTAAAAGCAAAGGAATGGTACACGAGTCCCACCATTTCTGCGTCTCGCTCACGAGTGTTGTGGCCACCTTCCTGAAGATGGCTGTCTAAGGAATTGGGTAAGGCATAGAGGTGAGTGGGGGAGTGTCGGCCTGATCATAACCCCTGGCATATTGAGGACAACACCGAACGGGGCCCAGAAAACTGTACATTCCAAGAAAGCTTCCAGTAAGCAATCGCTCCCTTCCCCAGTTCACCTCGAGTTCTTTAAATGTTTGAATCACACTTAAATTTGCTTGTAAGATACAAAGCTGCTGGAATCTGCTAACATGGTCAGATTTGTAACCGTATTATTTGGGCACAAACAAAACTTGTGCTCTGATGAAGATTTGCTTTTCTTCATTTGCTGCACTTGGTCCCTGACATCCGTCCTGACCTTCCTAATGGAATGGTTTTCAGCGCTCTGCCACTCTGATGACTACATAAAAAGATACACTGAAAAAGCTTGTGAGACCCCTGAACCACCATGAGGATCGAACGAACTGGATTTCTGACCTCAATCAATGGCACGGCAACATAACAGCCACTGTAAACACTGTCGCACTGAGCTACGCGGCGAAGAGAGATGCAGCGCAAAAGTAGCATCCTTCTAAGTTCGCGGATTTTAATTCAGAGAAAAGTGCAGGAAAATAGGCAAATCAGACAGGCAAGCTGCGAACTACATATTGTACCGTTTCGCTAACAGCCGTTCCACGACCAGCTTTTCATTCCTGGAGACTTTTTATCTGCACCAGTTTGGCACAAACGCCGTCTGGTTGATAGCGGGTTTAGTGAGAGGCCAAAAGAGGCTGGAGCAGTCTTCGGTGGCACCAAAGCCTAGAAGACGGCCCGAAAGGGTCAGGTCTGGACTTCTACAGCCGTGACATGAACAGACACGATAGAACGACGTTTCGTCCACAAGTTTGTCGGCAGGCGACAGACGACCACGAGGAACGATCGGCTGAGGCGTCAGCTCCACTGGCAGCGCCGAGACAGCTTATCGGACCCCGCGTAGCCTCTCTACGTCAACCGACTCCCCAGTCGACGTAAATGCCGTTCGACGGAACGAGTGGCCAGGCACCGAGCCGCGTAGGTTCGCGGGTCGGTACGCAACGGGAAGAGTCTCACCGTGCCCGGTATGTTGGCGCTAGGAGCGACGGCGGCTTGTGCGAGCTCGCGCGCGGCTCCTAGCTGACATGGCTCGGCGGCCAGGGGCTTGCGAGAAGCGACGGGTAGCCCGTTACGGCTTGGGGAGCCAGAAGAGCGACTTGAGGCGAACGATGAGGTGGAAGCGTTTGCCTTTCATACTTGGCGAGCGGAACACATCACAACAGGGAGCGCACGACGGCCACGGGAGGTACGCCGAGGTGGGACCCGTAGGACCGATGGTCGGCGGCGCACTGCACGGGCTCTCTGGTTGCACTCAGGTCACAACTCTTGGCGATGGGGGGGGACCAGCCGCCGGTTAACTCGACCGGCCTAAAGCGCTTTAGACCGGTACAGTGCGCACTGAGAGCTGACCTCCTTGGATACCTTGGGACTGACTTTGACCGCCATCGACCATCGACACACACGATACAAACAAAAATAAAACGATTGTAGATCGTAGGAAAATGGATATAAAAATGGCTGCCTCCTACCTATTGGGTTGTAGCTGACGCCATCTAGCTGAAGCAATAAGTGAACATATTTATTTGCTCGTTTTTAATACGCGTATTCTCCTACCTTTTATTACGGTACTACAGACCACAGGCCACAGGCGCTTCCAGGAGTGTAGGTCCTGCTTTAAAAGGGTTTTAGCAGGGTTTTAGTACACCTCGCTGGCTGACACTCCCCTCCTTTTCAGCCGATTTTCATATACGGCTCTGCCGATTTTCACTGATCTCCGGGCAATTATCCGTAAAGATTTTATTATTATTATTATTATTGTTAATGCGTTAGCTATAGTTAACGTTGGCATTAGTACTTGGTACCCAGATGACAGGGAAAAGCAGATGGCGTTTGTCTGCGGACAAAACAGCAGAAAGGGAAGCGCGCCGCGCAGAGATTCTCTAGGAGGTGTTGGCAGAGAGGAGAGTAGCGAAGGACAAGGGCGAGAGGGAGGCGACGTCATAAGGTGGAAGCCAACACGCGCGCGGCGCGGCCAGGTTGGCCAGGTGATGAGGAGGCGATGTCACGGGGTAGAAGCCAATGCGTGCGTGGATGCTGGGGCGAGTCTGAACTTGCAGGTGTGCGGAGTGGCGCGTATGCCTTGGTTTGTGCTACAAGATGGAGTGTGACGCACTGGTTCAAGTAGGCGGCAAAATACTTAAAGGAAGATCGATTCGTGGATCTTTAGAGAATGCATTAGCATGACCCTTGGGAAATGCCATACACGTCCCCTTTTGGACAACGCCAACAGTGACCCCGTAACGAAGCCAAAAAGAGGCAGCAAAAAATAGAGCAAAAGAGAAAGCCAGAGAAGTGAAGCGGTCAGCATTAGGGTTTCCCAAATGGGGACGTGTGTGGCATTTCCCCATGGCTCGTGCTAACGCATTCTCTAAGAATCCACCAATCGACATTCCTTTGATTTTTACTAATATTGCTCGCCTCGTCAAGGCTCTAGCAGGAGTGGTACACACAAAAAGCACAAATAAGGCAGTGCTATCACAAAAGAAATATCTCGGTAGCGCTCAGCACCGGCAGAAAAGCAAAAGTCCAGCAAAACCCCGACTACGGAACGAATGTAGAGCATACAAAAACAAAATCAATCACAACACTAAAAGAGTTTAAACAACAAATGAAAAAATGTACAACAAAAGTTGAACATGTTCATTATCCAATCTAAGATTCCTTTTCTATTCAATTCAAGAATAAAGACAGAGAGACACTGGTAATTATACATAATTTGCACCCAGAGGGGAAAAAACTCCCCTCTTACCAGGACCCTCTTCTGTTTCCCAGATTTGCCCAGATGTTACTATTCTCATCCCAGAAAATAATAGAAGATTAACCCATCACTCATAATTCCTACAAAAGCAGCCTCCCCCTCCCTTTCATGGTGGTCCGAAGTATGCAATGCGACGTCAGTGCAAGCTGACGTCACATGCAGTATAGAGGTTTTTTTGCGCGACACAGGGGACAATTACAAGCGAGTAGACACGGACAAGCGTAGACACGGACAACCATAGATGAGGCCATGCACTCGTGTCAGCAGCTTTGACAGCGTTGTATATTAAGTATGAGATGGAGTATAGCAACACCCAGTCCGCCACCCAGAGCTCGAGACAGATCCTTTACCTTTCAGGTGGGCAGTACAAGGTTTGCGCTTGTCCGTGTCTACTCACTTGTAATTGTCCTTTGTGTCGCGCAAAAAACCTCTATACTGCATCATGAACCAACTAGGCCAACAACAAGTTTTAATTGACGTCACATGGCTTGCATTGAGGTAACATTAGCTTCCATTGCTCCGTACCTGCTGCAGCATATATTTCGCACCATCAAATTCACTCTTTTCAGCAAGCTTTGCCAAGAAGAGATTCTATGGTGCCAAATGTGTGCTGCAGAAGGTTTGAGCACAGGAGCATGGTACGGAGCGCTGGCGGCTGGTACAATGCTATACGACGTCACATGCAAGGCATGTTTTATACTTAATGTACAACGCTGTCAAAGCTGCTGGTGCAAGCAAGGGTTTGATCTCGCGGATCATTTCCACGCTTTCTTGTGCCATCGAAACCATAGATGAGGCCATGCACTCGTGTCAGCAGCTTTGACAGCGTTGTATACTAAGTATGAAATGGAGTATAGCAACACCCAGTCCGCCACCCAGAGCTTGAGACAGATCCTTTACCTTTCAGGTGGGCAGTACAATGCACCCTGCCCTTAAAACCCACATGCTCCAATTCCTTCGCTCAAAAATGGTGCCATGCAGACAGGGAGACAGAGGCTGGTAGAGGGAGAGTAGTATTACTTAAACCCTTGTCTACATCTCCTGAAATTTAAACATATGTCTTTGTTCATTAACTCATTTAAATCCTTTCTGCTTTTTTTATCTCCTTGTTCCCCTGTTCACAACTCCAGCGAAAGAGACAGAAGCTAGTGGAAAAACACTGAACTGAACGAAACAGGTCCTTCCACGATTTCTGTGCGTCCCTTGCGGCTTCACCGATCACATGTTGTCGGCGGTTGGCACAAGGGAACAGTTGTCCTGGTGACACTCTTCTTATTGTCGTATCAGTGTATTTCCCAGGTTGCACCAAAGGCAACCTATGCTACCACGTGAACCAGACATTGTGCGTTTATCAACGATCATCAGCCCCACCAGTCCTTCCCTCACTTCACCAAAGAAGGTCGAGCCTCTGGAAGTTCACTTACGCCTACACATCGCCGCAGGTTTGAACTGCAGGAAATAAAAATCAGGGCAAACCAAATCAAGTCTAATGCTTGCCTGCTGAAACCCCCCACGAGTTGTGCGTCAACCTGGCACATGGCACAATACGACCTGTATAAGACTGCCATATTCGCCCAATAGCGGCGACCCTTATAGGTCGCTGGAGTTGCGAATGCTATTCTGTTGCTCAGCCCCATCATAAGTGTCCACTCACCACATTTTCCAATTTCGCTGCTTCTACAAGACGTCGTGTACAAGACTCCGGGCACTTTTTAGGAAACCCGGATGGTCCAAGTTTCCAATTGAGTAAATCACACCTCAGACATGCACCGTTTAGCATGCCTTCATGGTACAGACGAATCTCGTTAATTCAAACTCGAGGGGGACCGAAAATTTGTTTGAATAAAGCAAAGTTTGAATTACTGGGAGTTTCCTCCCATAGAGATGCATCAGATGGGACCTGTATGTTAGTTTGAAATATCAGCAAGTTTGAATTAACGAAATTCGACTGTATGAACTTCTTGCTTTGGCACCGCGACTCTCCCAAACCAAAATAAATATTACTATTAGGTACAAACATGAGAAAGGTGAGACTAAACTGTAGATCAAATAATTTATTTACATTCTAGGGTTCCATGTCGGTGGTTTTGACACGAAGAACACTCGCGCATCACCAATCCCTGCTTTCGTGCACGTCAGCAAACCGAGCCATAAATTATGTCCCTGTTTAAAAAAATCTGTGACGCGCGATTTTGCTGCATTTTACAGTGTACAAACTCCCGAGCAGTACAAAAGGAAGTAGCCGCTTGCCTTCGCGGAACCGTACCAGTATAAAAAGCAGTGGTTTCCGCCTCTGGAAACACTGAAGTCTTTCCTTGTCCCATCATCGCGAGCCAAGTTTCCTCGACGCGCACAACTTCCGTCTCTCGAGCACGTTCGCAATGACCAACCAATGCTGCCAGACGTTTCCATTCGTATAAGGTCACTTCGTGCAGGGTGTCATAGGGGCACAATAAATCAGCTGGGGTGCACTACGTTTGCTTCTAAATCTTGCATCTAGTGCTCTCTGAGGAAAGTATTTCAGTGCCAAGTGGGATGCTAGAGTCTTCCATGATTGCCCATTAATATCTATATAATTTATTATCTGCTCTCAATGAGGGATTAAACGAAAAAATCAGCTGTGTAGTGTTCTAATGTATGTGAAAGTTCCTTTACACCTTAGCGTCCGTCTCAAAATATGACAAAATAAATGACCCAAATGACAAGAAAAGTCTCAAATGACGCGCAGTCTTCCATTATCTGGTTATGTTTATATATGTCGCAGACAGGGAGTCAGGATCAGACCTAATCACACTAAACGGAAGCCAGTACTGCTGCAACGTTATCGCAAGTCTGGTCGGATGACATCCAGAAATCAGATGCATCCTGCAGCTATAAAAATGAGCAGTAGCGACCGATCGTTGGCAGCCAAAGTTGAGTCTAATCCGCATAGAAAAAGGATATCACAAGGTGTGCTTGAAGGGTCCTCCTTAAGAGCACGTGTGGTGATTAAAAGTGCTGCTTCCAGCTGTAGTTGTGCTTGATTTCTCGTCTTGCCTGCCACAGCTCTCGCTTACCAGAAGCCGGAGCAAGTTTGTCCAGGCAAGTTCTCGGAATAGCCATGCGACGCAACTGTGAAAACCTACGCATATGCAAAGAACTCCGTGCCGGATGCGATGCTGCGGGCAAAAAAAAACGAAATCGAATAGACAGAAAATAATGACTCATTCGACCGACACAATTGTTAATCCAAGGACCCAACCAGATTGGATCCTCTTTACGCTGCCAGGGTCGGACACGTTTGCGGACGCGGGCGCTGCAAATGGCCCGCACTAGAAAAACTGCGTCTGAAACTCGGGCATCTCCTCCCAACACCCTTTGAGGCTAAAGCCAAGACAACCTTATTGCGGAATAAAACAATAATGATAACAACAGCTCCCGGAGGACGCATTGCGGCGTTGTCCTTGCATCCTTCGTCGCCCTGCGAGAGATGTTGCGGCACGTGGCGAGGCCGACGCCTCGCCACGTGCCGCTCTCGCGAATTGGCTGCCAAACGAAAATAGGAGCGAGGCAAACCGGGGCTCAGAATCACGGTGGCAAAAGCAATGGAGGGCGGGAACCCCTGGGCATGCTGCTTGCTGGGACACATTCCTGGGACGCACGGGCACTGCCTGGGACGACCGGGGTTAGCGGGAAGGATTGCTGTCTTTGTCCCTGTCCTTGGTGGTGAGCTTCTCGATGAGCTCTTGCAGGGGCACCAGCTCCCGGCGGTCGATGAGGCCAAACTCTTGGACGAAGAAGATGAAGTGCTTGAAGGAGGTGTTGAGGTGTGCCTCCTCGCCCAGCTGCACCACCTCCGAGAAGTGCTGGTGGTAGATGTGGGCGTACACCCGGAACAGCCGTTTCAAGATCGTCTTGGCAATGGCAAAGAAGTTCTTGGGGAACGGCACCCCTGCGGAAGAGGCCGGTAACAATTAAGAGGGTTGCGTCTGCAGTTTAGACGTTTCCGGACGCTACGCAGTCCTAGGGAAGGAGGAACGTCCATCTCTACAAAACAGCTGGACAAAGAATGGCTTTGTCTGACCCCTTTATTGAGATCTAGCACTGCCCAAAAGGCTCTGTGCAACACTAAAAAGCTCAACAAAACAAAACAAAAACTATACAGGGTTGATTATGCTGACAAACCCAGGGAGCACGAAATGTGTCCTGCACAAACCTCACTCCGTACGTGGTTTGTGCTAGATTTCTCAATCTTTCTCTTATTTATTTTTAATTTAATTTTAACTGTTTTATTGTTTTTATTTTTATTTATTTTCTTCCGTTTTATTTTTGTTACTTATTCTATTAGTTCATTTTTGTTATTTATTTACATTATATTTACTTTTTGTTTTATTACTTGCATCCAAAACCTGCCACTCTCGCCAGCACACTTGCATTCAAATGAAAGATTTTACCCTTCCAGACCAGCATTGCAAAGTAGCCCAGTGGCTATAGCATTTGATTGCCACCGCACCGACCTAGGTCCGAGCCCCACAGGAGCCTCGTTTACATGAAAGCGACTTCAGCGCATCGACTCCACTCATTCTTCGAACAAAGCTGACGCGGCAACGTTTACATGAATGCGCACCAAGCCCTACACGAAGGTGGCGCCACGCCATGTCAAAGCTCGAAGTTATGCATTTCCGGAAGCAGCCGCACCGCGTTTTCCGGTGCATCGCACGTGGAGGCCTTTTGACGCATTCAGTGAACGTAAAGATCGTGCCCGCTGTTTTGGTGTACCAGAATACCGCTGTCTTCGGTGCTGCGGAAGAAGTTACGAGACGGAAGAAACATCAAAACCCAAGCGTTTAGGGCTCCAGGCCGGGCCGCCGGGTCACTCTGGACCAGAGGCGACGTGTGTGTGCACGCTTTGAGGAAGCCTCCGCGCTTCGCCGCGCCAGACCTCGCCGATCACTCCGGACCAACCGGACCAACCGGACCCCGAGTCCGAAAGGCTCCCGCGCAGCCAGGAACGACACCGAGGTAGGAGCCGCTCGTTCTGCGCTGCCATGCAGTGCTCTACAGTGCTCGGAGCTCTCGGTGTCGTTCGTGCTTGCGCCGAAGCCTTGGGACCCCTTCGGACGCGCAAGTCGTACTTCGCAAGGCTTGGACGGGGGCCGCCCTCACCAAGCAGCTCCGCTATATTTGTTTACTTATGATGGCAATAAAAGCTCGAGTTTGTTCTCGGGAAAAAATTGCCAGCGACCATATGAGACCGCTGTCCCCGCTGCCGACGAGGTTGGCCGCCGCCATGCTCTCAGCTGTTCACTCGCTCCCGCAGCGAGCGCCTTCCCATAATCCGCCCCGTTCCAAAATGCGATGCGACCTCCGTTTACATGGGCTGAATGAATGCGCACTCGCCATCTCGATCCACCTTTGTCTGGCGGCTTGAATGCTATGCGCTTTCTTTGCGCATTATGCCGTTTACATGACCGCATTGAATGCGACAAATGTATTCGATGCGACTAAGTTGCATTCATGTAAACGCGGCTAGGGACTCTAACTTTATGTATAAACTTCATATATAGCCTTAACAAGTGTAACGCTTCCAATGCGCCACTCGTTTATGAAGCTCGTTCATGACAATTTTCTCATAAACAAAACCCCATAAAACACATTCTGTGTTACAAGAATTGGCTGCATAGTTGGTCATTCAGCCAAATGCATATCAATGCTGTAGCTTTATAGGGTGGGTGGTGTTCTTAGTTCGAGTGGTGCTAGGGAAGAATGTCTCTTAGTCTTTCAATGCCTGGGGTGGGTGGTACTCTTAGTTTAAGTGGTGCCTAGGGCAAGGTTTTCTATGAAAACCCTGCCCTAGAAGAAACACCATTGTATCTTCATGAAGCTATGCACACTTCCCTTCAGCACCACCCGGATACAAAGCCTTTGCGCTGAATTTTCTGGGTCACCAAGAGAGGGGAAGTGAACTTTCCTGCCTTTTCCACTCCCCCTCGTTCCACATACTTTCTATACTACCTATTTCTGCTCCTCTCTATCCCTCTCCACTCTGCACGCTTTCTCACACCGCCTGCTTCTGCTCCTCCCGTTCCTGTATGCTGGGTCTATAGCTCAGTCAGCAGCGGACTCGGCTTCCACGTCAGTGACTAACGTAAAAACAGCAGATGCCAGTTTTTTTTTTTTTTTTATTAGGTTAGTTTAGCGATTTTGGGTCCCCAAGAGAGGAGTAATGGCGCTTTCCTGCCCTTTCCACTCCTCCTCAATTCTGCACACTCTTTCTACACCACTTGTTTCTGCTTCTCTCTTTCTTGCCCACTTTCCCTCCCCGCTATGCACGTTTTCTCACACCACCTGCTCCTGCTCCTCCCATTCCTATCTGCTGGGTCCGTAGCTCAGTTAGCAGTGCACTCGGCTTCCATGCTGGTGAACGGGGTTCAATCTCTGGCACCGGTCGCCCTTTTTTTTTTTTTTTAAGAGCTGTCCAAACAGGACACTTCAGGAATCGTAAGGCGACACAACTGTGCCATTAATCATGGAAGTTGAAGCTGGTTAAAGTCTGGCAGTCCGATTTCTGTTTGGACAAACCGGGCAAACATCTTGACTTTCCTCCTCACTTCCTCTGCTTTTCTTTTACGTCAGTGCTCGTCAGACCTGATGTCGCATGCCACATATCAATGGTGCGCCTGTGACTTGTCTATCTCTTCTGCCACCACGCAAGAGCCTCCGCCTTCTCACCCTCGTGTCCTTTCCTTTTCTGTTTTCAAGACTTGAACATTAGCGGAGGTCTTGAACAATTGACCGACAGCCAACAGAAAGTGTGAGTAGCTGTCCTGACCCACGTGATGAGCATGCTCAAGGCCCCCGTGAAGGACAGGAGCGAACTTTGACGAAAAGAACCATTCCCCCCAGCAAAAAAAACCCAGAGGGAGACGGACCGCCACACGGCATAAAATGGAGTTGTGCTGCCTCGCGATTTCTAAGTGTCCTGTTTGGACGGGCCTTTGTTTGCAACACATCCCGTGAATCTCCACATTGATCAGGTATGATGGAAACATGCTCTTTCTGAAAGTGTGCCATTTCCCCCCTAAGGCACGGAGGCCTCGACCCCAGAAAACACCCACCGATCTTGGAGGGGAAGAGGGTCTCGTCATCCAGCTGGTCTTGCACCCAGGTCATGAGGTAGTCGATATACTTGGGGGCAGAGCACTTGATGGGCTTCTTCACCGTCTGCCCGTCTGCCCAGTGGTACTCGTACTTGGGGCCCGCCGACATCACCGAGCACGTCTCCTCCGTGCAGAACTCCGTGATGGTGCCGTACAGCATGTTGATCTGGTTGAAGAAGTCCACCGCTGGCAGAAGAGAGGGACGGGCACAAGGCCACAATTCCACTTCAGCACAACCTGGCGAACACTGCGTCTCGCACGGTTCTGGCATAACCTGGCAAACGCTCCGCTTCAGCATAATCTGACAAACATTCCACCTCAGCATAACCTTGCAAACCCTCCGCTTCAGCATAACTTGGCAAAAACTCCATTTCAGCACGCCCGCAACACCTCTTCATAGCCGGAGTGCGCTCTGAGAATACATTATCACGTGCCTCACCCCTACAATCTGATTGGCTCACTGGGGCTGAAGCTTTGGCTGTTGTCCAAGTTATGCTGAAACAGAGCTAAATGCGAGCTATGAAGCAAGTGAAGATGGCTTCTTTGAGGAGTAATCCCTCAAGTTTCGTATCTGCCATCTATACGATACAGCTAAGGTTTGGATATCTCGGCACTCACTGAGGAAAGACAAAAAAGACCTGCCGATTTCGATTTTAGTAATCCTGTTTAAACCAAATGGTTGAAACTGTCAGTTTTTAAATCGGCTTAACATGAGGAAAAAGGGGCTTACAAGCGAGTCTCAGCCTCACATTCCAGAACAGAAAAGGCCTTTTGGAACAACTTGCTCGTATAAAAATAGATATTTCCAATGTTACTCATAGCTCACATCTCCAATAAAATAAAATAAAAAACACTCTTAAGTTGCATCGAAAAATCACAAAACTCGTTGCTGCGATGGTGAATCTGAGCGCAATCCATTTCCTTCACCTCGGCGCAATCAGACAATGGGAAAAAACAGTGCCAATGTGAAGCGCAAGTTTGTCTGCTTCTTGTACAGGGGTAGCGAGGATGTCAAAACGCCGAGCCCTTATTGGCCGATTGAACAAAATAGTGGGTAGACCTCAACGCATCTAGCATTGAGGTCTACCCTCTATCTTTCCAGTCAAAGCCAATCAGAGCTTGGCATAAGTCTGACGTCACCGCAACTCCTGTGCAAGCAGCAGACGACTTGCTCTCCGCATAGCTTGAGCGTGATTCATTCAGTGGATCTAGGCGGTATCGCTCGGGGGGCGGAGAGAGAGAGGCTCACGCACTGTTGACGGCCACCCACTCGTTGAGGTCCTCCCCCTCAGGCAGCATGACAGCCAGCCTCAGGTTCCCGCTGCCCAGCGTAGCCGCCGCCTGCTTCATCAGGTCATACTGGTGGGTGCCCTCAGGGATGTTTTTCTTCGGCTTGAAGGTCTTGGAGGAACGCCCTCCGCTAAGGGAAGGACACAGCCACGGAAGCATGATTACACCTGGATAAACCCTTTGAGTCAGGTGGCAGCTTGCACCACCTGGGCAGTGTTTTTGACATCAACACTAAGCCTAGGTCTTGAGGAACTGCCCTCTGCTGAGAACAAAGATGCAACCATGTACAGATGCACACAACTAAAGCCCTTGAATAAAGCGGCAGTTTGTGCCACCAGGGCAGTGTTTATCAAATCAATAGTTAACCAAAGTCCTGGAGGCTCGCCCTCTGTTGGGGGCAAAGGAACAAGAACCAGGAACTGATGGTTATGTATACTGAGCGTCTGAAATCGGGCGGTGGCTTGTGCCACCTGGGTAGCGCTTTTAGTGTCGAGAGTTAACCTGGAGGATCGCCCTCCGTTGGAAGCAAAGGAGGCAACTGTGAATGGACGCATGCTGCTAAAACCTTTAAATCGGGCGGTGGCTTGCACCACCCGGGCAGTGTTTTTGATATCAAGAGTTAATATCTGCCTTGATATACAAAACATGGTAAATGCATCAACCTTTGGGGTGCACATGCCATCACTCCACCTTTCACATCTCCTCACATGCCATTACTACACCTCTTGAAATACAGTGATGGTTAGAGCTGTGCACGTCACTCTTCATTTCTTAAGTATTTTCAGGGGTTTAAAAATGTATGACTTGTGGAACTCAAGCCTCATAAAGATTCAGTCAAATGTGAACCTCTGTAAAATAACAAGTTTGAGCATTTTTTTTACTTTTCACCCCAAGTTTGCACCATCTCTACAAATAACTCGTCTTCCAAGATTTCCCAACCGTGATTATTTCTCAATAAAATATGGAACAGTTTTGAAATTTTCTGCACCTAGAGGGGACGGTAACTTCTGCAAGTTTTGGGGGCATTCCCTAGAGGCAGGCTACCTGTAAAGGAGTCCTACAGCCAAGACACCACCCGTGAACTTTTTCGGTGCAGTCAAGCATTTGCCGAGAGAAACATACAAAGTCGACCCGAAACCAGAGCACACGTGCACAGAACTGTGATACTGGAGATGCCAGGAGTTGCTGAGAGCCACTTGGGTTTATTTTTTAGAGCGCAGCTCTTAGGCGCCCGTTTCCGGCTTGAGCAGCGTCGGCGTCGCCGTTGGCGTAACCGTGAGGTTACATGACCCCCCCCCCCCCAGGTCATGTGACCCCCCCTTCCTCCCCGAAATCACGTGACCCCCGTGAGGGGAGGAAGAGAAAGGAGGGGAGCAGGGAGGATGAGCAGGGGGGATGAATCCGAATTTTCATTATTCCGAAAAAATGATTTGAAAAGACTTCTATCTCTTGTCCGTCGACCGGCCTCGAACCGGAGCCCTTTCGTTCAGGAGTAGCAGGCAGGATCACGAGGGAGGAGGAGGGAGGAGGGGTATACCCTCCCCTCAGTACCCTTCCCTCCTCCTCCTCAAGAGCTGCGCTCCAATTCGGCGTCACAGGGAGTTGTAAACGCCTTTCATTTTTACAGAAAAGACCCGCAGTACCGAACCATTATAGAAGGTAGAGCCCTCAAGAAGAAAACAAAACACAATAATACGACAGTAATGCCATATACAGTAAAAACTGTAAAAAAAGACCGCATAAAAAAATTAGACGTTTACTATTTTCTGTAATGCCGAATTAAAGCGCAGGTCTTGAGGAGGAGAAGGGGAGGGTATGTCCCCTCTCCCCCTCCTCTCCTTCGCTTCCATTTAGCGGGAAATTTTTGCTAAATTTAGCAAAAATTTCCTTGCTAAATTTAGCAGGGAAATTTTTCCATTACGCAATGTGTGGTCACGCCCGGTTGCATTATTCTCATAAAGCAACGCACGTGGTTACGCCGATAATGACGCTGCTCAACCTGGAAACAGGCGCCTAAGAGTTGCGCTCTAAAAGTGTATGTAAAGACAAAAATTTTAATATAGGGACAACCTTCTAAAAGGAATGGTCCCACATCATTAGGGATAAAATAGGCTTCAAATAAGTCGTTCTACCCAGTAATTGTTTGAGGAAAAAGTGAATGTTTCTTATAATTTGTATGACACAAAATTTTTTTTATCTTCCTCGAATGGTCTATGCGACTTGAGACGTAGGTTGGTAATTTAAAGTACCAGAATATCCCGAGAGATGCCCCACCTCCAAAAGATAACCCGCCCCCAATTTTTGGCGCGATATGGTATTTTTTTTAATAACAAAAGATGGGCTACTTCCAGTGTTGGGCCTAGGCCAATGGGGACCTTGGTAGAAATAATGTTCCTTAGCCATGGCGGGAAATAAGCAAGCATTGCTGACTGACAGAGACAGTCATCTTTGGTTCATCTCCCCTCCCCATAATCGCAAGTTCCACAGGTCACAGAATCTAAAACGATCACTTTTTCAGCTGTTTTTTATCGCACACTCAAGTTACCCTGCTCCCTATTTTCACCCGATTTGATTTTGATTTTAGGCGGGCTATCTCTCGAGAAATTACGCTACCTACTTTTGTCAATACACATGAAATCATTAAAAACTGCAGACAAAAGTTCCAGTTGAAAACTTTTCTGTCTTAAGGACAAAAGGTAATGTAATGTTTCATTTCTGTTACACTTGCATTTCTACTATAAGTACTTGATACAAATGTTGCTGCACGGTTTTGGAGTTTTTCTAACTTGTCTACAAGGCGCTTTCGATGTGGATCCAATAGAACACATGCTATCCGCGACTATGCATTAAAGTTTCTATAAATCAACATGTTTTCGGCGTTTTGGTGGTCACAAAAATGATGTTTCATAGATTCTATCATCTTTATTAATGAAAATGTGCTGCAGACAGCCAATTACTTCCCAAATATTCAAAGTTCTGCATCCCTATCGTGCGCAAGTGAGGAAAAGAGAGCGAGAAAAGCAGTCGCTGTGCAAAAAGCAGAAAAAATTGAGCGACGATTACACGGCGTGATGCGTTTATGGCGTTAGCTGTGCTGCTGATTCGACGATATGACGATGACAATCGATTGACACTGCACCGATCATGCGTCATACGGTGATCTGATATTGAAATGACGTTGCGCTGATGTAGCATCGATACATTGTTGATAAACAAATGATTATAAGGTCGTGATGTGTTTTCCCGCCATATTTAGCGGGGATACTGAATTGGTGCATAGGTCATGTGACGTCAATTTATCCGCTAAATTTAGCAGGGAAACTTTTAGTTTACGCTCACATTGTCGAAAAACCGGGGAACAAACCACTAACAGTTGACGCTGTAATAACATTGTATTACACACATATTTGAAAAAAGCCGGGGACAACGGACAAAGAAGGGGACAAACACAAAACGTCTCATTGGCAGACTATTGAGACGTTTCGTGTTTGTCCCCTTCGTCCGTTGTCTCCAGTTTTTCCAAATAAATGTAACATCAACCAGCTTGCCTGTTTATTTACTCTTTCTACAAATTGAATTACATATATATTTTTCTCTGAGTGATGGGCCCTTACACATAGGTCTCCCTACAAATGAAGCCACTGATATGTGCCTTATCAACCCCCCTGCAAGAAGGAAGTCAAAGCAACAGAGAAGGACACATGGAAGACAGATATGGGGATGCAGTCATCCGGGGAGGTTATCTACGACAATTCGAGTGAAAGCATTTTGGTGTTGGAGGCTAGAACAAGAGCGCTGCGGACCAAGAAGTACAGAGCTAGATAAATCGATAGTGCATAAAGCATATGGAGAGGAGGATGGCCACGCACTCGGTTCTCTGCTTCAAAGGGCTTCAACCAACAGTAGCTAAAGGAATTGGTGGCTTAGTTGTGAAACCACAAGGGTATGAGACAACAAGGGAAAAAGAGTACCATATTCTGCAGACTTTAGGTCCAGAGACTATATGTTTAAAAGTCTGTTTTTTTTTTTTTTGCGGTGCAGACCGCACAGGAATTTGTCTGTCATTATCATTCACTATGATTGCCACCATGATTTTTCTGAACGACAGGTTATGTCACTGATAATTTCAGTATGATAAAAGGTCGAGGTACCAACAAAAGGGCAGCATAGAGAATGCGACTTCAGCCAGCGAATGCCATCGCTGGCTGAAGTCAGGGGGAAACAGAAACATGTGGACGCATTTGGCAGGTAAACAAACACACGTGGTGCGCAAAGAGCAGACAAACTTGCACGCCGTATACACCGTATGTGGTGGACTATGGTCTGGAAAATAGAGTGGTAGCAGGAAAGGTAGAGATAGTCAGGCAGAGGTCATCCGACTGGTGGCGCAAATAGAGGGCAGGACAAGTGCGCAAATATTTACGTAGAGGCACCTTTGTCGTCAAGATACAAACTGGGCAAAACAGCTCTCCTGAAGTGCTTGAATTTAGTAGCGTGGTGTTTGAACTTAAAAACATTCTTTAGGTGGCACAAGCCACCGCACAATTCAAACGGGCTCGGCTATATCAGTGTCACAATAGCTTTGCTTTTCAAGCAACTGTCACATACTTTAAAAAAAGGTGCGTCGTTTCCAAGAGAAAAAGAAAAAATGTATAACATTAATTATGTGTGGGCAACGAACCTGCATTCATTCTGCTCCTTTATAGAGACGTAGTTGTCTACACTGCCACAATCACTAAAACCTCATTCAGATTTGCAAAAATTTCATCATGAAACTTTCTAACTAAAATTAACCCTTGAAAAAAAAAAAAAAAAAGAGTGCACTTTTTGATGCCAATTTTTGCTACTACTTTGATGGCATAAGCAAGGTTCAAGTCTTCATGGAGATACCGAAGAAATAAAACGAGATATAACGTTTAGTTTGCACACGACGTGTCATTTCGCAGAGCTGGTGGTTAGTCTCCCTTACGTTTTCACACAAAACACGAACCCTCCGGTGCACAAACAGTATGACGGCAGTGCGCGTTTTCGGTGGAGAAGTGGCTAATAAGGCGGATGAAACAGATTGTTTAGAACGTGCCGTTCAGTGACGCCGGAGCAGAACCCTACACACGGGCCGAAAAAGACCAAGGGATCACGTTGCATCTCTTGTCGGTTTAATTAACCCCTTGCTTTGAGTGCGATGCAAAGCACGTTCTATCTTACCGTATATCGGCCAAACGCAACGCTAAAAAAACTACAAAAAACAACAAAAGACTACCATCTGCCACGAAATAAAATACGACTCACGCGATCGTGACCAAAGCGGGTGCTCATACCTGCTCATCGATGAGCGACTGATCGCGGCGACTGCTAAGCACGCTAAAACGCGATTTTACCAAAAACGTTTTTAAAACTTCACGCGCTGTGGAGGTTGTCACGACGTGAGCGTTGTCAAAGCATTGTGCAACTCGAGGAAACTTTCTCGTCACGCTTTGTGTACTCTTCAAGACGAGAGAGCTCACTTCACATTACTCGACCACACGCAGAAATTTACGAGTTCGAACGTCACAGGCGACGGGGAAAACTGTGAAACTCTCCGTGTAGCGTGTAACCTTCGCGGAGTGCGCGCTAAAGGCTATGGTAATGTGGGAAGAACGGCCGGTGAACCTTGGCACAAGTTACAGCTGCGACAGCAGCAGCCGACCGAACGCATTCCTCGGCGTAGGCCTATCCGAGCGCTGCGGTTCAAATGAATCGCCCGGGCTCGCAGCGCGACCGTGGCCGAGCTCCGATAGCGAAGGCCAACGAGCAGAGATGTACCGATCGGCTGCTTCGTCGGACTTACAAAAGGAAGCTCATCTCGTCCAAGATCTTGAGTTCTTCAGCGAGCACGAAGGTGGTGTGTTATCCGGAAGTGACCATGTTATTTTCGAAAGTGAGCGTCGATTCATAATCTCGACCCGAAGCCGACTTCCGGGGGAGTGTTGGAAAAAAATACTTTTTATTTTATTTTATTATTATGTCACTTACTTTGATCTAAAACATTTTAAATTATCTCAACAGTAACTAAATATATGTGTTAGACGCTTAAATGAATTGTTATCGAACACAAAAACACAAAGCTGTGTCGCTGTGTCTCGCGAGCTCTCGCTAATGACTCTAATGACTTTAGCAGGTTTAGGGTGTATTAGCAGGTCGCACAATAGCCACCAAAAGGACCAAAAGTCCCAAAAGCATTGCCACCATATTAAAAGAATTATGTAAGACAAGCTACAAATCAAACAGCTACCAGTTACCAAGTTACGATTAGTTTTTCACTACCTCGAACCTTCACCGAACGCTACCGAACACCTCTATACGTTGCGCCACCTTGCAAGGCATAATAGAAACTATGAAGCTCACAATTTGTCTCCCATATTATGCGAGTCTCCTTTTATATTGGGTTCCAGCCTCCGGACATGCACATTTGCGACGGCAACTGTACGACCGTACGAGTGTGATTAGAGAGTGTTTTGTATTGTCAAGCGCTTCGCGACGCTCAAAAGAGCTTATAATATCTACAGCGCTTCATCGTGAGCTGTGATCTGCGTCATCTTCTAGTGCTCCGGACGTTGACAACATGGCAGATCAAAACGACGATCCTTTCGGGCAGAACAACGATAGAAATGGTTAGTATACCGTTACCTCGCACGCTATGCTTCGCGTTCATCGCTAACGCATCTTCAACTCTCACATCACAACTGTAGTGGCAGACTTTCTTTTTAGCCAGGGCTATGACGTTTTTACTTTAAAGCACATTTTTGGCTCTCCCCTGTGCTGCCTGCCGGCGTCGGATAGATTACCTTTGTGCGCGTTTTCCGGTATTGTGACATTCCCCGGACATTTTGCACGATGACGCCAGTCCCCGAAAGGTTTGAGCCGAAAGCGTGCATGAAATGAAATGAAACGACATCTCGGCCTTTCTAAGATCGGTGCTCCTTCTCTGGTCGCAGCGAACAGCAACAGCCAAGCCGATGCCAAGGGTCTGTTCGGAGGGTAAGTACACCTTACGGGAGCTTCCCGCCCCCCGTCCTCAGCGGAGCGCTGCCAGTGAACGCGTTGAGTGCAGCGGCTGCTGTTCCTTCAGCCTGTTCCCCAAGAAGAGCGACTCGGCCTTCCAAGCGCTGCCCACGTCGCTGGAGAGCGAGGAGTACAACATGGAGCACACGCGCAGGGGAAAGTGCGTCATCTTCAACAACAGGGTACGGACCCAATTCGGTGCGAACGCGCTGCCGGATATGGGGGCGCGTTATCGAACAAGGTTCGGTGTCCCGGAGCGAAAGCAAACAAATACCGCTGCTTCGATTGCGACTTTCCAAGGGCTCTCAGTCCAACTTGATTTCCCCACAGCTCAGTGTTTACCCAACACAAGGCCTCTGCACTTGATTTTTTACGTCATCTTTCCGATGGAGCGCGGGCACAGTGTAACGTAGAATGTGCTGACAGGACGTCACATACATACCTCTTTGAGAAACTCAAACGCTGACCCCTTCACTTTTGGCTTTCTCTTTTGCTTCCTCTATTTTTTGCTGCCTCTCTTTGGCTTCGTTACAAAGTTACTGTTAGTGTTTCCTGTGGATCATGCTGATGCATTCCCTAAGGATCCACCAATGGATCTTCCTTTAATTTTTTCCGGCTTCTGTCACACGCAGACCCGCGTCGACTTGCCACTTCTTGCGCCGCATTTCGGATGGCTGAGCTAGGCGCTGCTTCCGCTTCTCTGTCTTGTTCGCACGCTTGGCAGCGGCATCCGCTGCCCGACGCTGCTGCATGTTCAGACTTGCCTCAGCATCCGTGTGCGCACTGGTTTCCGCCCCATGACATCGCCTCCTTCTCGGTTTTGACCTTCACAACTCCTCTCTACGCGGTGCTTTTCTTTCCACCATTTTTTTTCCACAGCCGGACGCCATTGGGTTTTCCTTGTCATGTGGGTACTAATGCCGACGCATTAAAAACAAAGTGTCATCGGGGGGACGGGACAAGATGGGCCGAGATAACTGCTTTTGCAAGTGGATGCGAGCTTGACCCACTTCGGCCTTTGTGCCAAACAGATGCTGGAAACGTGCACAGTGCACAATGCATTGTTCACGCGAGCCAGAGCGGCTACTAAGGAACATCTCCTTGGGCGATGGGAGAGCACGAGCCCCAGTTGAACGCCGGCGCGGTGTTCGGCTACGGCAGAGGCGTGCTGCGTCATTGTTGTCCCCATGGGTGAAGTTCTAAAGTTGGTTGCTGCGGGGAAATGAATAGGAGGCGCCTCGGTCTGCTAAACACCGTCTATACGGAAAATTAACAACATCCTTGGAAGAACACCACCTGCTATCTTGGAAAAATCCAATGGCACTACCTTTCAACGTGCGAGCTCAAAAGAGCAAAAATAAAGGTAAAAGAGCATGCACGAGGGAGGAGGAGCAGTGCCTGTGTTGTCGGAGCACAGTGAACTGTGCGGTCCCACGTTGCCGATCGAGTAATGCTGAAAACGCAGACTCTCAGGTTTCGTCGTTTTTTCCTTGAGTGTATTCTTCGCGGCTCGTCCAATCAAACGCAAAAGGTACACGATGACAGTGCACTGTTAGTCTGTGTATGCATGCTTACATGTCCTTTAGTCTGTGCCTGTGCTCTGACTCGAGTTGAAACTAAGCGTAGGGCCACCTGCCATTTTGGAACAATCCGGTCGGCGCTTCAGTTGACACATGAGTGCGAAGGAAAAAAAACTAAAGGTAAAAGGGTGTGCATTGGAGGAGAAGGGTGAATATGTAGCTGCCTTTCTTATTCGGGAACTTTACCATCGGGTGTTCGTTAATGCAGCGGGTGGCTAAAAAGAGCAACTGTCAGCAGGTCATTCTACCGAACGATTGGGCGCAAGCACTGCGTTAACAGTTTGGCGGGGCATTTGGACGATGGATCTAAACCACCTCAATGTGTTTGCCTTACGAGTAGCGTCAGATGCGCCAACGCTTGAGGTCTGTTCTTCGTATGGCCCTCGGTAACGAATGGCAGCGCAGCACTGAAATGATTGGCTCTCGAAAGCAAATGGCGCAACAGCGCTCGCTTGTGTCACGTGTCTTGCACGTATATACTATAAAGTTGTTGGTATTGGTAAGAAACATGAAGCTTGAATTTTGTCGAGGGGCTTCGGATCGTACTCAAGATCGGATCCAGGGTCCCCGGAACCGGGGGGGTTAACGGGGGCTTGAGCACCCACTGACATTTTCCAGGGGGTGCTGGGCAATATGATGAGCCCCCGTGCGTTTGGCTCGAGGCGTACTCAACAATGCTGCACCCCCCTCCCCACTCCCTTCCGTGTTCCCGTTGTTGCTCAGCTCCGCCAAGCCACGTACTTGGCTAAGGGCAAGCACGTGGCTCTGTTTTTGTTACGGGTGGCTACCCACCGAATCACGGCACGACATTCGCCCAAAAATTCCAGAAAAAAAAAAAATGGAGTAAAGCAAAGTGTCAGTAAACCGCGGACAATGCGGCAGCTTCAGAAAAATGGAGGGAGGAAAAAAAAAAAGAAGAAAAAAAGCCGGCACCTGCGGCCTGCATAGCAGTACAGTTAGGGACTGGGGCCCTCCCATACTCCACTGGCGTGTTGGCCATGCGGGAGAACGCGCAGCGCACTGTTTTTGTCCACCCGGCCAGACGGCTTCTTCGTTTTGCTTCTATTGGGAATGACGTCCCCCCCCCCCGAAAAAAAAAAAAAAAAAAAAAAAAGAAAGTACAAAAATATTTTCCTAGCTATTTTTTTTTTTTTTTTGCAACTGCGTTTTTGTTGTGTTTGTTGTTGTTTTGGGGGTCTAGGTAACCACGAAGGCCGGGTAATTGCTTCCGTGTGGAGAGCCGATCGCGGGGCGGGGAGACGGTCTGCGCGAGAAGAAAGCCCTTCTTGAATGGGGGACTGCCTACAGATGTAGAAAGTTGAGGGGAAAAAGTTTCCCAAACTCCCAAGGCAGGAGGAGGTCTTAGCAAGCGACACAGGTTGTAAGGGGAGACATCACACTGCAGTCTGTGTTGAAGCGCTGCTACCACAGTGGTCATCGGAGACATCAAATAATCACGGCATTCTCGCCTGTAATTTGGTGTCTGGTTTCCGAAACACCATTTGGTTCTTGCCGAGCCAGCCTGCTATGTTCAGGCGGGCGCACTATTATACACCCAGACGGTTTTACACTATTTTCAAAGACGACCATAAAAACTGGAAACATGCTGAAATAAAAAATTGACCGCATCTCCACGTGGTGAATGATGTTGATTGGGGTGAAGCTCTGATGGTGCTTGTCTGCGTAGACGCTGAGCCGCAGCATGCCGAGCTTTTCGTTCGTTTACATTCATGTCAGAAAGAGAATGTGTGGTATGGAACGTCGTTATATACGCATTTGAGCATTTGACCGCAGCGCCCTCTCGTCTATTCGCGACTCCAGCGACCTATAGGGGGTGCCACCACCAAACAAACATGGCGGCTGAGTCCAGGTCGCGTCGGCTTGGCCGGGCCGCCTGAATGGGTGGCGCATTCAATTTAACAATTATTCTTTTGTTGAATGCCCAATTTTATGGGTATTTGAACTGAGACAGTTAAGTTTAGCCAGTGCGCATAAACTTGCCGAGCATAGTTTTGTTTTGCCGGTGTTTTTTGTTCTTTTCATGTCAAACTTTCGCTGCGGAGACTTCGATCAAAACCGAAACTATGGGCTCCGGAGAAACAGTAATAGACTCTAATTAGTTTTGATCATCTAAGGAAAGCGGCGATGACTACAAAATTGTTCCACCAAGAGTAATGTTTAGCTAACTCGCATTGCCTCGATCATGCGACTTACCTGTCCGCGAAATTGAGCTTTTGTGCCTGTCCGCGTTTCAAGAAACAGCTGCAGTCGTGTGCTCGGTCAAGAACACAGGCTGCAGGAAAATTACGAAAATTAAGCAAGCGCTTCTTGAGCCAAGGAGCATGTCAACTCGCTGGCACTTCACTAAGCAGCTGATACTCGTATTTCAATTCAGGTTTTAGTAGCAATCGAGAAGTCATTTTGATGAATATGCGGTTATGAATTATATTACATACTATGGTCCCACTAAAGCGATATTAGTATGTTCTTCGGGTTGAAATATGAACTTAGTTGACTAACTATTAGGGTGAACTGCTGAATAAAAGTATATTTGACAGACAGAGAGATACTACTTAAACTTAGCCAAATGGTTCTAGCCGGTAGAACGGAGACGAATGCGGACAAGCTGAGGAGAGTCTTCATCGGAGATTCACTCAGACCTCTCTGCATTGAGCTTGACTTTAAATCCTGAACAAATAAAATTAATATTTTTTTTTTTTTTTTTTTTTGTGGCCGGTCAACCTGAGCAATTTAGACGTATATTGCTGCTGGATTCGACAGGGGTTATAAGTATTGGAGGCGCGATAGATCCTAATGACGTGACAGCTTCTATCTTTGCGAGACGCGTCCCCCACCTTTTGAAAGCAGATAATTTCTCTCATTAATCATATGCAGCAAGCAGGTTTTCTGAATCAAGTAATTGCGAAATTAGCCCAACTCCTTCAATGTGGTCTTTTTCGGCGAAAAGCCGCCAAGATGAATAGCCAACGCACCGGCCGGCGTTAGTGGCTCAAATTAACCTGAAGCTAATCCAGCACAACCAAACTCAAGGAAAGCAGCTATCGAACCTTCCCATTCACTTGACTGCAACATTGGTGTCCCCTCCAGTAAAACACTTTGTCTGTCGACCTCAGTCTACTGTTCTACATCCTTATAAAGAAACCGCTTATCAGTTACCAAGCGGTCGTCACTTTGATTGTGATTAGAGACAGACGAGAAATCAAAACGTTTTTCCGTGATTCCTCCCCATCCAAAAAATTGAAAGCACGCGACCGTGTGTTGTGAAATAAACGGGCTTTCAAACACGTGATGGAAAGAAACAATCTACTGAGGCTTCACCACACTAATGAACACTCAGGCAAACTTAAGAAATTTTTGGACCTTCGTCAAATTACATTGCTCGCCGCCGCGCCGACAGTACGCGTCCGCGAAAGCCATCAGAGACGCGGCGGGGCGCGGAGCGACCTGGACCGGCTGGTTCCCGGTTTTCCCGCTTGGCGGCGTCCGTTTTGCTGGAGTCGCGAATAAACGTTGAGCCAATGCATGCAAAGTTTAACGCGATTATATACGCATTTGACCGCAGCGCCCTCTCCTGTATAGACGTTGAGAGGCTACATGCAACGTTTCATCCATGACATCCCCAGCTCTTGAGTTACCACCATATCTCAGAGGCCCCTACTCGTCTTGCAGTCATGGCCGAGTGGTTAAGGCGATGGACTCGAAATCCATCGAGGTCTCCCCGCACAAGTACAAATCCTGTCGACTAATTTTTTTTTTTTTTTCCCCTACACGAGCACGTGAGCTCACGAGGACGAGCACCAACAAGATCGATGCGAGCACGACGGCGGACGGTCAAGGCTAGACCCTAAGGAGCTTCGCCCCTAAAAAAAAAGGCATCGCCAGTGAAGGTGCTGGAACGAGAGGGATGTTTTTTTCCTTGTCTCTAGCAGCTCACCTGCTTCCTCTTCCCCAGCCTTCCTTGTCCTCGCCCTGTCATTCCACTGAAACTGCGGTTGTAGATCTGTCATTGAAATCCGCGGACGGTTTCTTTAAACATCTGAACATCAGAGGATTTTTTTTTTTTTTTTAACAAGTGCAAGGCTAAAAAAAAAAAAAAAAAACAGTATTTAAAGTTTTACATTTTTAATCATTATGGCGACCGAAAGGACTTTCCTTGATATGTGGTTGCGGGGACACAAGAAATTGGCAGTTTGTCAGGGGGAGCAGCCACCGGAAATAGAGAGTTTTAGTAGATCGTTTTGATACCTCCGATAGCCCCGATAACGATACTATGCATGCGCAAAAGAGGCGGTGGCAGAGTATCGGGATATCGTTATCGGAGTCATGGGAGCGATCTACTAAAACTCTCCAATATCCGAAAATATCGGCCAGACAGCAATGGACTGTATCGTACCAAGAGTCACCAGAATTTACGAAAATCTGGTAGATTTTGTTTTAATTTTGTGTATGCGCATGGGTAGCAAAGCAAGAAGGGATTGTGAAATCTTAGGTCGCATGAACTGCATTGCAGGGAGTCCAGGGATTTCACGATGTTTCGTTGGCCCTATGAAATAACCGCCTAAAACAGTTTTGCAATAGATTGCGAAGGTATTTAGCACACAGACATAGTTAGATAGTAGAAGTAATCTGTAAAATTTTATAAAGGTAGTTCAAGTAAACAAAAAAAAAACTTATTTTTTAAAATTTTGCGTGTAAACACCAAATAATATTTTAAGCCACTGTGGCGTTAATTCTATCGAAATGAAGGCAATGGTATGTATTATTGTATTTTATTTTTATTCCATCCATTCTTTCAGTCATAATAAACGCCTTAGTGGCCCAGAAAAGTATTTGATAGTTTCGCGAAAAAGAGATTCTGCAGAAATTTACCCATAGAAAAATGCTTCTTTTCTTTCACTAAAAAAATTTATGTCTTCATTCTCCAAAAAAAAAAAAAAAAAAAATGAATCCACCATTTTTGAGTACCTCTGTACTAAATCGTAGCACGCTACGTTAACACGCCAATTTGCGCTGTCACTTCAAAGGGCTAACGAAACATCGTACGTGAACTCCCGGTAAAGTATGTCAAATCCCCTGACCGATTTTGGTGGGCATTTGGTTTTCAAAGTCAAATTTGGGGGTTCTACATGCCAAACCAACGACGGGCATCTGCCACGCCCCAGCGGAGGACTGAGGATTAATTTCGACCACCTGGGGATCTTTTGACGTGCAACCAAAAGCTTGGGCGCCTTCTCTGCAATAAGCCTCCGTCAGATTGCGGGAATCCGAACCCGCAACCCGGGGATCCGTAGGCGGCGCTTTGCCTCGGAGCCACCGAGACGGCTGGCTTTTGGATTCAATTTCCAAAAGCATTGCAATGTGGTGACGTGTTCTAAAGAAAGTCGCATTTCTCTTAATGTATAAAAATAATTGTGTGTTAACAAGTCACTGCTTTGTGACGAGAATTTTGGATTAATGTAGGGACACACGGTACACGAAATGTTAATTAACCTTCTATATACAGTGAGATCTTGGTAATAACTTTTTTTTTTTCAATTTTAATTCCCCCTTTTCTCCCCCCTCCCCCTCCCCCTCCCCCCCCCCCCCCCCCCCCCCCCCCCCACACACACACACACACACCTCACCCTTTATTTCGACCGCTAGCCCCCCCACGTAAAATACACTTCCGGGGTCGCTGATCGGATCCAATGATTGCGGCCGTGGACTGTCGCGAAGTTGCAAAAATTTAGCACAAGACGGTGCTGCCTGTCAAACCGAAGTTTATTGCTGGTCAGAGTGGGGCCTTCAAATCGAGAGTGAGGAGGGGGCTCCTATTGAATAGAGGTTACACCGTAACATTTTGTAACTGGATACTATAATGAAAGTCTAGGACCGCTTTGGTTCGAGCATCAACTAACTCTCAGATATTAAAGGGACACTGAAGGCAATTTTGGATATCTTTTTGGCGATTGAACTGGGTTCCAGACACGTCTCAGACCACTTTGCCCAAATTTCAGCCGAAACCGGCGCTTGTGTGCCACGCAAATCAATTAGACAGTCGCGGTAATAATCGTACCGAGATCGACTGGGGCGACGCCCCGAGAGTTGCGGGAAAAGCCAGGAGAAGCGGAGCTCACGTGACCGATGCGGGGCCAAGAAGTGCGACGTCACAAGAGACGCGTCAGCGATCGGTCGAAACGAGAGGCGTGCCCTCGATCACGTTTTGGTTCGCGATTTCTATGAATACTGTTCTAATTTCCGCTTGAATAACCATAACAAGTATAAATCGGACCGGAAATGATTACTAAACCGTAAATAAAGCAGCATAATTGTTTTTTTCTTTGCCACGCTGGACGTGAAACGGCCAACGAGCAACTATGGGCACTTTGGCATGCGGGCCGCTCGTTACCGGCTGGGCGGTCTCCGTCGGGTGATGGCGGAGGCCGCCACACAGGTATTTCCGTTCCGTTTGTGTTGGGTCACTGAACGGAAGCTCAAACTCGCTCGCGAGAGCGGCATTGCCGTCCATGTTGACAGATTCGATGAAACGACCGCGCCACCGCGCTGCTATAACCCACCGCGGTAACCGGTCTCTCGATCTCCTAAATACTACCGATACCGACTATTCACACTTGACGTCACTCCCTACGTCACCTCCGTTTTCAGAGGCCCAGAAACGAGAATGGAGATTGTTCAGTTTCGGTTTCTTTACTTCTTTTGTAGGCACAGAAATAAGCGTCACAAATGTCTACGAAAAATTGGGCAGCATTCTATGTTCCCAAGAAGCATAAAACACCATTTAAAAAAATTTAATAAGATCGTCTTCATTGCCCCTTTAAGAACAAAGGTGTATTTCTGTGTCGGGATGCCAGCCAGTAAACACAGATCAGATGAGGGGGACCCATTCATATGCCTCTGAAAAATACTACCTGCTTTATCAACAAGTTCCAAGGGACTAACCTAAAGTTGTCGATATAGAGACCATGTTTGCTCAGCCCTCGATCCAAAAATTTTTTTCAGTCTTGACACAGGCTCAAGTAGATATTTGAAATTTCAATATGACAGACAGTCAAACCTGTAAGATACACATTGGAAGAAAACTTCAAGCTTTCTACGTTGTATAGTCGATATATTTGCAATCTCTTCTAAAAATATGGTTTTATTGTACTAAAACCAGCTAGACGATGCTCCTACATTTCTTCGGAATTTCATGTTTGCTAATCAGTTCAGAGGAAATAAGCTTGGCATGTAAGCTTTTAAAATCAGGTGCATCGAACTAACGTGCCATTCTGCAGCGTGTTAACTTCAAGATGTCGTAAGATGCATCATGCACATATTTCATTTTGCCCTGCTACTTCGTTTGTACCTCCGATCTTCTTACATCTGACGCACATAAAAGATCATTTGTTGGTTCTGGATCTAGTTCACTGAAATTTCCTTATGGAGTACTTCTTTTTTATTCTTTTTGTTTCAGACCTTTGACTTCCACACGAAGCTGAGTGAAAGGAGGGGTACCGATCTCGATGCTGAGAACCTCTACCTCCGCTTCAGTGCTCTGGGGTTTGACACCGTCATACACCAGGACTTCAAGGTCAAGCAGATGCTGTTTGAATTGGACAGACGTGAGTGTGCTGGAATCGCAATACCATCAAGTGCCTTAAAACAGTGTGATTGCAAATGCTCATCCTAATCGATTCTGATACATTTCACCGAAATGTGAGGAGTTGATGTTAGCACCGTGCCAGATAGGAATTTCTCTTTCTTAATACTGACACTAGACGCATTTACATGAATGCAACTTAGTCGCATTGAATCAAGTTTTGGCATTTAATGTGGTCATGTAAATGGCATAATGCGCTAGGAAAGTGCATCACATTCGAGTCACTAGACAAAGGTGGATCGGGACTGCGTATTCACCCAATGTACACGGAGGTCACATTGCATTCTGGAGTGAAGAGGATTATGGGAAGGCACTCGCTGCAGGAGCGAGTGAACAGCTGAGAACATGACGGCTGTTAACCTTGGCGGCGGCGGAGAGCAGTCCCGTGTGGTCACCCAGTTTTTTTCCGTGAAAAACACAAGCTTTTATTGCCATCATATGTGAGCGGAATATAGCCGAGCTGCTTGGCGAGGGCCACCCCCGCCCAAGTCTCGCGAATTAGGACTTTTGATCCAAGGGAGCCCTAGAGGCTTTGGCGCAAGCGTGAATGACTCCGAGAGCTCCAAGCATTGTATGGTACCGCAGAACGAGCACCCCCTATCTCGGTGCCGTTCGTACCTGAGCCTTTTGGCCTCGGGGTCCGGTCGTGGTTGGCGAGGCGAAGCGCGAAGGTGTCCTCGGAGCGGTCGGAAACAAACTCGATTGCCAGGGCGTGCGCATGCACGTCGCCTGTGTTCCAGGCTGACCTGGCGGCCCGGCCCAGAGCCCAAAGCACTTGGGTTTTAATGTCTTTTGCGTCTTGTAACATCTCGCACAACGTCGAAGACGGCAGGTGTAATCTCTACGCTCGTCGAGAGGGCCCCCCGCGTGCGAAGCACTGGAAAACGTGGTCACGTGGTGCAGCTGGTGCCGGAAACGCAACTTAAACTTTGAGATTTGACACGGTGTGGCGCCACCTTCGCATAGGACTTGCCCAGGACTTGGTGCGGCTCCATGTAAACGTTGATGCGTCGTCTTCATTCAAAGGTTGATTAGAGTCTGTGCGCTGAAATCACATTCATGCCCTCTACACAGCTGGATGTTCACAGTAGGCTTGTTCAAAATTCCAATACTTGATGGTCAATCCGGAGCGCGGAGTATTTATTTCAACCTTCGTATCGAACACTGACGATACTTGGAAGTTCCTCATTATTGGGGGTCTTTCTAGGAGAGCTTAGTTCCATGAAGCACTCTTTTCTCTTGTGCACAGGTGCACTGCAGAGAGGCTATAGCCCCAGAGTGGACACTGCAGTTTTTCGTATCACACCGAAGCAAGGTTATGGAAAACACTAGGATCATCCAACATTTGTTTTCTTGGAGCCTTTTTTTTTTACGCTCAAATATGTTTATGTTTAGCCTATTTCCTAATGATTGATGCCCGCCAGCAGCAACTATCCTTCCCAGTAAAGCGTCACAACACAGACAAAAGAAAAAAAAACATCAAACACTTTAATATTATACACACAAAAATGCTCAACAACTTTTTAAAAATATCTACAAATCTTGAGGCAGTTTTGATGTCAATACGTTCTTAAAATAGCTTAAAGGCATAGGCAAACATGTCAGTTGAAGGTCCTGAGGCACCATTAAACCAGGTTTCCATTTGGATGAGAAACAAAAGTTGAGAGTTCCCACCAACATTAGAGAGTTCCATTCACCTCAAAGAGCAATAGTATATTATCTGCCAAGTTGTTTCAGCGTAATTTGCAAAGCCAGGACAATTAGGTACCTGTCTTTTCCATCTGTTAATTCTATGTGCAGTTGCACATCCACTACAGAGCAATCAAGTTGCCACAGAAGTGCTCATGCTTTATTTGCCGGTACTGACCTGCGTACGGTAAGGTCAGTTTGCACAAAAGGAATTCCTTAATACATCAGTATCTTTGCTGTGTCGGTGATTTGAATGCTTGTTCTGCTATTACAATGAGGAAGCATCCACCAACCAGGAGGTGTCAGGGAAATTGGGAAGTCTGGTAAAATCGTGGAATTTCTGCCAAACCAGCTTCAGTTTGGGAAATATAGTTCCCTTTCCTCCGGGACAAAAGGCATCCCGTACCACTTGACACTCCGTGAACCAATACTAAGCAGTCTCCACAACAATATGGTTGAGTTGATTCCTGGTGCCAGGGTAAGGGATGTCTAAAAGCTTAGGCAGTTTTGCTATAAATATGTTTCACTGTGTGGAAAACCAATACAGAAAGGCAAGTTACGTTCAAATGTCTGGTGTGGCCAGAACCTCTTGCATTATTTTTTATAGCGAGCTTCTCCGCCTATCATAAAGTACAAGGCATGCACCCATGTTGCAACAAGTGCCCACCCCACACTTTTGAAACATTTGATATGGAGACAAAAGACATATCAAGCAACCACCCCAGCAAACTTCTGAGCCCATCAAGCTAGCCAACGTGCTTCTTTGTGTCAGATGCTTCTCTAAGAAGCTGGTGCAAAGCGTTGAAGCTTTATGCATGTGCACTGGAGCAAAGGGGTGAAGCTTGACGCAAGATCGCAGGCGCAAAGCAGGTGCGACGAGAGGGGTGTGATTGCTTCTAAGGGGTTCTGCATGACCCCTATACCACTCCTATACTATTCACTTTGACTAAACAAAGACCTACCCTACCGTGTGCCTCTTCTGCTGTCAGAGAACTCCATTGTTTTGTGATTAAGGGGAGACACTGGCGTAATTATTAACTTTTGAACTCCTCGTCCGATTTTAATGAAATTTGGAGAGTGCATTTATGAGCAGATGCAGGGGCACTGTGCAAACTTTGACTTCTATAGGAGAATTATGTAAAAAGTTACATATTTGTGTATGAGGCTGTGGCACCTTTCCTTAGGAAATCTATCGTATGAAAACGAAATGTTAAACCACTGTTTTTATTGCTTGGATATGAAGTAGAGGGTATGTGGCTTTGGGCTATCTAATTTGTATGATTAAAATGTAAATATTTCGGAGAGGAATTCTGTCTCCAAAAATGATATGCACTTTCTTTGAATGCCATTTTGCCAAAATGTCACTTTTTCTCAGTGATGACTTCAACTTAAAACAAAATGAAGTAGATAGCCCAATTCCCCAGTAAATTTCAGTTCAGAAACACTTTGAACGAGGCACCTGGATATGTTTACCATCAAACGATAGATTCCTTGCTACAAAGTTTGCAGCAAAAAAGTGAAACTGAGAAAAACGCATTCAAACATTGAGCACCTTTACTTTATTAGTTTGGCCCAGTCTGTGTCCACTAAAAGGCGCCGGCAGAGTAGGTCTCCCCTTCGGCTGCCTGGTCCCTCTGTGCCTTGGCGATTGCTGCCAGCTTCCTTTGCTTATGGGCCACTTTCGAAGAGTTGAGGGCCTTCTGCTTCGCCTTGGAGACCTTGGCTTGGAGGGCCTTGTCAGCGTGCTGAACCTGGTGGCTTCCGGGTTCGATTCCCATTTCATGAAGGGCCCTCTCAAAGCCCTTGGGGCCCAGGTTGAATTCCAGGACGGCAAGAGCCACGGCAGTTTCCACAGCTCTTCGAGAGGCGAAATCCGTCTTGGGACACCGCCTCCACACCAGAACATTGAACGACTCGTTGTTGTTCTGCGTTCCCATCCTAGCACACCTCTCGAGTAGGTCCCGCCTTGAGAGTCTATTGTAGAGGGGCACCAACTCCTTTGCGATGTCTCTGGAGAAGGCAGGGCGGTGTGGCTGTGGCTTCGTCGGCTCTCCTGCTGCCTCCAGCGCTTTCTGGCGATTGAAGTGACACCAGGAATGTTCTCCATGAGGGCAGGCCTGATGCCGGGGCTCTTCATCGGTGGAGTAGCTGTGGAGGAGGCTGGCAAACACTGCCTTCTGCATGGCTGGAACGTCTGGGGCACTGGTCTTCAGTGCAGATGCATAGTAGCTGGACAATTTCTTCATGACAAGGTTCGTTAGTTTGCCCCTTCCACCGAGACCTTTTTTTGTTTTCTTTAGGGCCTCCATGCCAGCTTACATTCTTTTGGCGACGTGGTTCACACAGTCTTCTTTCCTCATGCCCTTGTCGTAAAGATCAAGTCCCGCAACATGGTTGAAATGGTTGAAGGCTTTACTGTCCCCGTCGTACAGCACTGTCACATACTGCAGGTTGTGGAGTTGGACGGACCGACGGAAGATCTCGTCTGCTGCTTGTAGCTCCATCGCATTTGCAGACCCAGCAAAATTTTTCTGGCATACTGCCCTGTGATTCTCCGCCCAGTCTTCATGGCTGCCAGATCCCTGCGCAGGTCCCAAGGCTACATCCATGGCAATAATTGCTCTGGACAGAATAGTCCAAAACTAGTCCAGTCTCAAGCTCGATGGCAACTCCAACACCAAAGTGTGAAGTGTGCCCACGCTTATGCCAAGTGCCATCGTATGTCGCACAAACGTCCATCAAATCACCGCTATCTGACTCGCGTGTTTCTCGTACAGCTTCTGCTGCCTTGCTCATTACGTTGCTGGCTGCTCTCACTGAGGCGTCGTGGACCTTTTCTCCCAGATCTTGATAAGATCGGAGATGCATGGGCGAAGGAGCATTGATACCGGCAAAAAAGTTAGTAAGCTTCGTGTATCCGATTCCACATTCACGAGACGCAAGAGAAATCCATGCTGCCAATTCATTCTGCCGCGAGTGTCCGATGGTCGACGAGTGCGGCGTCCGAGCAACGTCCCCGCAGTCTGGGCAGACGATGACGAATTGCGCCTGAACTCCCTTGCCACTCTCGCTTAGCTGAAGGTCTGATCCACGGCACACTGGGCACAGAAGAGCGGACACGAGTGTCTTGATGGCAGATAAAGCAACCAGACGATAACCTTCGGTTGGGGCACCGTCGGGAGCAGCGGGAGCGTCCGTGGGATCCACAGCGGGATCGCTCTCTTGCAGTAGCGAGATCTCGCGCTCTATCGCCGTGAGCTCCTCCACAACCTCATAATCTTCAGGAAGAGACGAAGAAACGTCGGCTGGTTGTTCGGAGGTCAGGTCCTGAAGCGACGAACCGGGAGATGGTGACGCGCTCAAGAGCGAAGCAGCTGACGCGTCCGACGTGGTTCCGTTAGGGTTAGCGCATCGTACGCGTCCACCTGACGAGCCTCTTGGTTTCACAGAACGGCGGCGAGCTCCAAGCGCTTGGAGGGAATGCCGTTTAACGGCCGGCATCGGGGCGACGAGACCGTAGATAAAACGATAAAACTGAGAAATATATAACGAGCAAGCAAAAGAAGCGAACGTTCGGCCGAAGCAACGAGACGAAACAACAATTCGGGCGAGCGGATCACTTGGGGTGTCACGGGCCAATCCAGGCTTGAGTTTCGTTTTCAAGCCAATTATAGCCGACAACTAGGGGGCTCTGGCTTTGTTCATGCTTACTCTCGAACGAAGTTTACTATCGTCACAAAAGCCCGAAGAAACGACGCTTCCAACGAGGGTATCAACATCGCGGTAGGCCAAATGGGCGCGGAGCGGTCGGCATTTGAAAATGGCGAATATTGTCAACCGATCGCGCGACGGAACGACTCGGGGATAGGAGGCACGTCGCCGACCTGTCGAAAATCTTTTATATCTGCTTAAATACTCGACGTACGGGCATGAAATTTTATGGAAGGGTGCATTATTAGTTTCTGAAATCAGATATAACAAATTTGAAAAATGCACTTTTTAAAAAAAAATCGGGAATTGGAGCCCGTGTCCCCCCTTAAAGAGTTTTAGTGGATCATTGCAATTAATCCAATAATGATAGCTGATCTTCTGTTAATGCCTCTGCGTATGCATCATATCGTTATCGGGTATTTTTATGGGAGGTATTGGAATAACCTACTGAAACTCTCTCCAACTTTTGCTTGGGTGCTTGTTCAGTGGTACAGTAACGGTGAACAGTGAACCAAACAAATGCGTCAGAGGTCATTGGCAAATGGGCTGCCGACTAGAACGAGCTAGCAGATATGACCGGCCGGCCGGATGTCGCGGTGATCCCAAGGTGCCTCACGGCACTGCGACTTGCCTCGCAGTGGGGAACGAGGACCACAGCCGCAGCGACTGCTTCGTCTGCTGCATCCTGAGCCACGGTGACAAGGACGTCATCTTCGGGACGGACGGCAAGTTCCCGGTGGACAGCGTGCTCGAGCCATTTCGGGGAGACAAGTGCCCTAGTCTTGTGGGGAAGCCGAAGCTTTTCTTCATACAGGCGAGTTCACGCTTGCATTCACACTTACTTCATGCAAGTTGACATTTGTTTAACTCAAGTTCATATCTGCTTTACACAAATGCGAACCCGGTTTGTTTTTGAGACATTGAATTGCACAGCTGAAGCTCAGTTGGGGTATTGCAGTAAACAGATTTTCAAAAGGAAGTACCACTTCTGTTTTGCGCGAGTGTATTAAAGAAAATCTGCCGTGACCACGTGGGCATAATCATTTCCGAGGTCATGTGCCTGTTTCATTTGGAAAGATGCAGTGATGGGTAAAGGTCGTTGCCGTAAAATACCGATCAAGCGTCTATCCAAAATTTTAAGACAATCTTGAAAAATGAAAGCCGTTTACAACTCCCTGTAACGCCGAATTTGAGCGCAGCTCTTGAGGAGGAGGAGGGAAGGGTACTGGGGGGATCAGTTGACCTCGGAAGGGGGGGTCACGTGACCTCGGGGGTCACGTGACCTCAAGGGGAGGGGTCACGTGACCTGGGGGGTCACGTGACGATGACGTCATCAGTGATGATGACGATGACGATGCGGATGCCGATTACGTCATTGGCATTCGCATCGCCATCGTCATCATGACTGATGACGTCATCAGTGATGTCACTGATGACGTCATCGGCATCATCTCTGATGACGTCATCGTCACGTGACCCCCCCCCCCCCCCCTAGGTCCTCCCGAAGGAACCCGAGGTCCTCCCGAAGGAGCCCGAGGTCCTCCCGAAGGAACCCGAGGTCCTCCCGAGCTCCTCCCGAAGGAGCCCGAGGTCCTCCCGAGGTCCTCCCGAAGGAACCCGAGGTCCTTCCGAGGTCCTCCCGAAGGAACCCGAGGTCCTCCCGAAGGACCTCGGGTTCCTTTGGGAGGACCTCGGGAGGACCTCGGGTTCCTTCGGGAAAATTTACCCATAATGCACCGCGAGGTTACGCCGACGCCGACGCCGACGCCGCTCAAGCCGGAAACGGGCGCCTAAGAGCTGCGCTCTAAAACTGGGGCGTGGGTGCTTCTTAGGTCCGAGAGAGTGAAAATGCGGAAGGCACACGTGATGCGGTGGGCTTCACCGACTTGCACTGGCGTGCTTGGGGAAGCAGTTGGTACGGGGGAGCGTCTCGGTTAGCCAGGTGCGCGCTAGTGTCTGGATGAGGGACTTGATATGTCTTCTACTTAATTTCCGAACTCTTAAAAATGAGTCGGTGGGTGCTTATTGTGATCAGAGGTTGGCATTTTAGGTCGCCCTCACCTGCCCTTGCCCTCACAGCCACACTCTCCTCAGCCCCTCACTCACCCTCACAGCTACACTCATCCTCAGCCCCTCACTCAGCCTCATCCTCACAGTTGCACTCACCTTCAGCCCCTCACTCACCCTCACTGACCCTCACTGCCCTCACGCCCCTCACACACTCACGGTCAACATAGCCCTCACTGCCTCACGGTCCTCACTCACACTCGTGAATTTTCATGGTTCAGAAGATGTGGGTGAGTGAGAGCCCTCAGGAGTGAGGTTTGCCGAGGTATGATTGTGGCGATGGGTGCATCACTACTGCGTGATGCACGCTAAAGATTCCAGGCTAGCTGCGATACTGCACTGGCTAAATTTCTCACCTAGAGCTGAGACGGCAGGGGGCCACTGAGGCTAACTTCCGGCTGTCTAAACGTACAGGGATTGCAATAATGATTTATTAGGGAGTTTTAGAATAACGTACGCAATTTTAGCGCACGCTAGCGCTAAATTTAGTGCTTGTATTAGCGCACGCGACGCAAGAGAGTTTTAGAATAGCGTTTCTCCGCCGTGACGCAAAAGCCCAAGCAGCTCGCGCTTGTAACGCCACCAAGATACAGTCACAATTTTTATTTCACACACGAAATGCTGTAACTTTAGAAACAAACAAGTTTTTTGGTTCAGAGTACTATTTTAGAATTGTTTAAACACGAGGATGCGACGCGAGCGGTTGACAGGTCGTGTCCGCTTGCGTCGCCTCGGCAAGAGAGGTCTCGTGTACTGACCTTCGCACATCGTGCCTCCGCCAAAAAATGTTCACGCGTCGCAAGCATCAAGTTGGCGGGGGTCGTTGCCAAACTGCATACAATGTCGTTTCGTATTGAAAATCGCAGTCGCGAGGATGCCGCCGCCGTCGCACTCACGACGCCACCGAAGCAGCCGCGCAGCCGCCAACATAATCCTCGAAGCCGCCATTTTTTAACTGTGCTCGTCTTGGCTTTAGCCAACTTCTCATCACGAATCCTCCTTGGAGAAGCGCAAAGACTGTTTGCGTACGTGCGCTATTTCCGAGAAATAGCGCACGCTGAAATTGCACACGCAAAGCGCAAAACCTGTTTTGCGTTCGGAGCATGCGCAGTGGTGACGACGCTATTCTTTGCGTACACAAATCTTTAGCGTGCGCTATTTTAAAACTCCCTATTATTGACACGGGATGCATGCTCGGTGTTTTAAAGGGGCCCTGCAATCATATTTAAGCGTCTACCTTTTTTGCGGTTTCCACGTCTCTTGTGGTCCGGGCAAGCCAGTGGGCACGGAGACAGTAACTCAATATCAGTGCGTCATATTTTAATCGGACGACACAGAAACCTCCTCCACGTACGGGGGCAACCCGCGGTGCCGAAAGTGCGCAATATCTGAAGTCTTTGGTCCTGGGCTTACTAGCAGTCAGAGCCGCTAAGACCTTCTGTTTAGTCGAAATACAAAATATAAGTGGCACAAATTATTTAAATTTTTTTTATGAGAGTAGTTTTTGTTCAGTATTTTTGATCAGAAAATAAACAAATGCAGTTTATAAAGTACGGAAACAAGAAATACTCGTCGAGATACCCGCCACCAAGCAGTGGAAAAGGCGGCACATGCTAGAAAGGGGCAATGGGATCAGGCACCGATGAGCGGCGAGCGTAGAAAGGTCCCGGATGTATGCGGCGGCGCTGCAGTCGTATACGGGCTTGAGGATCCGACCGGTTCTGAGCGTTCCGAAGGCCTTCGACGAGCAGGTTAGGCTTGCGGTGCTGAACTGTGCCGTTTGTAACTCAAGCTTAACTGCAGCAGCTGTATGTAGAGGCAAGATGGCAATTTGAAAAGACTAGTGTATTTCTTGAACCTACTGCTTCTGTACTGTTCATTGGCTCGAGGGTTTAGGTGTTGCAGTCTTGCATACTGGGGAGAAAGTAATGCTGCAGAAGTTGTATCGGAAGCTTAAAGGGACACTGACAGGGTATTTATGCTCGCCGAGGTTTTTAGTTGTACGTGACATATGAGAGCTCAACTACCCAGAACAGAATTTGCAGCTCGAAATTCGGTTTCTCCCCGCCCGAAAACCGCCGATCAAGAACTGGCCGGTTCGAGTTTCGCTCACTCTCTTTTTCGCGGTCACGGGCCGTTTTCTAAGGTATCGATGCAACCACTAAATTTAATCAACGTCGTGGGTCACTGAAGGCACACACTCAATATTAAAAATAGAAAAAAATTTGAAACCCATTCTTTGTGGCTTCTAAAAAGCTGTAAATACGTTGATTGAAACAAAAAGTTCCACAGACAACCGGAAGCATTCTGTGCGTTCGTCGTTTCGCGTATCGTGGGACTCGCGGGGACGGCGATGGCAGCGGACGACGGGCGTGGGACCTCTATTTCAGAACTGTCGTTCGCGGTACCGGCGAATTCTGTCTACCGTTAAAAGAGAAATTTGGGACTGATCAAAAGAATTGGTATTCATCCCGTACGACACGCCCGGCCACCAAGCCGATTTGCACGAAGACGTCGCCGAGCCGTCGCTCCCTTCTCGTGGCTGAAGACATCGCTCGCGCAAACGTCAAGCACGACGTGTCTACCTCGAGTTGAATATGCACGCGTATGATTTCTTTACTAGGTGCGAATGTCCCCAAAGCGTGGTGCTTCCCGACTTCGACCCGGGAGTGCTTTTACTAGAGAAAAATCTACAGCAAACTTTCCAACTTACAGTTTACCGGCTGAATTATTACTAAGGAAAAAGATCCACTAGAATAGAGATGCCCAGGTAGCTCAGTGGGAAAGACGTCCGTTTCACACGCGGTAGGACCGAGTTCGATCCCCCGTGGAACTTTATTTTTTTTTAAACATTTTCCGATGTTTACATATCTTTTTCTTTTTTTTACAATCATCACTGAAGAAACAAACAAATGTTGTGGACGATACTTCGCTGAATTAAATGGTATGGGATTTCTGTTTTGACACCTGCAAACTCAATGTAATCACTTTCCACAAAATGCAAGGAGCATATAAATCAGGTAGCGTCCGCTTTCCGAGGTGCCCGTATATGTTCTACAGGAATTGCAGCCAGCCATTGGTCCCGATCCCGTTGATCTTTCGGAAACTCTGTCGCACAATGCCCCTTTTTTTTTCGGATGCAGGACATGTGAGCCAGCTCTTCACGCAACATCTTGGGTGTATTCTTTTCGGAGCCGATCATGGAAATTCCCACCACGGGCACTCACTACTCATCTCAAACTCCTCAATGTACAAAATAACTCATCTTGGAGTACAGAACAGCGAGCGGAACAATCATAACTGCAAAAGAATCGCACGGCGAGCAGTTCCTGCACGCCGCATCGCACGCCTCATGTCGTGTCGTCTGCTACCAAAAAGGAGAGAAAAAAAAAAAAAAAAAAACCGCACCACAGTGACTCGCACGGTCAAGTGTAGCCACGTGACTTCCGCCACTCACTCTCTTCTCTCCACTTCTCCGACCTCCGTCGGGTTTCGGTTTCGAGCAGTTGCGTCTTTTGGCTTTATTAAAAAAATATGCGACTCTGTTGCAAAATATTAATTGGGTAGTCCTCCGACACCATAATAAAACACCTGGCAAAAAATAAAAAAAAAATTTTTTGGGGTGTCAGTGTCCCTTTAATACTGCAGAGCCCGATTAAACATTTTTGGGCACCACGGTAAAACAGTGTGATCTAAAAAAACATAGCAACTGGTAGTGCCCTTGCGTGATGAGAGACAAGACGAGGAATGACTCTTGGGCAACTAGTATTCATTTCGTCTAAACTTTCATGGCTGTGTATTTATTCAAGTATGTGTTGACATTTGTTTTTGGTACTTCCAAAGTAGGGGTTGACCCGTAATTGGTGTCCAAGGAATGTTGACCTACAAGCATACCTGCCAACTCTTCCGAATTTTTCGTAAGATGTATGAATTGGGACTAATTTTACGATTTTACAAATCTTGATTCAAAATTTAAAAAAAAAAAAAAAAAGTATATGAAAAAATTTAAATCTTTTTTTTTTTTCTTACTTTTTTTTTTTTTTTTTTTTTTGTAAGGCCGTTGCTGGCGGTATTTTGCACCGCCCCAAGAGGGAGGTAGGTACCGTCCACGGCAGCGTCGTGGTTTTTACTATCCGTCTGTCCGGTGGCCACGGATTCAAAACCAATCCAAAGCCCAAAGACTTTGTGTGTTCGGCGTGTTCAGACGTGGTTGGACTAGGTTGGGTCTTTCTGTTTCGGCCAGTTTCGAGGCGAGAAGTGCGGCGTCTGTGTTTGTTGCACGTGTAATCTTAGCATTCCCTTGTCGCGGTGGCTTCGCGGCACAATGGCAAACTCCAAACCTCAAAAGAGATACTTTCAGGTGTTCCTAAGTTCTACACGTCCGAATTCCCGTGCTTTATGCCGTCCAAAAAGGGAGAGAAGTTTGCATTCTGTAGCACGTGCACGTGTGATGTAAGCGTTTCGCATGGTGGCAAGGCTGACATTAAGCTGCACATCGCTTCACGTAAACACTCCCCCTTGCGGCCGCGGGAGTTTTATGAATTTGAAAGCCCACAGGTTGACAGGTATGTACAAGTGTGAACAAAATATCCGAGCTCATCAAGCTTGCCGACGCGCTTTCTCGCATCCGCTGCTGCTCCTAGCGCGCCGGTGCAAAGTGGTGAAGCCCGAGGCACGCTTCAGTACACGGCTGCGAGCACCAGCGCTAGTGCTTGGCGCGAGCACCACCGCTAGTGCCGTGGCATGAAAGTACACGGTTGATCTGATGAACGCACAATCTTGTCGAGACCAGGAGACCCCGATTTCGTCCCGCCAGAGTGGCAGAACCAACCGTTAATTCATTCAGGCGTTATAAGTGATTTTCTGAAATTTTTAATGTTAAAACAGCGGCCGACAGAGCTTTTGAGTACATGGAGCTGAATAAGCCGAAAACGGGCAAAACCTGGCCATATTTTCCGATTGAAATTTTCAGAAAAATCACTTCTAAGTTTTGAATGAGATAACGGTTAGTTTGGAAACTTTGCAATCTAGTTCGAAGCACTAGCGCTATGTTTGGGCGGAGAATGAGCGTGATCGGCAATGCAGTTAAATTGTGTGGTGAAAACAATCCTGTAAATATTTTTGGGGATAGACGCTGTAGATAATAACATTCACAAAGTTTCTGTGTCTTTTTAAATATGCCAGGTGCACACATGCATCATCCCACCTTGAATCGGTGTTTTCCTCTTAAGCGCGTGACTGCAAATTCATATTTGTCAAAGTGTTGGCAGCGGCAGGTTAGCCCTGTTGAGCACGCTTCTTACTGCGCACCGGTACACTGCAAAGAAGCAACACCCGCAGAAGCGAGCTCTGCAAATGTTGCTTCTCCACACTACACTGGTGCTCTGTGAGAAGTGCGCTCAACGGGGCTGACCCGCTGCGATCAACTCTTCAAAATATATGAATAGCGCAAGTGTCTTGGAACCCCGGCCCACGGGCCAGGTTCGGCCCGCCGAGGCCTTCCGGCAGGCTTGTGGATAGCCTTGGTCCTACCGGCGACGTTCGGCTCGTGGCCCACTGCTGCCAACGCAGAAATAAGCACGCATAAAAAAGCAGTGCTGATACGTGCACCAAAAGGGTGAACGAAGATATCTGGAAGAACGAGTTAAAACTTAATTGAAATGCAGTTTTCTTGGCCGTATTATAATGTACCCCTGTTTCGTGTCTGTTTAACTGTGTCAAAATTTCTTTTGTATTCTCTCGTATATCATGCTTAGAGTCCTGTGTTGTAACTGTTGCATATTGTCATTGTCAAGTCAACTGTTCTCATTATTCTTCTGCTCTTTATGAATACGCGAAACTTCCTATGTGTGGTAAGTTTTCTGGGTCGCAATTATTTTGTAATGTCATAATTAGCAACATATTCAATTTCAAAATAAGGAATATGTGTTCGTCCACATTACTTCTTTTAACTTTAGTTTAAGATTTTGTATTTAGATGCATATTTATGTTTATTTATTTAGTATTTCCTCATTTATATTTACCGAATTTACTCGCATAATGAACACAGCCTCCAAAACAGGTACCAATATTTGGACTTTTTGTTTTTTCCCTCGCGTAATGAACGCATTTCCAATTTTTGGTGCCACGAGTCTCGAATTGCGTCCACTTTAGCTAGACAGCCAAGTCAATTTTCTTTAGCCGCCAAATGGTCAGGCCAAGCAAGCCAATCCCCTCTTGTAATTGCTGCATGCGGCCGCAATTGCATAGTTGTGGGAGTAATCAACCTTGAAACCGAGCGGCGCGCACACTTGACGAAGCTTAAATCGAGGAATTGCCCAGCCCCGGACATTCTTCGCCTATCAAACGCATTGATGTCAACAAACACGCCGTCGTCTGTGGTCTGCTTTCGGACAGTGATTGAAAGTGGTTAGGCTTAAGAACGGTCACCTTGCTCTTCGTGCTGAGTGAGCTTCGTAGGGTGCTATTTCTTCGGCAAAAGGTTTGGAATTTATACAGCATGGATTACTGTGGTGCGCCCACGACCAGCCATGGGCGCACCTCTGTCAGTGGGGGGGACGTGCCGCAGTACCCTGCCATGTGATATTGGCACCTAAAATGACATTTGCGCAAAGTGTGTAAATGCACAAATTTTACCCCGCATAATGAACGCTCGGCTCGCAGGGGTCGTAGGCCAAGCCGATGCCCCCCTCCCAACGCCCGAAATATGGGTAAATTTTTTGGAAAAAAAGTGTGTTTGTTATGCCAGTAAATACAATACTTGTTTATTTTCCAGCCCTCTGGACTACTACGGATCCCCAACCTGGCCCCTTAGCCAAAATGTTTGGAGACCCCTGGAATAGCATATTATTAGAAAAACTACTATTAAAAAATTTTAATATTCACACAATCCTGAAAATTTGACAGAGGTGCAAAAGTTACTTTGCCATGTGTCACCATAATTTCCCCGCTTCCTGCTATATTTAACTGGGAAATCGTGGCACGTGACAGCGCAACATTAGTGTTGCATAACATCACACTTTCCCCACTAAACTTAGTATGTAAATTTTCGCGTTATAATTCGAAAAACGCTTCCTTGTGACGTCACAATTTCCTCGCTATATCTAGCAGAGAAACGCTTCATGTGACATCGAAGTTTCCCACCTAGCGGAAAAATGTTTCCAATAAGTTTAGCGGGAAAATGCCCCATGGTGATGTCCCGTAACAAGACGTCACAGTTCTCCCCTAAACTTAGTGGACCATGACCGTACACCTTACACCCCAGAATCCACTTTCAAACCTCACCAGTAAATCCTATGGAAATGGAAGCCCGACTGAGAGGGGCTTCTGCATCTATGGTAGAGATGCATAAAGAACACTCATCCGTTCTCTAATTAACGTGACAGATTGCCTAGAAGCACGCATGTCTACTTCTGTGGCGCAGGCTTGCCGCGGCGACCGCCTGGACGACGGCGTTCCCGTAGTCGTGGACACCGCAGACGCGCCCACCCAGGTCTTCCGAATCCCGACCCACGCCGACTTCCTGACGTGCTTCTCCACTGTGCCAGGTAAACTTTCCTCCGGTTACGTGGAGGCCCGATTTCCTGGTGCTTTTTCGGCGTGGATCGGGTTTTTGACACCGAGAAAAATCGGGATAGCTTCTGTCTCGGTGGTTCTCAAACGGGGGTATGCGGACGCTCCGGCGTCTCCAAAGGTCTTCTTAGGCTCCCTGAAGCTCTTGACTTTCGTTCCAATAGAAAAGTAAATCTTTCATTTTTTCTTTTTTTTTAGTAATACCATTTGTTTTACGAAGATAAAGAGACCATGCTATGCAAACTATGTGCATTGAGTGAGTAGGGTTGACTTGTTCACCGTTTCAGGGCTTCGACGTCTTTTTGCGCAGAATTAGTTTTCTTCGTTTCCTACCCTTTTGTCATCATGATCGCTTAGTACCCCCCTCCCCTCTTGCTGGATGGTGCCCCCGTCGCTTTTGCTGATCCAGAAGGTGTCCCCAAAACATCGGTGGTTGAGAACCACCGTCCCATTGTGTCACCAAAATTGTAAACGTTGCTTTTGAGCCGCGATCTCGAAATTGTCCTCGGAAGCGTCGTTCCCAACATTATTTTTGGTTCCTTACCAGAGAATGCCATAGTGCCGGTGGTTGCCAGCCACGCTCTGTGCGCCTCCGCTAAAGGTATACAGTTGGTAAAGCCTAGAAAATGAGGCCTGCGCATTATGTCATCGATGGTGGCTTCTGGCCTACCCCAAGCTTTCAAGCATGCACATGCTGAAGGCGGGTCTCTGACAAAGCCGCAGACACGTTCGTCTCGGTGTCGCTGCACCATAGCATCGTGCTCGTTGCAAGATGCCGCGAGACAAGCCCGCGGCGATGCAAACGCTAGATGGGCGGGGCTGCATGAACCCGCCATACTCCCTTCACCCATAAGCTGGGACCGCAGTCAGTGCCACGAGCACGAGAGCACAAGGTCACCGCCTTGAAACGTCCTTCCGCAGAATGAGCGCTCGCGCTGGAAGTGCACGTCTGAAAGCCAGGAGCGCAAGGTAGCCCGCGCTCCTGGCTTTGCAAGTGCGGGCTACCTCACGCTTGCAGCTTTGGCTGCAGTCTCGGCAGAGAGGTGATAGGAGTATGGTGGTGATGTCAGAGGTGGAAGGGCGCTGGCCTTCTGGGTGGTGTGGATACAGTCCCTAGCAGCAGCAGAGGGAAGGCACATGCCTTAATCTTGTGAAGGCGTGGTCAATGAAGGTTAAATTAAAGCTTAATGAGCTCTAGCGGCATAGAAACGGAAGCCTGAGAGTTACCTCGATGACGTTGTGAACTGGAGTTGTTCTAAAAGGGCGCATTTGCCATGCCCATTCTGCTTGTGCATCATCATAAAGCTCCACGTTCATAATGCCATTAATGCGCCTAATCGAGTTACGAAAGCTTTTTATTGCTGGGTGTGTTTTAGCGCTGGTTTCGAAGTCTAAAGTGTCACAAAAGCAGGATAATGCGAATGGGTGTCTTACAAAAAATACCTTGTTCCCTGGCGATAATTTGCCACGGAACTCTCGCTCCTTACAAACCCACTGAAAAAAAAAAAAAGAAAAAAAAAATTATATAAACAGTTTGGTTAGGACAGGGATGGGCAAAATACATGCAAATATGTATTCAAATACAAATACAAAATACTTCGTCAAAAATGTATTTAATTACAAATCTAATTACATTTCCAAAAAAGCATTTAAGTACAAGATACAAATACAACCAAATGTATTTGGCCTCCTCCAAATACTTTTCCAAATACATTCCTCAAAATTTGCGTCAGCGACTTCAGGGCACCTGCAACGGGTTTCTGGGTATCTCATTTTAATTTTGCATCGCACACTCGAGAGTTAGTGTGCGAGGCTCTAGTAACGTAATAGAAATATAAATGTAATCAGCTTGGACGTAATAGGTGGAAAAAGTACAGAGCTTCAAGCAGCTTTTTTTTTTTTGGCGATTAAATTTTGGTATAGACCAACAAAGAACCGAGACTTCCAAGACGCGCAGCACTAGCTAGAGAATTTCTTATTGTTGCAACTCGCACCAGCTACGAAAATCTGGATGACCCGCGCATTTAGAATGTTCCAGGCAAAAATATGGATGGAAATCAGGCTGGAAAGCATCACAAGTTCTCACAGGCACTTATTTAGCCAGTCTGCCTGTGAACGTCGATTTCGTCACTATTCTTGCCCTGGACTAGCACCGTGATCACAAAGTCACTAAACGCTTGTGCTTGATTGAGAGACACTGCATTCGGTGCAGAACGTAGTTTTCTTCCTGCTCTGGACAGTGACAATAAATTTGAGGGATGTATTTTCGCCCACAAATATGTATTTAATTACAATTGTATTTGAAATACCCACGTTTTAGTATTTAAATACACACGTCAAATACATTACCCAATTTGTAATTAAATACAAATGCAAAATACAAAAAGTATTTAAAATACGTATTTCAAATACTTGTATTTGAAATACTGCCCATCCCTGGGTTAGGACATGTGTGCTTATAAATAAGTTTTAGGCAAAAAATTTTTTAGAGCAATATTGTTGGCATGAGACGCAATTTAGTTTGTAGTCACCTCCTTTCCACTTTTTTTCTCTCTCGGCCTTTCGGGTGCATGGAGGGAAGGTGGATCGGCTTGGCCATCACTTTGAGGTGGAGGGAGTGTATGACCATCTCGTTGAGGTGGAAAGAATATATGACCATTCCGTGACGAAATGGACTTTGCGTGCAGATTTTAAAATAAATCTCGCACCGTCAATATTGCTCTAAAAATTTTTTTTTTTCGCATTAATTTTATTTTTGACATGCATGTCCTAAAGACTGTTTAAAAATTTTTTTTTTCCTTTTCAGTAGTTTTTTTAATTAAGGGGGGACATTACCTGGGAATGTCAACTTATGAACCCTTCACCCAATCGCCGTGATTATTTGCAGTTGGTGTTTGTAGCCATATAGGAGGAGGGCATGAAAAGTTTTAGCCCTGTGAACCAATTTTATGAGGTTCTATACCCCAAAAATGAAGTAAGGCATAGCTTTGCATGGAATCTGCTCAATGAATCTATTGTTGAGAAATGGTGTTGATAACCACATATTTTTCTGGTGGAATGCACACTGGAATACCTGTGTGCCAGTTACTATGAAAAGTAAGTTCAGAAAATATGCATTTTTCAAGTGAAAATAAATTTATGAAAAAAAAAAGAAGCTTTTTCACATTTACCTAGTTTTGCAAATTACAATTTTTTATAATAAAGGAACATGAAAATGCCAAATCTAAGTTCATAGTAACCGTCTCCATAAAATTTGAGCATATAAGCCTCAAATATTAAGTCTCTAGCTGAACTCAGAAAAATGTATTCGAAATGTTCAAACCTCTACCTTTTCTTTACCATGAATGGACTGAAAATAATTAATAAAATAATAACTGTGCAATGTAAACAAAGGAAACTGTGGGAACACTTTCTAGATGTTGGTGGATGCAACTATGGCGGCAATATTCAAAATCAACTTTTTTTGCAGAAATTTTTTTTCTGGGTAGTGTCCCCCCTTAATCACATGGCCTACCACTGCAACGGGCGAGCGGCTCATTATAGTTATCACGGCTTCATGTTGCCGCAAAAGCTTCGTCTCCGAAGGTCCAAGCTCGCGAACCCCTCGACTGCGCAGGCTTCTACTCGTGGCGCAACACCACCCAGGGCTCATGGTTCGTCCAGTCGCTGTGCAAGGTGCTCCAGCAGCGGGCACGCAACACGGACCTCCTCTCCATGATGACGGTGGTGTGCCGCCAGGTGGTGCTCTACTACGAGTCCTCGGTGCCGGGGGACACCGTCATGGACCGCAAGAAACAAGTACCTTCCATCGTGTCCACCCTCACTCGCCTCGTCTATTTCCGTCAGAAGTCTTGAAGGGGCGGCGCTGCCGTGTCGACTGCCCTACTCTGTTTCGGCACGACCCGGTACGTGGCAGCTCTCCGCAGAGGGAGCGTGTAACGACAGCGCATCCCACTACCCGATTGGCTCACCAGGGCAGCAGCTTCCGCCCTTTGCAGAGTCATGCCAGAACAAAGCGTTGCTGCGCGTTCGTCATTTTTAGAAAAAACTGAAGCGTGTCATTTCCTGAAGACCCAACCGATTCTGTCCAATCTCATTTTGTTTTAACGATAACTGTAGAAAAGCGGGCTTCCTTTTGAAAAGGGCCCCTTGGGTATTTGAGTCCTACTGCTGAGCAAGATGGCTCCCCCCATTTCTTTTTGAGATTTTATGATGAATCACTTCGCTGTTACAAAAAGCAGGATTGCGACCTTGTTTTTGATTGGTTCATGTGGTTTCATGTTTCTGCAGTCTTAAGATTTATTGTAAAGCTCACATTGGGACCCAACAGCTAGCGTACTAGGAGCTATGAGAGACTGTGGAGCATCTTTGTTGATTTCAGATATTAGACAGAGGTGGACCACAGTCCGGGTTTCTTTTGTCAGACCGCAAAAGACGCCAGACCCCTGGCTGTCACGGCCGAAGCGAGTGGAAGAGGACCGGGGGTGTTACTGCCCGATGCGCCGCATAGGGCAACCGTTCTGGGCTGTGGGGGTCGTCTGCGACACTCGGATGTGCAATCTGGAAAAATGAACAATATGCGGAACAAATCTCGGATTTATTCTCTCCGTTTGCTGGGTTAAACATCCTTGTTTTTGTCCTTCGATGCATTCCTTCGTCCCAGTGAAGTGGGTAAAATCCGACATGAAGAAGGGGTACTAGCAATCTGAAACAGCCAATGTTGTATCCCTCCTTCTACAGCTACACCTATTAAAGTGTGTACACTCCATTTCCCGAATGTCTCCCGGACGCTGCCATGCTGTTTGCCAGCGGGCGCAATCGGCGACGCCTACGATTAGAAAACGCGGCCGTCTGGGTCACGACTCCGGGGAGCTTGGGCAAAGTCGTCTTGCTCCGTCATGAACCGCTTCGACGTTTTCGGAGGACAGAACAGCGTTTCCTGCGACTTGAGATTATGCTCCAGAAAACTGGCAACAGTGGTTTTAACCTCCAAGATGGTCGAAGTTTCGTTATTCCGAAGCGTTGCTTATCAAACGGCTTTAGCTCCAGCTTTTCGTCTGGGCACCATTCTTGGGCAGCGTTCCAAATCGGTCCTCTCCAATTACAGGGAAGCCGTCCGTGGAGAGGCGAGCTGGGTGCGTAGGGCGTATTTAGCGTGAATTCGGCAGTTTGGCGTGTTTTGGTCGTGCGAATTGGGACGAAAGAGCCAACCTTACCGCTCAAGTCGGTGCTGCAGACACACACACATTTCGTCGCAGTTTCGCCTTATTTGTTGTGCGAGAAAAACGGAACTACATGACTTAATTTTTGATTGGCTGCTTCATGCCCTACGTTCAATGTGCCTTGTCCGGTAGTGTTGGCTTTCTTAATTAGTTGGTACCTGCTTGACATTCTTTTATCTTCTGGTTGGTTGTATCGTGACAAAAGCATTATAGTGTGGAGAAAACCCCGTTGAATCTTCGTCTCTCGTTTTTTTATACAGTTCAGCATTGGGCCTGGCATTGTCTTTGTAGTACTGTTGTAACTTTTGTCTCGCAAAGAACTTTACGAAATTTCCGGTCTTGTTTTTGGAAACAGTGTGGATGCTCTGGACACGCTTCAAACTTTTTCTTGATAGCGTGAAGTTGCCATATTTATGAGGGAATGTACCGCTGATTTTCGGAGTCCTTTTTTGCTGTGATACTGAAGTTCAGGCAGTTTTAAAATGTTGTATTCGTCCGTAGTGTCTAAAAGAATTGACGATTTTGGTAAGCGTGCCATTTTGTTTCGAACAAGTTGGACGATCGTGGGTCTAGCACGGCTTCGGTAACAACAAGTTTATATGTGTGGGCTTTTTTAATTTGACATTGAATTTCGGCACATTTGAATTCGTTTTGTCCAACTACATTTGACTCGTACACTCCGAGCCTGCTTGACCACATGCTCAAGGAGGGGCATTGTCGTGGCTGTGAGGAACTTGCAAATTCTCCCCCACGGTCGGAGACGAGTTTACTGTGCTGGGAATTTTTCATCGAGTCACGAGGGGGCCTTATATTCTGGAACTATCTTGCTGCTGCCTTCTATTGCTCACTTTTGTCTCGGAACTACCGGGGACATTGTATAACGGGAGTGCCTTCAACGTTCAGACTGGTCTGCATTTTTAGCTCACGCACTTCATCTTCTAAGGCAGTACTCACCCTGCCTGTTCGATGGCAGTCCGTCGTGAAGCGACTTCTCAGGTCCGCTGGCGCTCGTTCCCAAGTGTCTTTGTTTCGTAATAATCTAGTGCTAGCAACACCAAAGGAGAAGCAACTTTACCTTGTGGGGAGCGTATAGTCTGGATTCCTTTTTTGAAAAAGCGACGAGCACAACTTAGCCTCGAAGACAGCCTCCGAGGAATGACTTGAGCAATTCAGGCTTAGTACTGGTTTGCTTAGACCGTTATTCTGGCAGCCTCCCTAGTTATGCTAGTATTACACCAACCGGCACTCTTTTGATACAGATGCCCGTCAGCTCGGCAAGAGTTAGGAGCGGCGTGTCTTAATTTCGGGCATTTTGTATTTCATTGTCTTTCGGAATGGGTGCCACCAAGTACCTTATTGGTAGATTTTGGATGGCTGAACGTTTCTATAGTCATTCTCGAAAATTCTGCGGAGCATTGTGCTCGTACGATAAGAGCAGTGTGGAAAGCTATGCTGTGCACCTCCGTCGTTGATAGCGCTGCACAGGACTTGCAAGACGAAGTATATAGAAGTTGCTTTTGTATAAATTTGTTCTTCCTTCCCTTTATCACTTTTGTAAAGGGTTAGAGAGGAGAGTATTTTCTTGCTTTGAAGTGCTGCATGAAGATCTTTGTGGTGCTTTACTCTAAATGATTGAATAAGCATTTGCTCTTTGGAGTGGATGGTTATTTTTGTACTGCGCTCGACCAACGCCTTCTAGAAAAATAAGGCCCGCACTCCGGCTTCATTACGTCACTGTAGTAGACCATTGCACGGAGGAATGGCACAGTCGGCTTGGCTTGTCCGACGCACTGGCGGAGTGGCACATACTTTCATATGGGAATGCTAGCGTGGTTATTATATGTGGGTTACAGGAGTAATCAAATTACCGTATTTTCCAGGCTATAGTTTGCGGCTGTACATGTTTAAAAGTTTATATTTCTGGCTGTGCAGACTATCTATCCGTGGGGACTAAACAGGAATTTTATTTTTCAAGATCATTCATTGTGAGGAGACGTGACGAAATTTGTGAAGGAGAGAGTATGTTAATGATGATTTATGTATAATACAAGCTTCTTTGTGAGCTAAGAAATCAGACATCTGTCAAGGTCTTCCGTGTATGAGAAGATTTTCCTGTCGACTAAGTACCAGGTGCGGATATGCACGGTGGGCAGACCATGTAAGCAAAAACTTTTGTTTTGGCCTAGACTGGCCCGCTGCGGACTGTACACTGGGCGCGGACTATAGCCCGGAAAGTATGGTACAACTGTTTAGCTTTAGAAATGTTCCAACAAAAACCGTTACAATGACTGACTATAGAATAATGAAGTGAAAACTGAAAGCTCCCCCTTCATCATGTTGAGCAATCTTCTTGGCTTTTTTTTTTTGTGTGTTTTTACAGTCCACAATAAAATTATTTTGTCACTTTAAACTTTTACTCACCAATGGCAATAACGACACACAAAGTCAATAAAACTGTGTAGTGCACCCGGGCAGGCTGGCGAGCTTTGTTGCAAGTGTTCGGCGGTGAAGTTCGCTTACGCTCCATGCATGGCCTACAACTAGTGACATAGCTGACATCGCGAAACTTGCGTGCGGGTCTCAAGGTTCTAGAGGGTGTTGGCCTAACCCCTGTACTTCTGTGCGGTGGTTTGTGGAAAGCCATCAAAAAACCATCTGGTCTGCAGGATATGAAAGACATTTGTAGCGACTTTTATTCTAATAAAATTGTGAGTGTCCTGGAACTTCTCAGGGTTGTGTTGTGGCTTCCACTCCATTTCTGCCCTGTGACTTGCATGAAATTTTGTTTTACACAAACTGCAGACTCACTGGCAGACTATTTCGCCTGTGGGCCAACATTATGTTAGTGATCAGTTTTACAGAGTTTTACAGTCGAGATCCTTACGATTTATGCCGTAGTAATGTTTTTGGCGATAGATGCAATTGCTCTTTCATGCGGCACTAATATTGTCAGAAATATGAGGACTAGCGTGCAAGATTCAGTAATAACAAAAACCCCTTGTGCTCCTTTTTTTAGCGAGGGTAGTTCTTTTGTATCAGTGGACACTAAAATTGGGGTTCTGCATTAAATGTGAATACCAATGGAACCCAAGAAGTAACACGCAAACCAGTTTTATCGAAATCGTGGAAATCTGAAAAGCTCGAATAGGAGCTGACCTTCAATATGAAAAACTCGTGCTTCTCGGAAAGAAACATTAATATACAGCTTTATGTTACACTGACCCGGAATAAAATGCCCACTTTATTCACGAGGCCTCTTTACACAGCTTAGAGGTTTGGTTGAGACACTTGGTCAAACCTGTAAACACCAGCCATTGATCAAATTGGGCACGAGCAACTTTGAATGTAAAAAGCTAGATCAGGCAACTGGAATGCCAACTACAACACCACGTTTACCAGTTTTAAAAGGAGGCACTCACTTGATCCAATGATGTTTTAGACAACGCCCATGTTTCACCAATAGCGAATAGTCGGCCGCCAAGAAGCAGCGTTTACGGGTGAGCCAGGTGGGTTGCCATTTTTGTAATGAGCTACCGCAGACTGTCGCTGCGAAGCGCCATAAGCGCAGCGCAAGGGGGGGGGGGGGGGGGGGATTTGACTTACGCGCTTCTGTTATGTGCTAAACCGTTGACTCGCTCAAATGTCGCTGTTTGCTAAAACGTCATTCGCTCATGTGATAGGGACCCTAAAATAGATCTCGTCTTCTGGTTTTTAAGCCATTAGGATCGAGTCAGTACACCCTTTGGGAGGGAAAGAACACAAACGGGAGATCGTTGATGAGATGAGGGATGCAAATATACCTAAAGATTGTATGATTTTACTTGCATTTTCTTTTTTTGCTCTTATAGGGGGCGTGCTGTCTTTACCATGTATTTATTGAGCTCGGCGAACATTAGATATAAGATAATCAGCGGAGGAAATCTGTTAATTAACTTGAACTGTTGGTTTTAGGATCATATTGCAATTGTAGTATTGATGGCAATTACTATTGGGAGGCCACATCAATATAAAAAAAAAATTTTCAAAAATGTAATGGTGTTTCAGATATTAATCAACTTCCGCATTCTTTTCCCCTATTAAGAATTTTGCAATAAAAGTGCCGCAAGCCCAGCCCACAGAGACGCTTACAAGAGTGACGGTCATTTCAATCACATCGTCACTTGTGTCATCGGTGCACCCAACGTTGATACTGCCGAGATCATGACAACATTATTGAGACGACTATGTCACTCTTCCGAGCTTGCAGTGTTCTTCAGTGCAATTCTTAAATCGGGGGAATATTATTTTATTAGTATCTCAAATACAATTGCCTTTTCTAAATTATTTTTAATTGTACTGCCATTTATTAGTAATTTCTGTCAATACCGCAATTTCAACATTAACCCTAAAACCAAAAATTTTAAAAGTTAATGAAAGAGCAACTCTGGTGAATATTTTATTTTTTTGAAAATTGAGTTACAGTTGTTTTTAGCGAGAGCAGTGTCCCTGAATTACATGGTATAGTTTTTTTCGATATTGCACGGTTTTATAAATATCACGGCTCAGTTTGGTTTTGGGCGTCTACGGCAAAACCTAGACTGTCTGCTAGAGGAATGGTAATGCTGATCGTCAGCCGTACAGCTGACGAGCAGTGTCATGAAAATTGGGACTCCGTCCCACATGGTTCCGCCCAAAGTCTCAACCCTGTCTCCCAGTGGGTCCGGTGCTGGGGTAACGCCGAAAAGGTTTGACCAGAGGAAAATTGGCGACTTCTTCGTCGGGGGGAAGATTATGCTAGGTGGCGCAAGCTACCGACCGTTGCAAAGGGTAGAGCCATTAACATCCATTCATCTAGCCGCGACGTGACGTCACCGTGGTGCTGCTGCCGCGAACTGATGCTGGTTCATGGGCTCTTGACGTGGGCGACTTTCCAACGGAGCTTCACAGACCGCCACCAGGCCCAATCTTGAAATTTGTTCATTCGTTTTAAAATTTGTTTTCTTGGCTTTTCTGTCGGCAGTCCAGAAACACTGCTCTAGACCAGTGTTTCTGGGCTGTGGGCACAACATAGACCAGATCTAAGCAAAGAAATAAGTCCACACATTTTGGTCACGACACATTACCGTGAGTTGAAGTGTCATTTGGCGGAAAGCCCTGCGGGGCATCCGCTTTACGTCCGGCAGATAGCTACTTAACATCCTGTCACACGTTCTTGAAACCCGGGTTAGCCCCGGTTCCTCCATTTCAGGAATTGCTAAAGAGTGTACATGTCGCGTGTTAAAGGGCAACCTTGGTCCATGTTACATGGATCGGAGCATAAATGCCATAAAAACCTCGGCGAGCATAAATTCCCTGTCAGTGTCTCTTAAAGGGACACTGACAGGGTATTTATGCTTGCCGAGGTTTTCATTTGAACATGACCAGCAAGAGCCCATCTACCCAGAACACAATTTGCGGCTCGAAATTTATATTCTTTCTGGCCGAAAACTGCCAATCGAGAATTAGCCAGTTTCAAGGGCGGTCACTCTCTTTTCCAAGGTTGCGTGTCATTCAAACTAATGCATACCAAATTAAAGAACCCTGGGAAGTACCCTCTTTAGATTGCAACTCTTAGGTGCCGTTTTGGGTTGAGAGGCGTCGCCGTCAACGTAACCGCGCTAGATTTAGCAGGAAAATTGACGTCGCGTGACCTCAACACCAATTCTGTTTCCCCGCTAAATTTAGCAGGGAAAATGACGTCACATGACTTGGTGTCACGTCGCCTATGAACAAATTCAATTCTCCGCTAGATTTAGCGGGCAAATTGACGTCATGTGACCTCAACAGCAATTCAATTCCCTGCTAAATTGAGCTTGAAAATTGTTGTCATGTTACCCCAACACCAATTCAGTTTTCCCGCTAAATTGTGGGGGGAAATGACGTCACATGACGGTGTCGTGTCACCTATGAACAAATTCAGTTTCTCCGTTAGATTTAGCAGGAAACTTGACGTCGCAGGACCTCGACACGAACTCAATTCCTCGCTAAATTTAGCAGGAAAATTGACGTCGCGTGATCTCGACCCCAATTCAGTTTCCTCGCTAAATTTAGCAGGGAAAATGTCGTCGCATTACTTGGTATCACGTCACCTATGAACAAATTCAGTTTCTCCGCTATATCTAGCAGGAAAATGACGTCACGTGCGGAGTAGGAGGAGGAGCAAAGGAGGACGAGGAGCAGAGTGGGAGGAGGAGCATACTCTCCCCTCGTCCTCCTCAAGAGCTGCACTCTAATTTCGCGTTACACAGTTGTAAAAACTCTTAACGCGGCCGTACAGCGACCAAAGTACGGAACATACTTTGCCCACTACTTTTAACCAGCTTAGTAGCAGGGTATTTAACTTGGCAGTATACACCTTTCTAAAAACCGCTCCTAGGCCGCCGCCATGTTGCTGATGCGGCTGGTGCAACTCTTGCGCCCTCTATCAGCTAGAAATTTTCTGCCACCCTCTTGGACTGTAAAGACTTGCTCATCAGTTCTCTACCTACGTTCTTGCAGTTTTGCATTCAAAGTTTTCTCGCCCCTCTTGAAAGTTTCCACTTAATTTTTTTTTATGCGTGCTGGTTACCCTTTTTGTGTTATCTTCTATTGGGAGAAATAAGGCTGGTAAGTGCCTGACATTCAAGCTGTTCTGCTCGACATTCACGGGAAACGGAGGAGGTGAAGGACGTTGAACAACCTTTGAAGGGATTTTGCGAACATTGTTCTCCCCCCTTCCAGAGATAATCCGCGTAGAATCCTCAGTCATCTCCAAAAATGGTTGTCCGGGTTGGGGTGGGAAACGGGTCAGTCGCGTTCGTTCCTTTGTCTTGGTGCTGTGCTGTCGTGAAAAAAGGAAGCTCTCCTTGAAACGTGCCCCAAAACGAAGTCATCTTGGATTCCGTCCGATCGTCAAGATGTGACTGTCGTCCACTGTGACTGTGTTATTTGAGATCTTTCTCAAATAAAATCTTTTCGGATAACGCTGCATCATGTGGTACGTATGATATATTGTTCAAATTGTTTGAATGTTAAAACTTGCTAAACTGTATGTCCCTGGCCTGTCCATCAGTAAACACGTTATTTGTGAGCGTGAAAAATGCATACCTTCGGTTATTTTCTGCTGTCAAATATTTTCGACAGCTAAGTGCTCTGTCATTTGACATGCGGTTAATCGTGCGGCGCCGTCAAAACTCATCGTAAAAAAGAAAAACGACCGCTAACATCCCAGTCGCATATTTGTTCTGTCACGCGCGTACCCAACAAAAATAGTTTACAGTTTTTTTTCATCTTTTTTTTTGCCTTTTGGATTTTTTAGATGTGGTACAATGCTTTCTTCATGTCCTAGGGAAAATACATTCACCATAAAACACAAAATGCAGTGGGAAAAGACGAAAATCTAGCCGCTAGCAGCGTTTCTGCACCTACGCAGGCTGTGCCTGTCGAAATCACAGTCCACTCGTTTAGGGTTAGCAGGTGAGAGTCTAGCCTCAAACCCAGTGATTGGGCTCGAAAACGGTTTGCTGCCCCTGGGGTCGAGTGTTTCTTGGAAAGGTGTATACTGGTGAGCATCTTATGGGAAATGTTTATTTCATACCCAATTGTCCACGTTAAGCGCCAAATTCTGTTGAATTGATGTTTTCTTTAGCGTTTATTTCAGTGAGGTTCTAACTTTTTGTGTAATATGCCTTTACTATTGTGTGAATTTCATCTGATGTGCTTTTTT